TACTCTCTTGTCCTTTGATGTACAGCTATGAAATTTGAACCATGTGCACAGATTAAGATGTAAAGTGAACTTTGATATTAGCTGACTTAGATTTTAACAAAGTGTCTTACTGTGTTGTCCTTTGATATAGTCATGAAATTTAGGCTGTGAGAAATATGACCTTCACCACCAAATTAACAAGACTCAAGTGCATTGATATATTCCTACTCTGATCTTTTGTTGGATTAACAATAGATTCAACCACTAATCTGTTGATAAGAATTAGATAGGTCAGGGATCAATGCATTATGACAATCTTCAATTGTATAGAAACAAAAATATCCGTTCCTACACTACTATTTAGTGTTGTATTAATGCACACTACTATTTAGTGCTGTATTAATGCGGTGGCATAGCATTTTTCTCAAATGCAATCTTGTTTAGGATCAATTTTGTGCTTAAATTCAGTCCTATTCTATTTCTGAAAAAAATCTTTTACAAAAATCTTCAGAAAAGATCCATTTAATTATGAGTTGGGTAGAGAGGGTTATAGTAATTAATCGTATTGCATCACAATTAACATAACATGAACAGTTTTATCTGTTTATAATGTTCTCCTTCGCCTCTGCGATGCCCTTTCCCATCTCCATGGGCCCTGCTACAATTTCTTTAAAAGTAAAAAAAAGCAAAGATAACTCAACTTTTTAGAAAAAAATGATCATAAAAAAGTTATATTAATTTTGCTTATATAACATATGAAAATTTTTGAGATTCTTGTATAAGGTTAGGAGGATATGCTTACAAATGTTTAAAAAAAATTGAATGTTATATGTTTGGAAAATGTCTTTTTGTTAATTATTCAAAAAGCATTCATGTGACATGATATATTCTACAAATCATGGTTTTCAAAAGGCTTGTTCATTGTTATCTAAATGAATAAATTAAAATTTCGATAAATTTATTTCTCTTTTTGAATGGAATGAAGATTAAAAAAATGTAACTTCCATTAATTTGTTGTAAGAATATTTTCGGGAAAAATAACTACATGTAGTATGTAAAATAGTACAGTAGTAATATCAAACAAAATATATCAGTTGTTTTGAATGGTTGTCTGGATGTTTTATAGTTTTGTTGTTAAGAATTGTATCTTAGTGTGTTATTGTGTACCAGAGTTTACCTAGCTCTTAATGAACTATTATTAGTTTTAACATTTGTTGTCATGTTGAGAAGTCATATGAATTAATGGAATTTTATTACATGTGAAATGTTTTTTTATAGAAAATATGCCATGTGCAATATATAATGAAAACAGTTTGCTTTGTTTGCTTATATTTCATTACTGTGTCATTGTGTTTTTATTGAGACTAAGGTGCTGTGCTAACCTTGGATTGTCCTAGTATAATCCTAAATTGTATTCCTTTGGATGTCCTAATCTTACATTGTGATCCTTGGAATGTACTTGTCCTAAATTGTAATCCATGTGTTGTCCAAATATAACATTGTGATCCTTGGGGTTTCCTCGTCCTAAATTGTAATCCTTGAGTTGTCCTAATCTTAAATTGTAATTATTGGGGTATCCTAGTCCTAAATTGTAAACAAAAGATTGTCATAGTCCTAAATTGTAACCCTTGGGTTGTCTTAGTTATAATTTATGGTATTTGGGTTGTCCTAGTCTAAAATTTTAATTATTCGGGTATCCTAGTCCTAAATTGTAATCATAAGATTGTCATAGTCCTAAATTGTAATCCTTGTGTTGTCTTGGTTATAATTTATGGTATTTGGGTTGTCCTAGTCTAAAATTTTAATTATTGGGGTATCCTAGTCCTAAATTGTAATCGAAAGATTGTCATAGTCCTAAATTTTAATCCTTGTGTTGTCTAAGTTATAATTTATGGTATTTGGGTTGTCCTAGTCTAAAATTGTAATTATTGGGGTATCCTAGTCCTAAATTGTAATCAAAAGATTGTCATAGTCCTAAATTGTAACCCTTGGGTTGTCTTAGTTATAATTTATGGTATTTGGGTTGTCCTAGTCTAAAATTTTAATTATTGGGGTGTCCTAGTCCTAAATTGTAATCATAAGATTGTCATAGTCTTAAATTGTAACCCTTGGGTTGTCTTAGTAATAATTTATGGTCTTTGGGTTTGTCCTAGTCTAAAATTTTAATTATTGGGGTATCCTAGTCCTAAATTGTAATCATAAGATTGTCATAGTCCTAAATTGTAACCCTTGGGTTGTCTTAGTTATAATTTATGGTATTTGGGTTTGTCCTAGTCTAAAATTGTAATTATTGGGGGTATCCTAGTCCTAAATTGTAATCATAAGATTGTCATAGTCCTAAATTGTAACCCTTGGGTTGTCTTAGTTATAATTTATGGTATTTGGGTTGTCCTAGTCTAAAATTGTAATTATTTGGGTGTCCTAGTCCTAAATTGTAATCAAAAGATTGTCATAGTCCTAAATTGTAATCCTTGTGTTGTCTTAGTTATAATTTATGGTATTTGGGTTTGTCCTAGTCTAAAATTTTAATTATTGGGGTATCCTAGTCCTAAATTGTAATCATAAGATTGTCATAGTCCTAAATTGTAACCCTTGGGTTGTCTTAGTTATAATTTATGGTATTTGGGTTTGTCCTAGTCTAAAATTGTAATTATTGGGGTATCCTAGTCCTAAATTGTAATCATAAGATTGTCATAGTCCTAAATTTTAACCCTTTGGTTGTCTTAGTTATAATTTATGGTATTTGGGTTGTCCTAGTCTAAAATTTTAATTATTGGGGTATCCTAGTCCTAAATTGTAATCATAAGATTGTCATAGTCCTAAATTGTAACCCTTGGGTTGTCTTAGTTATAATTTATGGTATTTGGGTTTTCCTAGTCTAAAATTTAAATTATTGGGGTATCCTAGTCGTAAATTGTAATCATAAGATTGTCATAGTCCTAAATTTTAATCCTTCTGTTGTCTTAGTTATAATTAATGGTATTTGGGTTGTCCTAGTCTAAAATTGTAATTATTGGGGTGTCCTAGTCCTAAATTGTAATCAAAAGATTGTCATAGTCCTAAATTGTAATCCTTGTGTTGTCTTAGTTATAATTTATGGTATTTGGGTTTGTCCTAGTCTAAAATTGTAATTATTGGGGTATCCTAGTCCTAAATTGTAATCATAAGATTGTCATAGTCCTAAATTGTAACCCTTGGGTTGTCTTAGTAATAATTTATGGTATTTGGGTTTGTCCTAGTCTAAAATTGTAATTATTGGGGTATCCTAGTCCTAAATTGTAATCATAAGATTGTCATAGTCCTAAATTGTAATCCTTGGGTTGTCTTAGTTATAATTTATGGTATTTGGGTTGTCCTAGTCTAAAATTGTAATTATTGGGGTATCCTAGTCCTAAATTGTAATCAAAAGATTGTCATAGTCCTAAATTGTAATCCTTGTGTTGTCTTAGTTATAATTTATGGTATTTGGGTTTGTCCTTGTCTAAAATAGTAATTATTGGGATATCCTAGTCCTAAATTGTAATCTTGGTTGTCCAATGTTGTGTTGTCCTATTTATATATATTATATTGTGATCCTTTAGGTTGTTCTCAACTTAAAGTGTATTCCTTGGGTGTCCTAATCTTGAATTGTGATCATTGGATTGTCCTTGTCCTTAAATTCTGATTTTGATTGCTTACTTTTACATGATGGACATATGTATATTTATCTACAATATTATGAAGTGACAAGGACAAGTTGTAAATGCTGATTTATTAATTGATATGCGGATTTAATGGCGTTTTAGTCCCTATCATTAAGGTCACACAGGACAATTTATTCTAAATACCGGTACATGATTTTGTTAGCATATAAAAATCATAGGTTTGGGGAATGGTTGATACTCCATCATTTTGTACAATAATTTACTGAACAATTCTGATAAATTGAAACCAACCTGTGATATCCCAGCATGGTCTCACAAATTATTAGTGATTGGTCACAATCAAAATGGTTCAGGTAAAAGTAAAATTTGTCAAATATACTTACTTCTAGTGCTAGGATGTTTACTTATCGCTCATTTTAGTAAGTCTACTCCGTCAGTGTAAACAAGCGGGAAAGAAAGAAAGTCTTATTTCTTAATGATTGTGACTGTCAAATCTCTTCGTGCTGTAGTGGTTACCATACTGGACCAGCAATCCAGAGCCCGTAGTTCAAGTCCCAGCTGCAGCGTGGTTAGGTGCCAATTTTTCGTGCGATTTTTCCCGCTGCTGACTTTCTTTCTTTTATATATACATACATGTACATTGTATATAGGAGACTTCTGCTATGAAGTTGTATACGCCAAAATAATTTTATAGTTTGTTTAAACGTATTTATTCAACAAAACATTTAACAAGTGAACAAGATTTACAAAGTAAAGTTTGGGATTGGGCAGAGCCCAGTTGACCTACCATGTTGAAGGGTAGTTCACAGGGTCCAATCTTATATGTGGTCTAACAATTCATAGAAATCATGTTTTTCTGAATTTTCGAATTTTTTTATCGATATTTATTGCTGTTACAGACACATTATGCTTAAGAGACGCATATTTTCTTTATTTGGAAAGGAAAATATGGGTTTTTAATGTTTAAATAAAGGACTTGAGGTGTTACAACATATGACCGGCTTTTATCACCTAAAGAAAGTAGAGCTGGATGGGAAATTATTTATAATAAAAGTAGCAAAATGTAAACAAACTGGTATTTTGACTTCTGCACAAAATACTAAATCACTATAACTATAGTAAAGACCAAAAGGCAACAATAGCAACAGGTCGTTCAGAAAATTGGCCAGTGAGTGGCATTTTGGAATCTTTAACAAGACACAAAAGTTTTGGAGAAATGAAAATAAAAGCATTTGTGGTGCACGATCCTGGGATATGGTGATATTCTGGCAATTGCAAAGCAAAGGGAGACCATTGCGTAGAGTTTGCTTTCGTGTATGTGTGGTAAAATTCTCTCCCTTAGAAACAAATGGAGCGTATTAAACTATTTAAAGATCTGTTTTTCCGAGGGTTTTCCCCAAGATAGTTATAGCAAAAATCATATGACTTGTTTACATACTTTATTCATTGTTTTCATTGATAAGTGACATCTTTAATGTATGATTAAGTTGGTGTAAATGAAAACTTAGCAACGGATTTCTTGCAGAAGGTAATTTAGTTGAGTATTTTTTTGTCATTAGTCTGATGTTGTTGTTGTTCTCTCCAAGTATAGCTAATAAATAAATAACAATAGTAATTGCTTTTTAACATGCACGTGGTACATTTTGTATCTTGGTTAAGAACTACCTTAGATAGAGGGGCAGTTTCGAATGTGTCAATGATATAAACAATGCAAGGAAAATTTAGAGTATGTAAACAACGTTAATTTATTGATCGTAATCAAGATATTATGCATCTAAAATTATTCCCTTCTGAGTTATATCTCTTCTTAGGATAAAGATACAAAATATATGTGTACATGGTTTAAAATTTGATTTTGTCTGTGGGTAAATCATTTTGAATAAGGTTAACTTTAATTTAATACCATATTTTTACATATATTACATGAATTAAAAGCACTTAACCCGTAATATGCATCGATAACGCACGCTCAAAGACAAACGAAAACAATAAATAAAACTTAGTAGTTCCTTATAAGGAAGTAATCGGAAGTTATGTTTTTGGCGGCAATAGTGCACGAGTTTCTTTAATTAACAAAGCGGGCATTTGAGGTTTATTTGTCAAGCCGTTTAGATGTGAAATTTCCGAAAATATTGAAATATTTTTGATTTTATTATACAGAAAGTTTTGTAAATGTTTCTTACAATTGTTTTCGTTTTCAGGATAATGTACAACTTGGAGCAAAGTAAAATTTTGCCTTGATACGCGAAATAAATATGATCCATGGACTTTCAAAAATCGATGAGGCATATTCAATTAGTTCTGTTTTGATTCACTGTAAATTATTATTCTGTTTGCATACAATTATGTACATGAAATGAGTTCATTTCAGGGAAAAATGATCTGTGCCTTTGCCTTTTTATAATTTCCAAAATTTGTTTCCTTTTTCCATTATGACATTAAAATTTTAGACCGCTAAATTTGGGTTTATGTCTTGAACCTGGATTCATCCCTCAACAATACCTCCCAATCCCACGTTGGAGTAGGGTTGGGTATCCCGTTCGCATCAACTTGACTTTCGAACATTTTCAAAAACGTCAGTTTATCGCAAAACTATTATTCAGTTATATTGGAACGTTATTTTTCATTACCTTTAGTACACGAAATATTTGGCATATTTTAACAGATGAATTTACTTAGAAAATTTTTTAATATAAGTCATGTGGAAGCTTTGTTTGGATTTTTTATCTTAACAAAAATTGATATGTAGCTTTAAATCCAGATTTTTGTCTTAGTTGGTTGGGAAAATAAACGGTTAGTGGAAACGACTTACAAATACTCCCTCTAGCCTCTTTAAATTCTGTGTTGTATTGTTTATTATTTCAAAGGTGTATTATAAAGGTATGTAAATGATTTATGCTCGTTTGAGTGTAACGAATTAGAGCATAACACTAACGGCCGAAAAATAGTCAGTTTGATATTGTACTCCTTATTAGATTGCTTAAAATGTTTATACATTATACATGTATTTGTAGATAACAGTCTTCATAAGAAAGCTGATGGGTGAGCATGCATATTTCACAAATATTTTAACCCACCTCCGTCATACTCCAAGAGATTTAAGAGATTTGTTGAAAGTGACCAAGTTTACAAGGTGGTGATGACAGTCAAAAGGCATGGCAATATTTGATGCAAACTGCTGGATGATAAGATGTGCTAAACAAGTAAATTGCTATAAAGAATCTACAATGAACCAGTAAGTCGAATAATTCTCAGGACACATGTTCTATTTAAGAACTAGGGTATAGAGAGCTTTTTAAATTGATATATTAATTAATAAAATGGCGGAGCAATAATTAAAAAAAAATGTCAGACTACGCTTATAAACTGGTGGATAAGGAGTTTCACAACTGGTTGAAAACAGGATTAGCCCTTCATATTACAAAAGAAGGCATTGAGGCAGAAGTGACATATGTTGTTAAAACATTCCATAGCAAATGTTTGAATGAAGTCCGAACATCAGAACAGATATCGAAAAATGAACTGTGCTTACACTGTTCTAAAAAGAGTGTGCTGCCATGTCAAACAAGAGGTACATGTATATGTGTTATGAAATCAGGCACATGCTCTTTACATGGTCATAAATTTATCCATCGACCATGCCCAAAAGGAATATGTGACAAAGTTAGAGATAAAATTAGAAAACATCATAAATACTTCTTCCCTTCATGGAATAACACATCCGTTGAGAAGTGGTGCGACAACCCATGGGAGCTAGCAAAGTGCTACATGCCACCAGATGGTTATATTGGGGTAGATTCAGCGTCTGAAACAGATTTGAATGGTATCCTCAGTGTAATGTTAAATCATACAGAGTTCACAGGAAAAGTTGAAGAAGAAGACTGCAAAGAGGTAAGAAAAACTAAAGAAAACTATGATGTTGATGATAATAATGCAAGTTATTATTGTCAATCTTAATGTTATAAGGATGATAATGACAATTACGTGTATCATGATGATTATGCCGAAGATGATAATGATGACGATATGTTAAAGTTATGATAGTTATGATGCTATGTACAATGATGTTGTGAGTTCTGTGTAATGTTGGTCCGCCGGGCATTACAAGAAACAGTAAGAATGATCCTCGGGCATTTATCCAGGAATAACCTTAAAAATTTAAAGAAATAAATGGTTTTGTACCTTTGTGAAAGAAAAGGAATGAAGCAAATCGTCTCCTTTAACGTTTAGTATCAACTCAAACCTTCACAAAGTCCATCGCACATATAATGATATGCATATACTGCATGTATGTGACTCCACCTACATCTGATTATAATGCTTATCTTAATTATAATGTGATAATGATTGTAATCTGTTATATCAAAACATGTTGTTTTGTTGAGCCCACAAACATTGCAACACAGATTCAAACTACACGGTTCAAAGGAACCCAGCAGGGCACCGAACATACAGCTGGAGAAAGCGAAAGAGTGGGGTCTGGAAAATGTTTTTTAAATAACAATAATAGCTTACATTTAAGGGCTTAGCGGACCTACATATGTCTTTCGCGAGAACCTTTTCCAAATTCACGATGATACAGACCTTAAATTATTAGCAGACATAAATTCGGATAGCTAGTAAGATGTCTTGGGTCGTGGTTATATGGCCTGCACTTAAATTCATTCACTTAAATTCAAATATTTGAACTGTGTGTTAAGGGTACCCATTACATTGATATTTGAAACAGAAATAAATAAAAAAATTAAAAAACGAATATAGTTTAAGGTGGGATTTCATCAATTTTTGGCAGTGAACCTGATTATTTTCAGCATTAAAGAAAATGAAATATTTAAAATAAACGGACTGTTATCGAATATATTAACAGAAAAAAAACCCGAAAAAAATGCACTTCTATAAGTGTCTGTTTTAAAATTTGTGTAATATAAAAAATACTAACTACATTTAAGTTATAGAAACTGTTCTTAATAACTTTCAGAAAGCGAATTTACAGAAAAAGCCACACTAAGCATTCAGTATGTTATAAAATGATATTCTATTTTTTAATTAAGAGCAAGATTACAAAAGAAGTACAATTATATTAGACTCCGTAAACTTTAAAGTATGTTCAATCGTGGTAAACATTTGCTATAAAGAGGGTATTTACCTTTGAGTACAGCTAAAATTAAACGTTCATCAAAATGATTTTTTTACCTCTGACCAACAAGTCTCTTCTTGTGTGCTTTGTTCTTTGTATATTAATTTTGAGCCAAAAATATTGTTTCCTTCTTATAGGCAAGATATATATGTAAGAAATTCAGACATTCTCCAAACCTCTGTTTCCGAGATGAAGAAGTTACTCACTACCTAGATACCCTAATGGAATTTCTGACTTGCACGCATCACCTGAGGAGTAAAACGGAAGTTCAAGAAGCCGTAAACAAAATAGAAAAGGTAAGCAGAAGTAAAGTCTCTCTAATTTTTTCTCGGTCTTCAAATCTATTCAGAAAGTGAAAGTCGCATTTTTGTTTCGATTTCAATTTCTTTTACAGTTGAAAACAGATAGTTTGACTCTGACAACAGGAGATGTCACAATGGTTTTGAATGGTGTAATACACGACAACACAAAAGATTCACTTCATACGCTTGATCAGAAACAAGCAGATTGTCTCCAAGGAATCAGTGATGCTTTGAGCAAATTGCAACAAAAGACAAGTCAGTCGATCGCAGATATAGTGAATGCAAAATCGACAGCTGTGACAGAAATCGACTCGTCAAAACGGGCAGCCATTTTTGAAATGCAGACAGCGGCTAAGCGTTTAAAGTCAGATACGATTCATGAAGTTGAAAAGAGGAAAGAACACTTTATAGACGACATTCAAGACGTAACAAAATCTGCCATAGCTGAAATAGAGGAACACTCTTCTAATCACATCTTTACAGATAAGACGGTTAAGGACGATGTTAAACTTGATGAAGTCATGTACTGTAAGTATGAAAGAAGAAGAGACTATTTGATTGTATTGTTTCACTGGGTGTCACATCGCACTAATAAAGTATAGGTCATATGACGACATTCTCTGTGTGTTAATTCAGGCAGAAACGAGCACCCGAGTAGAACCATCAGCGTTCCGTAAGCTAGCTGGATATCTTTATCACATGAAAGAATCCAAAGACACTTGCGCGGCTCGAACCTACAGCCGGGAGAATCAAGTGGTTTGAAGTCAACGACCTTAATATCACTCGGCCACGGACACCCTCTTATATGAATCTAAACCTGTCAAACATTTTAATACAGAAATGGCACATTCTAATATTCAAACTTCAAACTTGTTTCACAAATTTTGTGTTTCGAAATTAACTTTCTTATCAATGTAAAGGTATATTTTTTTAACCTTGGACGGACTTTTTCGTTTCGAGATTTGTATTATAAAACTGCAAAATATAGCCACGAATGATTCTCAGAAGTTTTTATAACCATGATTAGATGTTTGAAATCATGTTTCGTCAGAGATAGCTTTGGGGAATTAAAAATAGGATTTGATTCACCATTTTTTGTAAGAATTTTCAATTTGTTCTAACTCAACCAGTTAAATACAATGTAGTAAGTATTAAAAAACGATGTTTTGTTGTGCATATAAAATAGCGTGATGCTCATGTGTTTCTATTTCAATAAAGTCAAATGGGTCTTGGCATGTTTGTTAAAGAGCGTGTTTCAACTGGAAAAGCCATCCTATTTATAAGCATCATTTTCTTATTATTTGTAGTCGTTCGTGATGATTTTGTCAAGTACTTAAAGCTCTAAAGAATTGTTGTCTTACCTAATTAAGATTACATAGAGCGAAGGGACGTGGACGTATTTCGACATGGCTGTTGTACAGACTCAGACCATGTCCGTGTTATTTATGTGTTGCTTTTCTTAAAATGTTTAAATGGATATCTCTTGTATAAACTTATGTATATTTCTTTTATAGGTTTACAGGAAGATCTTGTTGCTTTTTACCGAGATGAGTTTGAATCAATACCAGTTACACCACTTGTTCCAGAAAACGATACCAAACTGATGGACTTTTTCGTACAGCCGAATATAGAAGAAGTTGATAGAAACTATCAAAGGAAGATAAACTCGGATGGCCGTAAAGAGTTAACTTGTTGCCATGATATATTCTCAAATGGTTCTGAACCGTGCCAGAATATATTTCTTTCAGCCCATGCTGGTCTCGGGAAAACAACATTTGCAAAACACCTTTGCATGATTTGGTGTCATTGTAAAAATTCTGATGATAGAAATGATCAACTTCAATTAGTGTTTGAGGATGAAATCAGCGCTATAAATGGATTCGACCTATTATTTTTCATTTTTCTTCGAAATGAGCACGGTCGTGAATGTGATGTTGATGAAATGATTATTAGCCAAGTTATATCATTTTTGTCAAGAGCACATCTGTACAAGTCAGGTATTGTAAAGGAACTTCTGCATCATAAGAAATGTTTGATAATTTTGGATGGGCTGGATGAATGGTCACACCCGACATTTACACGATGTCGAAAGCTGTCTTCGATTCCTCATAGAAGAGCAAGACCGAATTCTGTCATGCTTTATACAACACGCCCATGGAAATTACACGAGGCAAAGATAAGTTCCAGTATGATCGATAAGCATATTGAGATGAAAATGTTGAAGAAAATGTCTGTCGAGAAACTCACTGGAAATGTTATCTATTCCCTTAATAAGATTAATGATAAGCAAAAGAAGATTGAACATTTCCAGAAATTAACTGAACGAAATCAGCTAGCAGAGTTTACTTCAACACCTGTCATACTTGTTCATTTGATATGTCTCTGGCATGATGACCGACCAATTGATGAATCAAAATGTCAAGTATATCTCAGCATTATAGACTTTCTGTTTCAACATGGCGAACTTAAGATAAATGAACTTAAGAAAGGACCAGTTCTTGAGATTGCAAATGCTGACTGCTCAAGAGTTCCAAATATACCGCTGCCAATCTTTTGCAAGAAGAATTATGGACTTATTTCAGCATTAGGCGAGTTGGCATTTCATACACTGTTCGAACAGCATAGGGAATCATCACTTGTGTTTGAAAGGGATGTGGTAAATACGTACCTAACCGATGATCAGCTATGGTGCTGTCTCCAAATGGGACTTTTGACAAAGAACAAGACAAGAACAGTTTCATCAAGGGAGTTCACTGTTTCTTTCATCCATAAAACTTTTCAAGAGTTTTTCTGCGCGCTGTATATTCAATCTCTCAGCAACATTGACCATATAATGACAACCGTCTTAAAGGTATGCTGCTCCATTGAAAGAATTCTTGAATTCAGCAATATCTTTGTGTACCTAGCAGGAGTTTGTCCAAATGCTTTAACAGTTCTGTCAGAAAAAATGAATGACACTATTGCAAAAGATGCCCTTGTTATTGAATGCAGACGCGATGTTCTAGCTTGGAGCGAATGGAACCAAAATGCCCAAACTTTAAAAGAATTCCAGAATATGCAAATAGCTTCTGTCAAAGAATGTTTAAGGAATGGTCAAACAGTTCCCGAGTTATGGATTGAAGACTTTGTTCTTGACGGCGATTTTGCATCTCAAGAATATGCCGACAGTTTAAGACAATTGATTGAGATGAACAAAAGAAAGATAAAATCTTTGAATGATATTAGGACATCAGGACGTCAGCCAAAACTAGAAGACATAGTCGATATAAGCTTGATTGAAAAATTAGAAAAGTTTGAAATCTTTGGTGAAATTGACAAAGACGAACTGGACAAACTTTCTGAGGCATCATTGAACAGCTTGATATGTTTTGGCGCTAGCTGTTCCGTTTGGGAGGCTAACAGATGGATTCCAAGTCACACATCCCTACCAGAAAAGGTGCTTGGACAAGTTATCAAAATGAGTCATTTAGAAGCGATCCTTCTTGAATGTTTGCAAATGACACACGAACAGTTAGAAAAACTGATAGAACTGATTTCAATGAAAAGAAATATGACACAGATATGTTTAGAGGAAATTTCATGTAGTACACATGGAGACAGTTGTCAAGGATTAGAGCTCGATCTCTCAGAGCATGGTGATCTTGCAGTGTTCGATATAGGCACTGTACCACTGTCAAAAATAAAGTTAAACGCCACATCTCTAGAAAAGGTCGGGATGGGAAAACTTGTTTCTGCCGGAGTGCAGTCTGCAATTCTTGACGTTCTCCCAAAAGCGAGAAATTTAAAGCTATTCGGGTGTTTTGACATTTTCTGTGAACAAGATGCTGAAAAATTCTTAAATGTTTTATCAACTTTGATACAGTTACAATTTATGGTGTTTAAAAGAATTGACATAGGTGATAAGTTATTTGAATTGTCACCTGAAATGAAAAATCTAGAGTATGTGCAATTGGAGGACATGAAACTGTCAGCAAACGCTTTACGGAAACTTTTAGAAAAAACTGAGATAATTGAAAACGCTGTGACAGTAGTACTACGTAATTGTCAGATCACACCAGTGAGTCATTTTGATGAGATGAAAAATTACATAAGGCAATCTGCAAAATTTGTTGTAATAAACGATGAGTACACTGACAGTCACGCGAACGTGTTTTCCTTTAAAACGTGGAGTTGTATTGCAGAGTCAGCATGCTCGGTATAGAAATCTTTGAAACTTGACAGTCGCGGTAATAGAACGTGTTTCTTTTAAAACATGGAGTTGTATTGCAGAGTCAGCAGCATGTTTGGTATTGACACCTTACAAACGTGACACGAGAAACTTTAAAACATTGAGTTGTATTGCAGTCAGCATCTTTGGTGTGGGAATCTTGCAAACGTGACAATCACGAGAACCTGTTTTCTTTTAAAATCTTTAAAATCTGGAGTTGTACTGCAGTCAGTATGTTATGTATAGATAACTTGCAAACGTGCCGGTGACGCTAAAATATTCTTTAAGCCATAGAGAAGAAATAAATTTATAGATTGAACTTTGATAATATTTTATGGCATTTTACGGCCAGAGATTAAGAATCGGTCAATTATGAGGCAAATCGTTTAGTTCTATTAAGAGACGTGGAGAAAATGTTTGATAGACAATGATTCTATTACATGAGTCCAACGCTCATCAACTAGACGGATCTTTAACATGTTATAAAAGCTGGCGGAATAATTGTATTGATAAAGTAAAGATATCATATTTAAGATGAGTGGTTGAATTCAAAAGACATTCAGAAGAGCGCAATACTTAAACTGATCCCAACGATTTGACCATAATAAGATCTGTAGGATGTGCTTACCAGCTCACCAACTATACCAATCTTTAACATGTTATAAAACCTGTCGTTACCTAACTAGTACTAAAGCAGATACACGAACAAGTTTCTATTGTAGACTTTGAGACGGTTGCCAGAAGTGTGAGTGAACATGCAAGCAATACTTATGTCAGGACACACCTGAACCATGTGGTATATATCAGGAGCCACTTTATGTGGGTATAACATTTATCCTATCACAAAATCAAAGAAATCCGCCTGTGTTGTAACCTCGAGTATAAACTTTTATCATGACAGTTCTATGATATGTTTTGGCGCTAGCTGTTCCGTTTGAAAGGCTAAAACATATCTAAAACAAAACTGTGAAGCGGAGGAGGTCTCCAAGACTGATTTTGGTCATCAAATGTTTTACCCCGAAGTCAAATATGAAAATATATTTAAATTCTGTAGAACTTTATGCATAGCTTTGATACATATCGAATATAATGGCGTATTTGATAACATCATACGGCCTGAAGTATATTTTATTTACATCTTTATTGTCCCATATTAAAAGTCATAGAACAAAGTGAAGGGTGCCCCCGCCTCTTCCCGCTTGTTGTGGCCCTTGTTTTCGGTAAAGAAGCTGGGTGCGAAGTATATTCGCCCCTTTTAGTGAAAGTTCTTGTTTTTGTACTTAAACTTATTTTATATTAATGTTTACTCTATACATTACCTTACATTTATTTTTAACTTACACTTTTGTTATACTTACAGTTCTGTAAACTTACATTTTTATACATAGAGTAATATCGCATTATGTTTCCAGTAATGTTTTAAGACGTTTGGCTTTTGCTCACTTGTATTTTAAATGCTTTATGATTTTTACATTTAGTGACAATTGATTGTGTCTTTTGTTTAAGACACTTGCAATATTTTTGATAATCTTTATTTTTTATATTTTGTAAACAAAAATACATGTATATCTACTTTTGTTTTCCTGTGAAGTTCTTGTTAGTTTATATTTATTTTATATAGATTGTTGTTGTTTTTTTCTTTTTGCCGCTTGATTTTTATTTGTTTGTTAACACTTATTTCATCACGTTGTTATTTTTGCTGTTTCTATTTCTTATGTGCATGATTACCTCTAAACGCCATTTAAACATGTATATATTTAAACATGCGCTCAAAGACACGAACAAGGTTTTAAAAAGCTTAAACGTTATAAAACCCACGTTTTCTCTTTCTAAAGAATAAAATATATGTTCATCCATAAAGCATAATGTGCTTTTTATAGAACTCGCAACGTTATACAAGTATAGGTTATAGTGCATATTGGGTGTTCTTCGTAAATAAGAAAGCTAAAAAGGAGCGGAGCTTGCGGAGCGACTGTAGCTTTCTTATTTACGAAGAACATCCAATATGCATTCTAACCGGCTTAGTGCTCCGCCCACTTGCGTTTTATAATATAAAACGTCCAGTTTATATAAAATCTGTTCTATTAAGATTTGAAACCTGAAAATTTGAAAAGTCCTCGTCGGTGATTGGCTTAAAAAAATTGGCGAGCAATAAATATAAATAAGTCTATTTTTAATGGAAAACTATTTGCATGTTAAAATTCTGTGACGGAATGAATTTTTTATTAGATCTTTTTTGCACTTAATTACAAATGAAATATGTTAGATATACAAGTACATGAATTTTTTTTCAGTGATGTAAACACTTTTTGTTGTGTAAGATAATACATGTTTTGACATTGCAACATGAACCTTGAATTAGTCGTATTTTGTCTTAAACACTGTATATAAACTGTATTAACCAATTAGTACATTGATAAGTGTGATTATGACGTAAGTCACCTTAAATTATAAACATTGCATGATTCATGATGGTAAAGATAAAATGTCCTGCAAGTACAGGCATTTACATACACATATTGTGAATTTAGATGTGATTCAACAGGTCATTCTGCTGGCCGGAATATTGACCATCATTTTAAAGTAATTTGTTTTGTTGTTTAGTTTATTATATAGAATAAAAAATATTAAGCAACATTAAAATCTTACTGTTAAAGTGTTTATATGGCTTGTTGTTTATAAGCATTGAATACTATAAAGTAAATAAACTTTTGACAATTTGTCCATAGAAAGTCAATGTGACAACTGCCGGTAGTGAAAAATAAGTACATGTACGACAATAAAAAGTTTTAGTGGATAATGTGAATGGGAAGGTTAATAACCAAAATACATCCCACTTTATCAACCAATATCTTCAACATACGTAATATTTGATTAATTTTCAAAACATTCTTTTCTGTATTCATCAAACATGGCGGAAGCCGGATTTTGAAGGGACTTCACTGAGGTTTTTTTGACATGACGGGATTGTTAATTAATGATTTTTCGGGATTATTTTTCCGTTCGATGTAGACCAAGACGTTCAAAATTTCTGAATACTGGCTCAGATCGGGCCATGAACAGCACAAAAAAAAGATTTGCAATTTATTTCTGAGTATATTTTTTTAATTATCGTTTGTAAATCTTTCGATTCTATGTGCCCCAATTTATCAATGGAAAATTTTAAATTTTATATTATTATGCTTTTTTACCTCGGTGAAATTCCTTTAACTTATTTTTCACGATAAATTGTAATATGTTCCTTTCTTGTAATACAAATAAGGGGTGTCTGCAAAACAGGGACACCATGTGTTCATGTGTATTGGTGACGACATTGGACATAATTCATGTTTGGCCTATTGACAAACAGCTGTTATTGTCATTAGAAAACAATTAATTATTAATAATATACAATGTATTTGAAAGTGATAGTGGTCACATATTAAAGGTATAACTGGTTAATGACACGAAAGATATGTATCAAATCAGCGCTTATATGTACCCGATATAAACAGCTGAACTATACGTAACCATGATGTTGTCTGTTTAGGAAATAAATATCAGTTGTAGAATAATGCACGATTTGGGTTCAAATGCGTAGGAATATAGCCACGAAGGCCCATTTTCTTATTAGATAGATCATTTCTGTCTTTCTAGATAGTTTTCAGAACGAAATTCAACAAAAGTTGTTTTTATTTATAAGATTTTTGAAAGTCAATGTATGGGACTGAAAAAACAGAGGGAGGAAAAAAGAACGGCGAGTGCATTGTTGTAGAATAACGCACGCTACCGGACTTCTTTATTTATATTGTCCAACAACATTGACCTGGCACTCTTGCACTTTACCCTGTAGTCGGTATATTCCGTAAACGTTACCGTAAACGTTACGATCTACTTGTAAATAGATATGAGTGTAAATATCGAAATGTTAAAATGTTATGAAATAGAAATCCTTCATTGCGCAATTGGTGAAGGGGTTTCAGTGGAAGACTATAAACATAAACTAGTAGATTCGAATCCTATTTCAGCGATTTCGATTTTATTTTTTAAACTGCCATTTTCTTAAAATTATTCCTGTTGTGTGTATGTGTAGTATTTTAATAAAGCATGTATGCTCTAAAGCATTTACGATTGCATAATGTCACAGTGAGAACCGTTGAAAAAAATGTATATAAAAACACCACTTAAAAGGTATTCCAAAACACGGTGTAATAAAACGATTTTAAGTTCATTCTTGCAAGTTAATAAAATTAATCAGAACGTATTGGTAAGGATTGGAACCAGAGACCTTCAGATCGGTAATCCGACAGTCCGACATCAATACCAATACACCACACATGCACTGACTAGTTAAAATATATCGATATATTCGATAGATACTGGTCAGTGTTTATACAACGTAATGAAGTGCCAGGTCAATATTGTTGGACAATATATAGAGAAAGTTTTCCGACAGTATTAGAATTGAAATTAGAGCCGGACACTGGTTTGTCAGCCCTATGGTGGAGGATCCGTTCCACAACGAATTAATGCGCCCCTTTTTGAGTTTTATTTTGTTGTCCATTTTATTACCATGTGGTATAATGTTCTTCATTCTGGTTGGATTAGGGTAGGCGGTGTACGTGTAGAAATGGTCAAATCTAGTCAACTGTCCTGTTGCCGTTCAAGATAGGCGACAACTACAATAATAAGTTACATATTAGATCTGCATTTGTTCGTTATGATTTGCATATATGCTGGCGCCTTAACCAATATGGTTTCTGCAGCTGTGTACTTGTCCAAAAATATTTCGGTATTACAAGTATACAGTACTGTAAAAAAAAGTTTTAATTAATAAACATCCTATAAATAGTGTATGTTAACTTGTGTGAGATCCTACCCTACATGTATCTACGCAAGTGTATTCTATTTTACGAAATAGATAAATTCGAATTGCAGACGCATTTGACTATACCCCAGAGAAAGAGAGAGTCAAGTTAATAGCAATCTGATCAAAACCAGCTACTGTAGGAAGTAGGAAATAAGTAGACCTGAACTTGGGTCAGATTGAGTTTTTTTCGAAACTTAACTAAGTGTTTTTTCGATTTTTTTTTGTCTTACAATGAAAAAAACTTTCGAAACTTTGTTCTGAATAAATTTGATAACGAATATTTAGATGGCGATGATCGCCCACCATACAAATATTTGAGCCCACATATGCAGATGATGATATTTGTTTTTATTCTATGCATATACTTATGGAATAATTTAAAGTTTTTATCCTCTTGATTTTTAAAAAAATATAGATTAGATAATTTGATATTTGTTAGAACTTAGAAGTATGCATTTTCTGACCGCGTTAATCTTATTGCTGTTTAATCGGTAATAGCAGGCGACAATTTGTTTACAAACGGTGATTTAGCTCAGGTGACTGACAGATAGTACAAGCCTTTAGATAAATTACTGTTTGTCACTTTAGATGAAAAACAAAATATGTATCCAATCAAATGGCCATTCTAAATGTTCAAACTCAGATATAAATATGGCATATCTTTTTACTATTAAGATTAGACACAATACAAAGTGGAAAACTTATAAATTGCAATGTTTGCCCATTTTAAATTTACTAAAACTTACGTGCATATTTATGGATAAATGTATAAAGACCAAAAAGAAAAAAAAATCAAAATGTAATTGTAAATTCCTTGAAATGTCTTCATATTGAATATTTTGATTTCTTGCTGCTACATGTATTTGCTATTTTCGAAATTTATTTAGACAAATGCCTCCTATGTTCACAGTGAAATGAAAGGGAACAAAGTAACTAGAATTTGATGCAGGTGCAACAATTTTCTTCATGAAGTGCAATCCTAGATCATATATCCTTTATTCATGGGCGTAACACGCGTTATAAGATTTTAGCGTATTGTTTGGATTCACTGTGTTCAAGGTTAAAAAAAATCAGACCTCTATTTCATATTCCGGGTATAACAGGCATAGAACGTGCACCAGATTGTGATTTTTTGTGATGTTAGTTTAAACGAGGGCATTTGAACTAAAACAAGCCTGATACGTCATTTGGGCAGGTCAGCGTTCGTGGGTGCAGCATACTTGTTTATAATTACTGACTTTTATCTCTCTATTATATCGAGATATCTTTCATCTTATTAGAGTGAGATTATTTTGCGTGTTACGGCCTACGGCTGTACATGTTGATTCTCTATCAGCAACGTCACGAATCCCTGTAGGTTCCATTTGAGTCATAACGATTCAATACATACTGACCACTACAGTCCATGAAAAATTAATTGAAAAACACTTCTCCAACCTGTGTGGTCCGAATAAGATTTTAAGCAAAGCCGACAATGATATTTTTGAAGAATATTTTATGTTTTTCTATCCTTTTTATAATTCACGATGTAGGGGCACAAACAAATTTATTAGACAACGGAGATTTTGAGTCAAGCTGTTCTGGTTTAGGAAACTGGATATGTATGGGAGGATGTACACTAACTCCAAATGGTGATGCCCGCACTGGCTCGCTTAGTATGCAAGTCTCTAACAGGTTCGGTACTTTATTACGTTTAACAATTAAATTTAATAAGTTATGTTTAGTTAATATCCATTTAAATTAAACAGACTTTTTGAAAGCCTACAAGTACTTATTATATTTATATTTTGAAGTGACGTCATTTGCGTTATACAAACATACTGTAGCGTTAAGACGCGCTAAATGTAAGCATTTTATACTATAGGGGGCGACAATGAAAAGTGGTTCTTTTTCACTTCAAACAGTCTATTTTTTAGTTTGTGATAAATAGATATAATAGATGATATTCAAGCTTTTACTAAAAAAACAGGATTTATTTTCATCGAGTGGTATGAAAATAAATATTTCATGAGTGGTTGTAGCCACGAGTGAAAAATGATAATTTTCAAATAAATCATGTATTCATAGAAAAAACTGAAATTTTCTGTTTATTATATACATTTTCCTCTTTTTTGACATTACAATTTGAAATAATTTCCCTTATTTTTGTATATTGGCTGAATTTAGAAAAAAAGTACTCCGGCAAGACAACAGTGAAAATACGGAAAATATTTTTCACTGCAATGAAAAATATTTTTTTTATGGTGAAAATATGGAAAATAAAAACACGCATTTTATTTCATCAATATTACTCAATATTTCATATATTAGTATATAATAAAATATAAAATCCGTGTAAGTTGCATTAGTCGTTGTCATCATCATCATCATCATCATCATCATCATCGTCATCATCATTATCATCACCATTATCATCATCATCATCATCATCATCATAATCGTCATCATCATCATCATTATCATCACGATTATCATCATCATCATCACCATCATCATCATCATTAGTATCATCATCATCATCATCATTATTTGTTTTATACACAATCTATTTATGTTTAGGGATGCTAACTGGAAAGGCTTGGCTCAATTTGTAAATGTTGATGGAGGTTCTCGTTATAAATTGACCGCCTTTGTGAAGCTACTCAATATTGCCAACAACAAAACTTACCAGGATGTGCAGCTGATCATGAAATGTGAGGATGAAAATGGTTCGTATAAAAATATCACAATTACAACAATAAATTTAGCAAAAATCAATGTTTTTTTCCCTATTTTGTAAATATATTACATGTATTTTTTCAAAGTGCGTTTGATAAAATCAGAACAAAATACAACCCTTAAACCTTTGTTGAGGACGATTCTTGTATCTAGAATCAATATCTTTAAGATAATCGTGTATCCACCATTTCATAATTTTGACTATTTCTAACATTCTACAATGTCTTTAGGAAACGCCTAAGTGACACAAAATTTAATTTGATTCTTTTTTCAGAGACAGCAAAATATATGAAATTTGGAAAAACTCCACTGGTTCAAGCAGGGCAATGGTATGAAGTTGGAGGTGTGAGAAAGATTAATGAAGGTAGGGTCAATTTTAAAACTTCGTCGGGTTTTATATGAATTCATTTTCGACCCTTTTTGAGGGGAATAACACGTGACAGAAGAGCCATTCAAACGTTATAATCTTCCCTATGAAATGCGTGTAAAAATCCTATTGTACGTTTCGATACAGGAGTTAACTACTCGGCTATATGGTAATTTATACCATGTCTCAAATTCCAAATCTTTAGATTTCTTGTATACAAAGTCTCAAAACCAAATGTTTTCATTTACAGTTTCATTTTCAAACGCCATTATATTGTTATATATTGATACTGATAAAAGATAAACTGATGATGCAGGTAATGTGAAGATATACGAAATAAAACAAATTACTATTACTATTCAATGAATTGATAGGAATATACATGTAATTTTAATACAAAGACGGGTCTTTAATAAGACAAAGATGTCAGATTATAATATTTAAACACGAATTTTCTGATTTGTCATTTTGAAGGACTACACACATGTAGGTTTTACGTGTCGACAGAGGCTCATACAGATTATCTTGTTGATGATGCCAGTTTAGTGTTCGTAACCGAGGATCCTGACTGGAGAATAAAAGCCAATGATAGAATAAAACAACATAGGAAGGCTGACATCACTGTTAGGTTAGTACTAGTATGACATGTTTATTCCTTAATAGCAAGAGTTACAATAATTGACACTGTTTGAGTATCTTTTGTTACAACTATTGAGAAAAAAAGAGAAAAACAAGAATCGACAAAGAACGTCGAAGACGAGAAAATTGAAAATGGTGCAGGGCCAGTTCGAGTCTACACTTCCATTGCAGCCTTGACCATACACAATGCAGACAACGGTTGAGTCACCCAATTGAATGATATACCATATAATCATTGTATCTCGGAATTGTAAATGAAAGAAGAAATTTAGTAGAGTAATAATACATATATCGTAGATCACACTTTTTTGTATTGAAATGTGATAAAAAATATATTTAAACAATTAGAATGAAAACAAATGTCATAAATTAATATGTATATTCATGTATATATATACATATCATTTAAGGATGACCGGAGATTACGCTGAATCTACGTCATTAGATATCGAGGTATACCCATAATTTCTTTACCATTTATAGTATAGATTAAAGATAATCTCCATAAAACGGATTTAATTTATCCCCTTGTTTTTCTTTATATATGTTGTGTTTGTAAATTTTGTCGGTCATATACATTTGTAACACAAAGCGGTTATTCAAGTGGTGGTTGTCTCGAGATTTTCAAACCACGAGATGAAAATAAATCCCGTATTTATAACACTTGCAATTTCTTTTGTTTATTGACTTTACTTTACTTCTTTGACCTTACAACGACTTCCCCGTTAAATTTGTATTTTATATATAGAAGAAATTAGTTCGACAAGACACCATAGGAAATACAGAAAATAAAGAAATATGTTTCATAGCAGTGAAATCTAAATTTGTACAGTGAAAATACGGAAAATGAAAATATGCAATTTATTTTATCAATATTTCTCAATATTTCATTGATATAATATAATAAAATATATTTAACACCGTTAATGGTAGCTTCAGCAAACAAAGCATGAGTTTATCTTTGGGTCAGTGGTTCGAGCCGCATTGTTAGAAGACGACGATCTGAACCTGCCATACCAGAAGGTCTTCTATGAGAACTATGAGTGGAGCGTGCTAGGCAATGCACTTAAGTGGAAGCAAATGCAGCGAAAGGAGGTATGAGGTGGTCATTTTATGATTTATTTAGAGTTGCATTGGCCCCAATTCACTCTACATTGTATTAAACTTTTGAAAACAACTTTTGGCTGACGCAAAGGCTTTTTTTCCTATTTCGTACCTCTGATGAACAGTTTATAGACAAGCTGCAAGTCTAGATTGATGAAAATTATTAGCATTTTCAAACATTGTGAGAAATTTCAGTTTATACCGGGGATGCGAATTAAAGGCCCTTTTCGTGAAAAAAAGTCTCCTTTCTGAACAATTTTAATGTTGTTTTTTTTTTCTTTTAAAAGAAATATTCCGCATTTTGTTTTTACAACGCAGTTCTAAGCATACACACTGGTTTTGTGCTTCGAACATGGAAATAGTATTTCAATTGTATAGTTATCCGATGGCGCGCGTCATAGGCGCTCCTTTTTTGTTTGTTGTGATATTAAATTCTCCAGTGTAGGCACAGAAAAGATCAAATCTTATGTTGATTGTCTTTCTCAGAAACGACGACAACTATTCCGCCATAATTATAACGTAAAGCCTTCCTATTTTGATTTTTTATTAACGCAATCGATAATCGTATTTTAAATTAATTTACAATGTATATATACAATGTATTTTTGTTTTAACTAGAACTTCATTGATTATCCGACGCCCCTTACCGCAATGAACACTTTAGCTTCAAAGGGGTAAGTAAAACTTTCAAGACATAACAAAACACTTTTTTTAGAGGTTTGATGGTTGTGGTATCGATTTTGCTGCTGCTGCTGATGATGATAATGAAGAAGAAGAAGAAAAAAAGAAGAAGAAATAGAGGAAGAAGAAGAGGAAGGAGATGATGATAATGCTTCTGCTGCTGTTGATGATGAAAAAAAATATGCTAACAATGATCATGATGATAATGATGATGCTAAAAATTCTAATGATGATAGATTATGCTGATGATAATGACAACAATAGTAAAACTAATTAATATAAAATTTTTAATACTTACTATGATGATGATTTTTTTTTTTCTGATCATCACATTTGCAGTATAAACTGATGATTTATTTATACAGAATTCTTCTAAGATGTCACTGCGCTGTCTGGGGAGTAGATGAAAGAGTACCAGACTGGGTTAAACTTCTAAAGGGACAAGATTTAATTGATGCTGTTGCCGAGCGAATCGAAGGCGTAGTCAACCAAACAAAGGGACTGTGAGTGTATTTCAATGTATATTTGTAATTTATTTAAAAAAAAAATGATTTGCAAAGATTTATGAAAAACGACACTTACAGAAGATTTATATAGAAGGAGAAGAACTTGTACTACAGTGCTTTCATGTTCAGAAATATTGCTTTTATACCTCAATTTTGTATTCAATATTGTATATGCACGTTATCTTTGAATTATATTTCAGATGTGAACATTGGGATGTGAACAATGAAATGTTACATGGAGACTTCTTTGAGCGTGAATCTGGTAATCCTGACATTACTATGGACATGTTCAGGCAAATCCACAAGTGGGACGATCACCCGACGCTCTTTCTTAACGACTATAACGTCATTAGTAATTGTGACGTCGCAGTGGTAATTAAATTATTTTCACTTTAAAAAAAAAGATTAACTAAAAGTGAATTGATACTTTCCGCTTCGTAATACTTGCATACATTGTAAACGTTCTAAAATATAAAAATATGATATGCTTATTTTATCCAATAAAATTACTTTAAAGTTTTTACTCCGGTGTATTTATGACATCATGACGTTACAAACATCACGTGATTCGTTAGATACAACGTCCGTTTCCTTAGTAACAACAAAGATCGCAAACGAAGAGGATAAGAAATCTAAAATGTCGAAATTTCTCGCATTTATATGTTGCGCTTCGAAATGTAAACGTGATGACGACGACGACAAGGTACACGACCTTGTTATAACAAGAGTATACCAGTCGAAGAGTTTATCAGAACTCGCTCAGCTGCGAAAGGAATCAAAATCACCAAAGGCAGTCCGCAGTGTAATCACAGCCGATGAGGCTGAGAAAAAAGTGAAAAATAAATCGGGCAAAAGCAAGAGAAGATTTAGATTTTTTCGAAAATGGGGGGCTAGAAATGAAGAAAAGGCGGATACCCCACGTGCTCAGGAAGAACTGGAGGTAGATATGGCAGACGGTGAGAGTCTCCCAGAAGAAGAGTTGGAAGTTGTACCTGGTGATATGTTGATGGATGGTGATGCAGGGAACACCTTGCAGTAAAAACGTGTTAATCATTAACACCTACCAATAGCTGCCGAGTATGATAAACCCGGGAAGTGTGCTGATTTTTATTTATATGAATCTTATGGAAAGAATTCACTAAACGAGGGGTGATGAAAATTGGAAACAATTTCAAAATAAAATAAATCTTACATGGACTTTGACATAATTGGGCAGTGAAGAGGGACATAGTAAACTTTGACGATGTTGTGAGAAAATATGAACGCAATGAACAATGCTGACTCTGAACATAAGAGCATCAAGGGCCAAGTTGTATAACTTAAGATAGTAAAAAAACAACCCGGTAAATGTTGTTAATTACTTTTACAATTTCAGGCAATGAAGGACACCGCTGTTAGGTTTCAGCAGGCAGGCGTGCCTATTGGTGGGATCGGAGTTCAAGGTCATATGCGCGACATTGATTTGACCTTAGTCCAGGTATTCGAGTTTCTTTTCAAAATATACCGAGGATTAAAAGAGAGGCGGGGTATATTATATGTGATTTAGAATATATTCGTTTTGAAAATCATCCAATTACTAATCCGGAACGGTACAATAATTATTTTGCATTTCAACGACAAAAACATAGTTTAATGGGAATAATACAACATAGAATATCATAGAATGCTCACTGACTAAATACAATAGTAAAATCGCTTTCGGAATTAGCGATTATTTAATTGTTTTATCAAACACCACAAATAAAGTTAAAATTCACTCAAAACATATTTTGCTCCTAATCTCATTTGCATATGTTTTCGTGAACAAGTATTAGGTATTATTAAAAACATTATGCTATTACTCAGTATTATTTGTGTTATGATTATACACTTTTAACATGGCAAGCAAATTTTATTATTTACCCAGGCTAAATATATTTGTTTTCTTATTCTTGTAGGCTAGACTTGACATTTTAGCCGAGGCTGATCTACCCATAGTTATTACAGGTATTGTTTTAAAATAAAATTTACAGGCAATAGAAGTAATATCTGGCATATTCAAATAAGTTATGAAAAGTATAATGGCATTATTTTACCGGTGATAATAATAGAATTCTCAATTTTAATAGTTTCATAAAGTTATGTGACGTCACATCAAAATATATGCACGGCCGTGGTATACTGTTTCTGCAACGCTTGTTTTTATTTGTTTGGGTCGTCAGAACAAACAAATAATGGTAGCGAAATTTCAGACCCTGATGTGCTGATTTGCAAATACCGAAAGTAGTCCAAACTCCTCGAAGTTACTTCCCTTTATATGTACACTAACACCGAAAAATTAAGGGGAGATCACTACGTAAAGATTGTCAAATGACATGCGCATTAATTTTCGTAAAAAAACGTTCCCGATTGGTCGAATATTTCTAATATTCGCTCATTCTCAATAAAACACAGCATTTGATGTTCCACTGGGTAGCTCTTATACGAAGGTTTTTCTTGAGGTCAAAATGTCAATAGAAAAGTGGCTGCCACTTTGTCTAATGGGGACTCTCTCAGTTTTACATTTCTATCTGTTATTTTTCTTTTACAAGTAGCATTTATGCCCTAAAATGTAACATACGTTACTGTCGCCAACTAGAATTTTCAACTTTGAAATTGTGTTTCAGAAAAATAAGTTCCAGAATAAACAAAACATGTGCAATTAGTCATTGCTGTGTGTATATGCACTTTGATTATTGGTAAAAATTATATTTGACTGATAAAATCTCATTGATATAATGGATAATCAAATGTCGCCAAATGCATATAAATAAATAGTGACAAACCTTAAACAATAAGAAGTGAAACCGAAATTACATAATTGAATCGATGCATGCTTAATAATACAGCATATATATAATTATAAGTAAAAATAAGCTTGCAGCCACTCAAATATCATTCAATTTTCGAAAATTTTCATTTTTTATTCAAATCTTTTCAACAGCATTTTAAAAAGAAACATACGTTACCATTATTTAAGAGCCAATCCATTCAAAGAATAATCCAAACAAGAAAGAAAATTAACATGTGTGTAATTCTGATATATTAACCACAAATTATGGCGGGTTAAATGGTCTTGCGTCATTTTTAACCCACTTTCAATGTAAAAATGAAACATACGTTACAGAAACATACGTTATCAACTTTTTAAAGTAAGTCTATCAAAAGGGAAATTGAAGTCAGAAAGCACGTATAACAGCAACATTAACTTCAATTTGACATTAGTAAGTAAATTTTGTTAACTTTGGTCGAGTTTTAACTTGTTTAAGTAACCACAGTGAAACAAACGTTACTTTTATCAAGCAGATTTTATATTGTTTACACATGCATATATAAAAACATAAAATCGCATTTTTATGACAATAGAATGATGTACATTTGATTCCTAAATAAAAAAGTTGATTTCACATGTAAGTTTCAATTCCGTGATAAAGTTCATAAATAAGTGGGTGTGAAACATACGTTACTCCAACTTACAATTCAACAATTTTTGAAAATTAAAGATAAAGTTGGGATAAGCATGCCTGTTAGCAACGGTTACCTTGTATTAGGTGTAAGAAGATACAAACGTGCTTTTACAAAGGAAAGATATATTAATAATATGTTGATGTACCAGCAGAAATGTTAAAATATATTACAAGATATTGAAGTTCTCAGCAACAACTAATTCGTTTCTGCAAAGAGCTTACTGGCCGTATTTCATTCTATATATAATAATGTTAAAATAATATCCATTTATAAATATAAATTATTTTACAAAAAATAAAATTATTTTTTCAACCTTTACTTGCATTTGAAAAAAAATTAAACATACGTGACATCCTATATGGGAATAAATATAGAACTGCTTAGCAATACATATTCCAAATATTAAGAAAGTGGAAATTTGAATGTTTTGGAAAAAAAATATGCTAATACAAGATTTGTGTATGCATTCGACCTCTCATATATTTTACATGATATATATCCTTTGAATGAAGACATAAAATAATCATTTCCAAAATTGACTATTTTTGCTTTCTACGAATATTTAACTTTGAAGAAATTAACTGAAACTTAGCAAGGTACCCAACTTCCTTGAATATTGCTGGGTTAGAAAGTCCCTCTAGATAGATAATTTACAGATTTTGATATATTTTACAGACATTTGTTATTAATATGCAGCCAATATGTTACATTATTTGATCTGAAATCTACGTTACCGAAGAAACACAGTGTCATTACCGAAATAAATGCCATCCTGTTATATTATAGTTTCTTGTTCAAAATATTTCTGGCAAACTTGCAAAATACCCTAAACTTTTACTTCAGCGATAAAAAATGACACAATGACAACATCAAATTTTTATTATTTTTCAACCTGAAATGCTTTATTTTATTGAGAATGTGCGATTATGTTATTCTTAAAGATATACATGCTTATATTAAGCTCCATGATTATTTACATCAGTGTTAAACAACAGGTTTACCGTGAACAAAATGTATCGAAATTAATAAGGGTTACAAACCTTAATTTAGAGTAATAAGGTTTTCTTCAGGTTACTATCTTATAACCTCCCAGTGGTCGAGGGGTTTACACGCTCGCTTTGGAAGCGAGAGATCAGTAGTTCAAATCCGAGTTAAGACGACTCATGTTTTTTGTTTTGTTTTTGTTATTTTTTTTTAGTTGTTTAAGCTAAATACATACACATTGAATTGAATATTAGTGTTGCAATTAGTCTTATAGCCAATTTACTATAGTTATAACACTGGAAACAGCATTGGTGACACTATACAAACAAATTCGTTTATAATCTCACAGCCTTCACCTTCCTGACATTCTGAGACTCAAACAAATTCAGCGCCCTCTGTGCTTTGATCTTTATTTTGTTTACACAATAACAATAGTAGGTACCTATTTATAAATAAAAAAATCTATTACAGAATTTGCGGTGAACGAGATAAATGACACGTTGAAAGCTGAAAAATTAGTGGATCTTATGACTATATTTTTTGGACACCCCTCAATTGACGGAGTGGTTTTCTGGGGATTCTGGGACGGTCAGATATGGGAACCGGAAGCTGCAAAATTTACAGGGAAAAATGTGGAAGTCAGTATTGTTTTTAAGCATAAAATGTTTACATTTTGATTTAAAAATGTTCATGTAAGTTTTAGACATGATAATGTGGGTTCGTTTGTTCTGAATTGCACCCAAACATGTCATTTTTTATATTTGAAAATATATCCAATGAACAGAATAACTGTTACTTGGAAATATATCACTAGATAGATCAACAATTCAACCTAAGTTATGGATTTTAACACTGTTGGATGATTGATTTTTTTTCATTTATCCTAATAAAAGTTCTTTATTTCCAGCCAAACGCTGCCGGTTTAGCATACCAGGAATTATATCAAAACACGTGGAGAACACGTGACTTTCAAACGCTTCGAGGCCTCGAGGAATATACAGTGACAGGATTTAAGGGAGACTATCTGCTCAAAGTGAAACACGGAGGAGAAATTTTACTGACGCAGGAGTTTCAGTTGTCAGACGAAGGAATCGATCTAGAAATTCACTTAAATGGAACATCTGGTAATATCGTGAAATTTCTAGAAAAAAAATCTATTTGTTTTTGTACAGTACACACTACCACATAAAATATTTTTTCGGGAGCATGTTTTGGTCACTACATTATCCCTACATATATAGTTGGAAATGCTCATATTAACGGTCTCTTAATGTCCACTACTAATTTTTGAAATATCAAGATGAAAAATTCTAAACTTACTGGACACAGATATAGAGGATATTGAATGAGTGTAGTTTAATACTTAATTTATTGAACGAGTTGAATAACATCATATTATGCGAGCCTCTGGCGCAAGAGTGTAATAGAGCCATTTATTACATGCTTTTCGGTGGTTTATAAAATATATCAGTGAAATAAAAACTGATAATTTCACTGTTTTAAACAGTGAAATTATCAATTTGATAATTTCACTGTTTTGAATATTTGAGCCCGTTACGTTGTTTAACAATGTGGCTATACCACGTGACTTTTTGGGTACGGATCACGCAGATATTTCACCCGATTCAGGTATGTTTTTTATTCATAACTTATTTATTACTCAACCGATTTTGATCAGATAAGGCGCAGAGTACCATTAATTATTTCAGCTTTCCACGATATATCAAAATTCTGTAAACCCCTGAATGGTTTTTGAGAACATTCGAGTACAATTACAGTCGCTTCGCAAGCTCCGCTCCTTTTTAGCTTTCTTATTTACGAAGAACACCCAATATGCACTCTAACCTATACTTAGACAGTCATTTATATATTCGAACAAATAAATTAAATGAAAGAATAATCGCACATAACAGATGTCCATGAATTTCACAAATCGTTTTATAATCCGAAAAAATATACATAATCATTTCAAATGAACTTAAACCAAAATTTTGAATGTCTTCCGTATCCCTCCCTAAAATATCATCATTTTATAGCCAAATATTATTTGCTCAACATTTAAAATCGAATTTTGCGCGACGTACTCTCAAAATGTTTTTTTATTGTAAGCATAATGATACATTGCAAAACAGGTCCAAAAGTTCTCGTTTAAACTAATAAAATGTATGATTATAAAAAAAAATCACTCACATTATAATTCAAATAAAATTTTTATATATTTTATTTTAGAATTATTTCAAAGACAGAAATTGTGTGTGTACCGTATCTTTTTAAATAACAGTGTGCTCCGTACCATTTCAACATAACTTTATGAAAATCTGCTAAAACATCACTGCATTCACTCAATACATTGGACATAGTAAATATATCAGATTTAACATGTATTTTTCTATGAAATAGTGGCAAAAAACATATGACTTGCTAGAAATCGCTTGTTATGACAAATGAGTTGTACCGTTCCCCTCGGCCCCGGCTATGAGAAGAAAACTGTACTCGAATGTTCTCAAAAACCATTCAGTGGTTTTCAGAATTTTGATATACCGTGTAAAGCTGAAATAATTACGGGTACTCTGCGCCTTATCTGATCAAAATCGGTTGAGTAATAAATAAGTTATAAATAAAAAACGTACCTGAATTGGGTGAAAAATCGGCGTGCTCCGTACCCGAAAAGTCACGTGGTATGGCCACATTGTTTAAGTGAAATACAAGCGTTCACAGTACTGGAAACCAACTAAATGACAAATAATAATACAACGTGACGTCATTTATGACGTCACGTCATTAAGTTGGTACCCAGTTCTGTGCACGCTGGTATTTCACTGAAACAACGTAAGGGGCTTAAATTCAAAACAGTGAAATTATCAAAGTGGTAATTTCACTGTTTCAAACAGTGAAATTACCAGTTTTTATATCACTGATATATTTCACATTAGCGCGCTTTAACGCTATGTTTCTATATAGCGCAAATGACGTCACGTCAAAGTGTTATTATACTAGTTTATTATGCATAATAAACTAGTGTAATAACACTTTGACGTGACGTCATTTGCGCTATATAGAAACATAGCGTTAAAGCGCGCTAATGTTAGCGTTACACTATATGCGCGTCATTTTAAAATTACTCATTTTAACAGTTTACTGTTCTTATTTTATATATGTGATAAATAGAATATAATATTCGTGTAGATTTAATACTACATTTATTGTACTCGTTGAATAAAACAATATTATGCTCGCCAGAGGCTCGCATAAATAGAGGATATTGAATGAGTGTAGGTTTAATACTAAATTTATTGAACGAGTTGAATAAAATCATATTATGCGAGCATATATATATATAAAAATAAGAACGGCAAACTGTTAACAAAAGTCATTTTTCTTTGACGAGCCTATAGTGTAACGCTAATATTAGCGCGCTTTAACGCTTTTTTATAGTGTAATATTGTCTAGTGTAATATCGTTTTTATTAAATGGCTTTATTACACTCCTGCGCCGCGGTTTATGTGATAATATGATCTTATTCAACTCGTTCAATTAATTTAGTATGAAACTACACTCAATTAATATCCTCTATATAGAGCTTGAGCTGACGTCAGACATCACAATGAAAAATGCTAATTGATTTCGGTTCCAGAATGGTTTAAAGTGTCTTCCACAACAGTCTGTTAGAGCACACACTATATAATTGTCATAAATAACAAAAATAATGTGTGTATTTATTGTTTCATTACAGGTGGGTCCCCGAGCGTCTCCCACGTGCTGGTCAGCTGAAGAAAAAAATGTGTCAAAGTGGAACAAATTAATGAATAAAATTATGATAAAATCGATGTATGGAATTGGTTTTGAATAGAGCTCACACACTACCTCATTTATGAAATCAGTTTAAGTGTTTTGTCCATTTCATGTGTTGTTTTTTAACCTTTAGTTATATACAGGAAGTAGACTTGCCAAACACCATTCAACACAAGTTATTTGATTTCTGCAATATGTCTATAAGTTACCCAATCATACTACCTTTAATGGTGATTTATATACACATATATGTATGTGGACATTCGTAAATTGATTTTTATTGTCGTACATAAATTTTAATCATTATATTATCGAAGTAGATATACTAATGGATGTCAAACAAATACATTTCATTCAACATTATACAAAAATTACATCTCTGTCTTTGTTGACATCATCACGTGATAGAACTATTTTTAAGCCGTATTATTTTTAATAATCGTAGAGGTGTTCCGAATGACAAAGCTGAATAAAAACTATAATAGCATCATTTGCATTTTGGGGATTGTCTATAGAAAAGTTCGAGTGACAATTCATACTCATATCAACCTTCATGTTACTGTATTTTTTATTTATACATGTATACTTATAATTGACCGAATTTAGAATAGTGTATGACAACAACAGCAAGAACTTGTATAAAATACATTTACTTTGTTATTTTGTCAGTTCATTTGCACTTCGATATAGGAATAAACGTGATGATCAACGTGGACTTCTCGCGCGTGGGCACATGGTTAGCACCTACTTTTCTTCGTTTTTAGGTAAATTTCACACTTGAATACGCATATGCAGTCGAATAATACAAGGAATGGACAGCCAGGCACCGCATAAACCGAATGAAATGCTACCTAGATGACAAGTAGAGGGTTTTGATGCTTAAGCATCAAATCGCCGAATAAAAAATCGCCGAATAGAAAAATGATTAACATAAATATATAAAAATATCAGTTTAATGGTGAAAAACCATATGTTGAGTAACTGTTTATTCACAATTAAACATTATAATTGAAACGGAGAACGGAATATAACGAATTCAACGATTTCCACTATTTATTTAAATAGATGTGCCTCGTTAGCATACATTTATTTTTTGATGTTCAACCATGTCTAAACTATGGATGTTCATGTCCGAAGTTTGACGGAAAGGACCAAGTTTAACCCTTTACCAAGAAAAAAGGAAAAGGTTCTGATAATTCATTTTTTATGTGTAAAGTATGAGTACAAACCTTTCTAATGATATAGAATATTGACCTGTTTAATGAAAAATAACTTTGTAATGATTTATACAAAATTACTATGATTTGCATTTTATCAGTCGCTATACCTTTTGCCAATCATAACGCAACGTGTAGTCACGTGATTATTACAAAAGAACAGGGAGAAATTAATAATTGAATAAAAATAATAAAAAATAGGTCTCATAAGATATAAACTACCAAATTATTTAACTGTGTCATTTCAAATATCATTCATAATTCATTCACCATAAAATATCAACGCTTGAAAAGAAGTAAAAGTATCCCTTTCAATGACTAAGTCTTGTCCATAGGGATATATTATTAACTAATTTTATAAAAATGAAATGTTGCTTTTTAAGATGTCAATATTTGTAACCTACATGTAAACTACAGACAGTTGTACAGTCCATTATTTGTCTTTCCATTTGAAGAAAATGTAAATAAAAAGTGTTTTGCAACAAAGCAAGCAATTAAATTTTTTGAATGTTCGCGATAGAAAGCCCTCAGTAGGCGTTTCTTTGTTTTTATCCTGTCACTTGTATCAATTTCGGCCCGATAACAAGGTGCCGTATATTTTTACTGATCTACGGCACTTGATCACGTGGTATGCATGATTGTCGGCCTACTTTTCAAGAAAAAATATAATTATTATTATAATGTTGGACTTTATGTTTGGTTGTTAAATTTGTTTTCGCCTCAGAGTTTCCAATAGAAACGTTCTTTACAGGCCGTTCCAGTGGTATGAAAAAAAAAACTGTCGTTAAATCTTCTGTGTAGAATAACAAATTTTGGAAACGTTGATGCCAATAACGTTGCGACATTAAAATAGCGTATTTGATTTGATTGTTTTGCACGTGCTGTTTGGCGCTACATTGTGACGTCACGTAAACAATACTTTAAACGTCTGTACAGCGTTAACGACTGAATAAAAGATATTGGTGTTCGAATTCATTTTCTTAGTTAGACCATTTTCTTTCATTCTAGATAGTTTTCACAACAAAATTCGACAAAACATTGTTTTTTATTTATCACATTTTCAAACAAAATGGCGCCCTCAATGTGAAAATACACAGGGAGATAATAAGAACGGCGAGTGCATTGTTGTAGAATAATGCACGCTTCGGTCCTTCTTCGTTTATATAGAAACATTTCGATAGTGTGATTAAAGGTAGTTTGCCTAATAAAATTCTTAAAAAAAACGGTGACAGGATAAATAGAATAATAGATTGGTGCCGTGGATGGAGAAAGTTTATCTGGCTCTGCTCCGGAATTTATTGGGTTCGCCTTCGGCTCACCCAATAAATTCCTCCGCCTCGCCAGATAAACTTTCTCCATCCACGGCACCAACCTATTATTCTCTATGTAACCCTCTTCTGTGACATATATAACGAGAAGATAAAGACAAATAATTCTATTAATATTTTCATTTTTTACATCTACACGCTTTTCTGAATCACAGAATTATGTCTTATTTGCATATTGTCGTGCTTGTTATAATTGGTGTACTTTTTCTAGAATAGATATTTACAGCAGCAATTATCATAAAAATGTTTACGCAAATATTGTTACGTAAATTTTCTATATCTTTAGTGGGTGGAATTACTCTTATTATTTCTTCATGTGCGATAAAAAATCGTTATGACACGAAAATTACTCGTTACCGCCGTAAAAAGTTATCCTCGAGTTAGATATTCCGGTCTGTACCTGCGTCCGGGGTAAGATCTTTATATTACTATACATTTTAGAGTTTCTCCACCTCACAATTACCTTCCTCTCTCTCCCTCACAATTACCACCTACTCTCCCCCTCACAATTACCGACCCCTCTCTCCCTCACAATTACCTTCCTCTCATTCCCCCACAATTACCACCCACTCTCTCCCTCACAATTACCGACCCCTCTCTCCCTCACAATTACCGACCCTCTCTCCCTCACAATTACCGCCCACTCTCTCCCTCACAATTACCACCCACTCTCTCCCTTACAATTACCGCCGACTCACTCCCTCACAATTACCGCCCACTCGATCTTTCCCTCACAATTACCGCCCACTCTCTCCCTCACAATTACCGCCCACTCTCTCCCTCACAATTACCGCCCACTCTTTCCCTCACAATTACCGCCACTCTCTCCCTCACAATTACCGCCCACTCTTTCCCTCACAATTACTGCCCACTCTCTCCCTCACAATTACCGCCCACTCTCTCCCTCACAATACCGCCCACTCTCTCCCTCACAATTACCGCCCACTCTTTCCCTCACAATTACCGCCCACTCTTTCCCTCACAATTACGGCCCAAGTGAGAATAATAAATACTTCCTGTCTATTGAATGATACATTACGCCTTAAAACACAATGCCATTGACATGCTATATATTAATATAAGTTAAACTCAACAGCCTAAGATTAAAATGATTTATTTCAGATATCCGAAAAACAACAATAACAACAAACAACAATAATTATACAAGTATAAAGAATTAAATGTCTGGCTCTTTCTTGTTAAAATGTTTATGTGTCATTGTGCCTTTCTATTCCTCTGTCCTATAAAAGACTACTTTTTACGTTTTCCGTTAATTTTTTTTTTCAATATACTTGTATAATTATTTATTAATCAACAGCAACATTTTTATCAAACACTTAAAAGCATCTAATATTCAGTCCAGGTAATGATCACTGACATGTCCATTTCTATAGTTAGATTTTTTTTAATTAACGCAATAATCGGTTACACCCGGACTTTATCGGTAACTGCTACGAAGCAATTAGCCTGACAATAGATTACTATTAGGTGTAATCTCAAACATTTCCTTTTCTGTCTTCCAAATGGTTCTATTGGGCGGCTATTATTATGTTATTGTTCATTAATAGATTGATAATAGCTGTAAATTGCTGCCAATAAATGCTTATCTGTAATCGTAAAATAGATAAGTTGACATCCCTCAATGAACTTGTATAAAATTCTGATTATCATCACATGGCATTTATGACAAAAGGTTACCGTGAATCGTCCATTTTTCTATCAGTAGCTTCATCACTGCAGATCCGACATATTCATTGCGTGTAACGCGTTTTTTTTATTTATTATTATAAATTAAAAGCGTACATTATGTCGGGTTAGAGAAATACTAATTTGGACGTCGTTAATTATTCAAATATCAACATTTTAAGCCTCGTTCATCTCATGAATGGTTTGCCGTACAAAAAATGTCATCTTTTAGGAAATATTTGACAACAAAACTATGGATTTACAGAGAAACAGTTGCCTTACGTAAGTACATTTTAGATTAATTAAGGTAAAAGAAAACAACAAAAGAAAAAGAAATGCAATAGTGCAAATTAAATTGAAGAAAACTTTTACATACATATCTGTAAAAAACAACAATAACATTTTTAGGCTATACATTCAATATTTAGATAATGTGGTATGATAAAAGTAAAGTATTTTAAATATTTAATTAACAACAACAAACAAATAAAGAAAAAAAGACAATAGAGATATTTATTGTTTCATATGCCAATAAGATTTTTATAACACTATTCTTTCGGGCGTGTGTGTATGTACATGTATGATTTGAGGAAATTGAAACTTTAAGAGCATAAACATACATTATACTAATTGTATTACAAATGATATAATATGATTAAAATACATTACCTAAAGACAAAATATAGATCATCGTGCATAAAGAGTAACAATAGCGGCAAAAAGACCAAAAGAACAACACAGAAAACACCGTGAATATAAACACTTGTTGACGATACTTGATGACGTATATGATGGGAAGAATATTAATTGGCTGACGATGTTGTAATACGTATCTACAAAAGTAAGATGCAAGGAATAAGTCATATAAGATAAATCCAATCTGAAATTGAAAAGGTTAATGTCTTTTAAATATGTCCGTAGTGCAAAAATGAATTTTACATAATAATATTTAATAAATAAATAAATAAATAAATAAATAAATAAATAAATAAATAAATAAATAAATAAATAATAGTAAAAACAACGTACACAGAAATTTGCGGTCGAAACTTCCTTACATTTTCTAACTATCATTATCACCTTTTTATTTAATAACATTCTAGAAAATGTTTATAGTTAAGCTTTATTATATTGGTTCTGTGTAATACACAACTTCAAATTTGAACATAAAGTAATAGTACAAAACATTCAACATAAACATACCAAAAATGCGCAACCGTAGGGTAGAGTCTTGTACAACGTCTTTCGAGCTTTTTTTTGGTGCAAGTATTGGTTGGTGTACATTCTGTGGGAGTTTCTGACCAATCAGATTCCTGAGATATGAGTTTGAGCTTGGAGAATTTCTTGATAGCCTAGAATCTAGGCCAGACTGCACATCTATGCATTTTGACTTGGCGCTTTCCTTTCGGTTGCTGTTTTTTTAAATTTTGATTTGAGATTCCTTAAACTTCAAACAGACTGTTTCATTTACAAAGTATATGACATAAACGGTTTAAAGATTTACATGCATGGCCCTACAAATGACACTAGTATAAACATGTAGATAGTTCCTCTAACGTCTTCAAATAAGGACATGATAAATCTAGTAGGAATCCGAAAAAGTCACTGCTTATCTTGAAGAGATTTCAACATAGCTCACTAAAGAAGTTTTCGCATAGCTTTTTAAAATTTGGTTTGTGTACAAAATTGTAAGAGAAAAGACCCTTCTCATTGTCTCATACTTTTCAAAATAGAGGCCTCCATGGTCGAGTGGTAGATTTTTCTGGTTTCGAGTCACTAAGACTTGTCCATTGCCACTTGGCTAGATTTAACATGTCAGTTTTTTATTTTTAAAATGTAAAACAGTCAAATTGCTGCAACTTTTTTTCCCTTTTTATTACAAATATTTCATTTGACCTTTATAGGTTTCCCCATCCATTGTCCACTGACTGTGATTAAGTTGAATGATTGTAACTTCCAATAAAGCCGTCCAGTATTATACATTTAGAAAACTCATGTTACGCCTTTTAATATTTCAGATAACTTACAAATGACCGGTGGTGTTTTATTTACGACATGTCCACACATCTTTAATTTCCTGTACCGGAACATGATAGCATTTGATTTGTAATTTACATACATGTAAACATGTTTACTTCGTTTCCAGGCATGATTTCTTATCTTCATCAATAAAATGTACTTTACAGGCCGTAAAAATGTTAATTCTAAATAGGCAAAGACGAATTAAAGTTAAATTTGAATTAAAATTGTTTTTATTTTTCTGTGTTCACTTTACACAAAACGGCTTGAAAAATAAGCTCTATTAAAGTAGAACATGATATATCTTTTAATTAAAACGTCAGCGACTTTGCTACATAATAAAAGTGTGTGTCTATTGACGTTAATTAATTGGAAAAAAAACACCCACAGATTTGTATATTCTCCCATTATTTGAGGAGATAGCTTTAGAAAAATCAACAGATGTGTGCACACATGACGTTCCTAAACTTACAGATTTTAGTTCTTATCCGTTCTTCAGGCGTTGGTAATGTACATTTTTCAATCTCGCAAAATTATAAACATATAAATTCATGTTTTATAGATGGACTCTATCGCATTTGTTGGAAATAGATTTGAACATAAATCTTTAGAATGATGTAATGTAATTCAACATATGACTTGCTTTTCCAGTGTCTTTGATTAAAGTTAAATGCAATCATGTAATCATCTTAGTTTTAGCATACTTTACCGTTGACACTCTAAAAAATTTTGAATGAACCATGCACTTTTGCGGTCCTTAAAATTGATTTGCCAATAGTGAATTTTAAGGAATTCGCTGTTAAATTCAAGAAGCCCGTGGGAGGAGAAAAGTTGGAGTTAATAGACTTGCAGCTAGCATCAGTTAGGAAGTAGCACCGCTACCTTTCTATAAACAGTCCATATGTAAGGACGTTAAATAACAAGTTTAAATGAATGTTTTTGATATATTGCAAATTTAATATTAGAAATAATTCCGTCCGAAATAAATTGTTTTTTTTTACAAGTATCAACAAGGTTTAGCGCAATATTATAAGTTTCTAGGCCGGTTATAACATTGACAAGATATAATGAAATGATACTCTTCTTCAATATCATGCAAATTACAAAAAATACAATAACGTTGATTCATAGGTAACATTAGCACATAATTATATTACTATACATGTTTTGAAGTGTTCATTAAACATTTAACAAAATGTCGTTATACATATTAAGAGATGAAGAACTACGGACCGATGAAACATGCTTTAATAACAAATAGTGATTGAGGAAAAATCAAACATGTTCATTGTTATTTGGTCTGCAAATCGTCCATAAAACACAATAAAAGTGTTAAAGAAAAATTATAATTTTTCTGTCGACATAGAAAAACACGGTTTTACAGTGACAAGTACGGCGTTACACGGGCTTTTGCAGCACGTGCCGATCGACGGTGTATTAATTAAATTGTTTATTCTTGTATGGCGATTGTCCCAAAAGGAATAAACTGCAGAAGGATATGTCTTAGCGTGTTGAAAATGAAAATGAATGAAACGATCGTTCATAAACTCTTGTTTAAATGACTTAAGTTCTCATTAAATGTCATTTCAACAATTGCAATTTTTTTTCTCTCTCCTTTTTATTACGTAAAATAAAAATGTCGTTTACTTGGGAGTTACAAAATCAGGTTTAATTGGCTGACAATATAATTTTAGATTGATGATGAATTCCCAAGACTGTATTGCATTTCATTTCTTTATAAGTTGACAATTAATTCAAACATGTTTAATTGGCAGAAGCTATATTCAAGCACCTGATGCCACCGGCCATCGAAAATCCTAATAATATTTGAGCCGTGTCACGACAAAACCAACATAATGCGTTTGCGACCAGCATGGATCTAGACCAGCCTGCGCTTCCGCGCAGTCTGATCAGGATCCATGTTGTTCGCTGCCGGTTTCTCTACTTGTTATAGAGTTGCTAAGCGAACAGCATGGATCCTGATCAGACTGCGCGGATGCACAGGCTGGTCTGGATCTATGCTGATCGCAAACGCACAATGTCCGTATGTCGTGACGCGGCTCATTTATGCATCATTTTGTCATTGATTTAGTTTTAAGGATATTTATATATCCAAGAATCAGTCTATAAAATTTTGGCAGTGTTGAGATATATTTTAAAAGAAAATAGGATCCTGTATTAAAAGGTAAATAACCGGTTTTATTTTCAAAAGGACTTATTACACTTTAAACGGATATGTTTTTACAACAAATTTAAAGATACATAATGCTCAACTTTGATATTTGAAGAAAAAAAACATGACTGATAATTACCCTATTTTCTCTTTTGAAATATAAATCGAACATCTTTTGAATACACAATATGTTACGTTTTAAATCTTAAAAGCTACAGGCAATCAAAGCATTATTACATATTGCCATTAGAAAAAAATCTGCATTTATTATTATAAGAATAGACCAAGTAATAGGGAATGTAGCTTCCAAGACATAGTTTAAACCTTCACTTATTCAAAATAGACATATTCAGGAAGTATTAACAAGATTTCAATAAAATTAAGCAAATAAAGTATTTTACCCAAAGATTAGCATAGTATAGCTTTTACAAATTAAAATATACAAACACAAACTGTTATACGATAGAATAGAATAAAATATCTGAGGTAAGCTAAGATTATTTGAAATTCACCTGGTGAAATCAAAATGCACTTATTGTGAGCTTTTATTAGTTTTAAATGTTGACGTTTAAAGTGAGTTGGTCTCTTAGTGAAGGTATATAACAAAATAAACAATTATGATGATACTTGTAGTATTAAGTATGTTTCGTGACAACAAACCACGAAATAATTATATAGGGATGCTGTTTGTAAGTGTGAGGTACATTATCTGTTATTATATCATCTATTTATAGCAGATAATAAATTGTTCAAGAACAAAACATTATTACTCATTACATAAATGTTCGTAATATATCATTTTTTTCTACAACAACAACAACAACAACAACAAATACTTTTATTTAGAATCAGGTCACATAAATGCAACAACATGATCAAAAAGATTTTTTCTAATTGTGGGCATTTTAATTATATTTTCAAACTATATCCAATAACATAGAATGACTATAGCTATAATGAAAATGATATATGGAACAGGTGGGGACAGTAGTTTTCGTATGTAACAATTTAACAAAATATAATATGTAAAGTTTTAGTATGTAACAATTTAACAAGATACAATGTGTAATTGTAGTAGTAAGGTTTTTTTTTTTCCCAAATAAATAAAGTATCTTCGTATATAAAAACAAATTGAATAGTTAAATTCAAATCTAACGGGACAAACTGAAATCAATACACCGTTGAGAAATAATTATTACAACTTTTACTATATCAATGTGCTTGGCGCACGGGAAGCATGGTTTTTCATTCATAGATTATCTAAAGAAGGCGTGGCCAAGACTGAAAATCTTTCGGCGTAACCAAGCAACGGTGTGGCCGAGAATCGAAGTACAAGTCAAAAGTGCTCGCGTACTAGTCAGTGTGAATAAATATGTTATAAGAATATCCAAATAATACATTTTCACTGCTTTTTATCATTATTTGAAATTCTAACTGAACATTGTAGACCAATCCACTTTAAACCACTTAATAAACTCCTAAGTAATACTGTTATATATAATTGAAATTTTGTCGTCTGCTACATGGAACGAATTCTTAAAATAACTATTTTAAAAGTAACTGTTGGTGCTGTGTTCAGATAAATAATTTTCTTTGATAAACTTCAAATTTTCTTACCATATTAGAGTATAGTATATATTTGGAGTATTTAGTTTACTGTAATAGTAATAATATTTAGAATATACGCTTATAGATATAACTTCAAAAATTAATCGGATAAATTTGGACATAAACAAATTAAGTATAGAATAAATAATAACGCTATGTTTACTTTTAAAATTTTACATCAACAATATGTCTTGGGTAAGTTATTTTTTAACCTTTTGAAATAGCATTTACTGTCATTGGTTAATAGATTAAAAATACAATAAGAAAAACGTTTAAAACTGCATTGTGCAAGATTAATATTTCCATTACAGATTTTCTCATACACAAAGACGTGAACAACTTATACATTTTTCTTTAGATGGTAAAAAGGCTTAGTTTACACGTTAAAATACAAGATTGCGAAAAATCTGTCTCTTATGGAAAGATATTATAATGAACGGAAAATATATTTTACTGTTTTATATACATGTATATGCCTAGGTTCTTACTTGGACAAAATATATGCCTAGGTATTAAATTGGACAAACATTTTTTTTGTCTCAAGTAATAACTAATAAATCACCAAAACTGAAAAATGTATGTTCATTTTTCAGGGTAAAAAGATATTCGGAATATGTTGGTGATTTTAGGATGTCTCTGTATTTTGGTCCAGCTCGCACAAGGTCACCCTTCACCAAAGGTCACCTATGATGGGTATGTAGATATAGTTAAGCATAAGGACGTACATCTACATGTTAGCGTTTGGCTTCTTATCTTAGATAAAATACATGTTTGCTATAATTAGATGCGCTGTTAATATTTAAACATAGTATGTGAATTATAATCATGTTTCCATAATATCGTTTAAATCAATCTTTAAACATTTTCTGAATTGCAATGTGTAAGAAGTTCTCTCTTTACTGTTTATTTTCTATGTATTTGTTTTGTGATTTGTATTTTATATATTAAAATTGGAATTTATTTTCAATTAAAGTTTTATCCTTGTCCATATTCGTGTAAAGATACCAAAAAGTATATAAATCTATTATAATATTTATATCATATGTATATATGTGTATACTTCTCTCACTATTTGTCTAATGGACCGCCGCAATAATGACAATGGCCATTGTAAAATATTTTTGCCATTAAACATTTAGAATCTCTCTTGTATCTCACTGGCATTTATTTGCATAACATAAAAGGTGATTAAAATGTGACATATTAGCCATTTTGAATATCACTTGGCGACGGCTGTTACTGATAAAAAAAGCACAAGCAGAAAATTACTCCACTCATAATGAGGCCTACGAATTCCTATGTTTCTATATCTAGAATTACCGGCAGTACCCGCCAGCCATGTAGTCTTTAGTGACGCCCATTGAATAGAACTATGTCGCTATGTTTCCCCGTTATGATGACTGGATTAAAAAAATCAGTAACATTAAACAACCCCGACCAAAATCTAACTTTTTAAACTGTCGCCATAAAAACAAATTATGTTAATGTTTGGTGTAATGCATTTATTAAATTCAAATTCAAAATTATAAAATTAAAAATGTGTTTTTATATCTACGTATATCTATATTTATATTGAACTCTCTAAATCGTTAGATGTAGGCCAAATCTTTTTCGTATACATGAAAGGTTCGCTTATCAGGAACTATACATGGTGTTAATATGTTGTGTTAAATTCATGACAACCTTATGCGAATTTCCGTGATTATCTTTGTCTCAAAATGGTCGTCAGCAATGTTTGAAGTAAACTATAGAATGAAACATGGTTGAAACATGACCAAAAATCTTTATGGTTTACAAAACATGTCAGCATGATCATAATTAGGTTCATAGTTTACCTTTCATACTTTGATTTTTTTTCCAATTGGCGAATTTTCACTACGGTGAAATATATATGTCGGGCAATATTTGTGTGATGGTTTCAAATGCAATAAACTAACAAGATTGCACTGTATGTCTTTCGAATCTCGTCGAGTTCAGAGTGAAAATAAAGATTATTGGGAAAAATCAACAAAAATAAATAAAAAAAAATAAATAATTAAATAAATAATTTAAAGAAAGAAAAGGAAAAGAAAGAAAGAAAGAAGGACAGAAAAACTTAAATTGTATTTCAATGTTTGAGCTTATCTATCGTTAAATAGCTGTAATGGTTTTAAATATCCTCATGATATTCATGTCATGTTTTTGTTATGCAGACACAAGGTCCTCAAAATTCTTCACCACACGCAAGACGACTACAGAAAACTTCTGAGAATGGAACTACAGTTTGGTGTAGGTTCTAGTAATATTTATCATATCATTATAATTTTAGACAACTTGGTATGTGAGAAATTCATTTAATCACATCAAACGAAATAAAAGAAAAAACATGGCCAAGTAGTTAAAAACGTCGGACTAATGTAAGCCGCATTTGTTCAAACCCTGCCATATGCAAGCCCTTGTTTGCTTCAAGTTACAAATTCGAACTTAAAGTTTAGAAAATGAAAACTAAAGTATCTTATGGCAGAATGGGCCTAGCCGCAGCTAGCCAAAATATTAATGTTCGTTAGAGACGAGGACACCAACCATGTCGTTGTCAATTAATCAATTAATCAATCACTCAAGTTGGTATTTGGCATTAACTAATTTAAGTGACCTCCGTAAAACCCAACAAAAATAAGATACAGTCCCCCCATTTCATTTGTTTATATAAGACATTTCCAATCTGATTTGTTTTCTTTACACTATTTCAGTTGGACTTTTGGAAGTTGCCTAAGCACGTAAACGATTCTATGTACGTACGTGTGGGACCACAGCACTATGACTCGTTTGTAAAGCAGCTCACTGGTCTTAACACGGTGTTCTCTACGCTGATAGAAGACGTCCAAGAGTAAGTTTATGATTTTTAACCTCAAATCCTGTAGTCTACGAATCTAGTAGCTCAAGCAGGTGATGGTTACGACCCCTGGTGTTGCTTCAAGTTTGTTACAACCGAGGTTTGCTAAAATCATCTTTCCTGTTTCTGCCAACACTGAATTGTTTTGATGCGCCGTTAAACCAAACATAAGAAGAACTTATCTCAAAGTTTTTCTTTTAATTACGAATAGACTATCCACATTGCGGCTAGTATATTTTATACACACCACAGCAAGTATATATTTTATCCAGACCGCAGCAAAGTATCTACACCGCGGTCAGTACATATTTTATCCACACCACTGCTTATACATATTTTATCCACAGAGTGGCTAGTACATATTTTATCTACACCGCAGCAAAGTATCCACAACGCTGGTAGTACATATTTTATCCACATCGCTGCTAATACATAGTTTATCCACAGGCGCTAGTCACATAATCAAATATTTTACATAATCGGTCTATATATGTATATAAAGATATAAGGCCCCCAACGAAACAAAAACATCATGCGGAACAAACAAGAATAATGCTGAAAGAAACGACCAGATCACGGTTATCTCTTTCTGGTCGCCATCTGAAAGGATCAATCCAAGCGTTAAAGCTTTTTATTTCATTAAAATTCTTCAAATAGCAAAGAAATGAGTAAAAGTTTCAGAAAATGCCAATATTTTCAATCCATGTCGTTTTCGACGTCCAATCTAATCATGTATACAAACACGATTTCTGGTCGATTTCTACGAAATAAATAGAAAACATCTAAAATTTCCTCATAAAATTCATAAACAAACTCTTTTTCTATCAATCTGCGAAGTCTAAATTGAACTAGAGCCCTCTTTGTACTCAAATATTTAAAAAATATTGGTTGTAGAAGCGGAGCAAACTCCTCACAGCGGTTACGTCACGCTTTGCTACTTTAACCACTGCCACCACTGAAATCACGTGATGATAGTTGTATCATGTGACAAAAACATGGCGGCCAGTTTCAGAACGCCAAGGATCCCATATCAAACTGGCAGATTTATAATTACATCCTTACCAGACAAAATAAGTTCAAGACACACAATTTGTTATCACTTTAAAACAAGTGCCGGATCAAATCTTTTTGTGCAATCGTTCAATAACTGTTTATATTCTGGCATTGTTTACTGGTTGTTACTATGCATACGGTGTCATAGTGAAAATATCTTTCATTATGTTTACAAAATAATTTTTAAACGTATAATTTTTTACTTTCTTGTACATTAAGCATAACTATTTAACGAAAGAAAACTAAAATGATATTAAGTATTCTATTTTAAAATTAGAAGTGAAAAAATATATCCGGCTATATTCGACCGAATTTACTTGTGGTGGCAGTGGTTACTGTACAGATCAGGGGAAGTAACCGCTGCGAGGAGTTTGGAAGCGGAGGTCAAGTAAAGTGCGCCATTTGTAATTTGAAGTGACAGATAAATGAAGCAAAGAAATAGTATTATACGATTGGTTAATAGTATTCCGGTAATTATCTTAACCAATCAAATATTTATATAATATTCAGAGCGGAACAGTATATACATGCGCTATACATGGCGATAAAATACTGTCACAAGCGAGATCCTTGTGTATTTTTTAATGAAATACGTACGAAGACGGCATTTGATCAGTGAAAACTTCGCAGGTCGATAGGAAAAGAGTTTGTTTATGGAACGTACGTGGAAATTCTAGCCGTTTTTTTGTTGTTTTTTTTTTCCGTAAAAATCGATCAGAAATCGTGTTTGTATAAATGAATGGACTGGACGTCGAAAACGACATGATTTGAAAATAATGGCATTTTGCGAAACTTTTCCCAATTTCTTTGCTATTTGAGGGATTTTAATGAAATAAAAAGCGTTGGCACTTGGATTGGTCCTTTCAGATGGCGACCAGAAAGAGATAACCGTGATCTGGTCGTTTATTGCAGCAGTGTTCTTGTTTGTTCTGCATGATGTTTTTGTTTCGTTGGGGGCCTTATATCTTTATATACATATATAGACCGATTATGTAAAATATTTGATTATGTGACAAGCGCCTGTGAGTTTATCCACACGGCGGCCATTACATATTTTATCCACACCGCGGCTAGTACATATTTCATTCACACCGCAGCAAAGTATCTACACTGCGTTTAGTAGATATTTTATCCACACCGCTGCTTATACATATTTTGTCCTTACCACATCTGGTACATATTGTATCCACACCGTGTCTAGTATAAGCATATTATATACATACCACAGCTGGTACATATTTTATCCATATACCGCGTCAAATACATAGTTTATCCACACGGCGCTTGTACATATTTTATCCACACCACAGGCGCTTGTCACATAATCAAACATTTTACATAATCGGTCTATATATGTATATAAAGATATATCTTTATATACATATATAGACCGATTATGTAAAATATTTGATTATGTGACTAGCGCCTGTGATCCACACCGCGGCAAGTGCATATAGTTTATACACACCGCGGCTAGTACATATTTTATACTCACCGCGGCTAGTACATATTTTATACTCACCGCGGCTAGTACATATTTTATACTCACCGCGGCTAGTACATATTTTATACACACCGCGGCTAGTACATATTTTATACTCACCGCGGCTAGTACATATTTTATACTCACCGCGGCTAGTACATATTTTATATTCACCGCGGCTAGTACATATTTTATACTCACCGCGGCTAGTACATATTTTATACTCACCGCGGCTAGTACATATTTTATACTCACCGCGGCTAGTACATATTTTATACTCACCGCGGCTAGTACATATTTTTATACTCACCGCGGCAAGTGCATATAGTTTATACACACACCGCGGCTAGTACATATTTTATACTCACCGCGGCTAGTACATATTTTATACTCACCGCGGCTTGTACATATTTTATACTCACCGCGGCTTGTACCACCGCGGCTTGTACACCGCGACTTGTACATATTTTATCTACATCGCAGCAAGTACAAGTTTTATCCACACATCGTGGCTAGTAAATATTTTATCCACATCGCGGCAAAAGCAATTTTATCCACACTGTAGCAAGAAAAATATTTTATCACCACACCGTGGCTAGTAAAAATTTTATCCCGTGAGGCTAATATACTTATCAGTGAAGTATCATCTGTATACAGTAATAATTGATACAAAAATAACACCCACTTAATTTCTCAAGTCACCCTTTTCACTGAGAAAAATGATTTAGATCAATTTAAATGAAATGGAAAAAACATACATAGAAAATTATCAAAGCAAAAGTTCGCCTTCTTTCGTTTTCTTCATATGCTAAGGTACATGCAGATATCGTTACGAGAAAGTTCAACTTCTGATATTTGTAATACACTATTTCAGTCTCCTCGACAGCCAGTCAAGTCCCAGTGTTGGCCAAACTATACACGAGAGCCGTCGTGCTGCCAGTGCTTTAAGTAGTGGCATGGTATTAAATACTTATCATAGATATGTTGCCGTAAGTTTATTTCTATTTTTAATTTTCATTTTGTATTTAGAGAAGTAAAAAATTAAGGATTTATTTACATGATTGTACATTCTTAACCAAAATAAAACTAATACTCGTTTATCTATATATATATATTTTACAGCTCAACATATACAACAGATAAACCTGATTTTTATCATATAAACCCTTTTTAACAAATAAAAACTTATTTTTTTTTACAGAAAAAAATTTGCAGATATATAATTTTACAGATAAAAATTTTCTTAAAACAGATAAAGACTTATTTATTTATTTTTACAATTAAAAACCCTTTAAAAACAGATACTTAAATTTTTACAGATAAATACTTTTAATCAATTACTTTTTTACAAATATACAATTATACTTTTACAGATAAACAATTATTTAGATGACCTTACGCAGCTTGTACTACCTCGAGGCGTCACCGCCACAGTTCAGAGTATCGGTACTTCTGAAGAGAACAGGGACGTCAAATTAATTAAGGTTAACGAATTATATATATTTTTGGGCACTGAATTTCTACATTTGAAAATTCCGAATTTAAACTTTTCATTGTTTGTGTTGTTGCATTTAATTTGGCCAAACAATTCTTTTAGGGAAAAAATCAAGATGTAAAATGACTGAATAGTGTTTGCTTGGGTTTAGTTTTATTTATAATTGTCACCCGAATGAACCATATGTCCGAGATGTACTAGTTTCAGCCTCTTTGCCGGTCAACTGTAGTATTCTCACCAGGGACGTCTTTTCAAGGCGAGGTTTTAGTAGCATATTCTTCGTTCGAAGGTGGTTAGTGGAGATACGACAATGATGCCAAGGGCATCACCATTATGACGGCAACATAACTAAAAAAACAAAAACAAAAACCCCTAAAAACCCGGCTCTTGGCAGCCACACCCTCCCAAGTTAGTCACGGCAGGTCAACCAATCTTCTCTGGTACTTGAGATGCCTTGACCTTGACTTGACCTTGACTGAATAGGGTAAAGTGCAGACAATAGATATACGACACAGATGAGCCGGTTGATTTTGGTCTGCACTCATCACATTGGTAATATTAGTAACAGGCTAAAGGTTCAGTTAAACAAAACTCTCTTGAAACATTTTTATTTGACAAAATCAGATGTCATTTTCTATAGACATGTATATCTTTCAACAGATTAGCTCGCCAACTGGACTTGCTGCAAAACGCGGTATTTTTATAGACGGTGGGATTCACGCCAGAGAATGGGTGTCGCCTGCCACGGTGATTTACACCATTGAGCAAGTAAGTTACAACAGGCTACGTTTACAATGTACATTTGTAATCTATATTCATTATCATCATCGTTATCATTATTATTATTATTTTAAACACTTACAATCCACGCCATTTACCTGAAAGAGGTCACAATATACAAAGTCAGCCCTTACTGCGTTGGTCACGCATTTCACCTTAATTAATATAGGAGAGGGGACTAGAAGTTCTTAAAACCTTGACTCTAAAATCTTGAAGTTTTTTTTTGTTATTTTGTTGAACAAGCATTATGTTGTACAGTACCTTTACAAGAATGTCGTCACAGCAAAATGTAAACAAACTTAATGAGTTAAAAATGAGATAGTGGAATGTTATATTAAACATTTTTTAAAAAATTATTATAGCTTGCCTTCAATCCGAAATACGACGTTGGTATTAATACACTACTTGAGCGCTACGATGTTTTCCTAGTACCAGTTGTCAATCCTGATGGTTATGAATACTCTCATACGAACGTAAGTAAATGCTTTCTTTACTAAGATGATTTTATTGCCATCCTGTTATGAAACATCTTCCGGTATGTTAAAGTCATCTTTTCGCATGTTAATGTCATCTTCTCTGCATGTTCATTTAATCTTCTCCGCATATCATTGTCATCTTTTCCGCATGTTAATGTCATCTTTTAAACATGTTAAAGTAATCTCTCCGCATGTAAATTTCATCTTCTCCGCATGGCAACGTCATCTTCTCCGCATGTTAATTCCATCTTCTCCTGATGTTATTGTTATTTTCTACACATGTTTATGTCATCTTCTCCACATGTTAATGTCATCTTCTCCATATGTTAATGTCATCTTCTCCGCATATTAATGTCATCTTTTACACATGTTATTGTCATCTTCTCCGCATGATAATGTCATCTTCTCCGCATGTTAATGTCATCTTCTCCGCATGCTAATGCCATCGTCTCTGCAGTTTAATTTCACTTTACTCCGTACTGATGTCATCTGCTATGTATATTAATATCACCTTCTTCGCATACTTGTGTCATCTTTCCCGCGTATAGATATCGTTGTCACCTTCTCCGATTGATAAAGCCATCTTCTCCATATCACATGCAACTGTAACTTCGCGTGTTTATGTCATCTTCTCCATATATAAATGCCATATAATCTGCTTGTTAATTTTGTCTTTTCCGCTTGTTTATGTCATATTCTCTGAATATTAATGTCATCTTTATCGTATACTATGGCATTGCCTCCGAACGTTTATGTCATCTTCTTCACTTGTTGATGTGATCTCCGCATGTTAATGTAATTGTTTCCACGTGTAAATATCAACTTCTTTGCATGTCAATGTCATCATCTCTACATATTAATGTCATCTTGTCAACATTGAAAGGTAATCTTGACCGCATGCATGTTAATGTCTTCTTTTCCGCTTGTTAATGTCATCTTCTTACTTGTTAATGTCATCATCTCCGTTTGTCATCTCCGTATGTTAAATGTCAACTTGTCTTCGTGTTAATGTCATCATTTCCGCTTGTAAATGTCATTTTCGCCACGTGTTAATGACATCATTTCCGCGTGTCAGTGTATTCATCTTCGCTTGTTACAATTATAGATGGAGGGCATTTGTAGGATTATTATGTATTGAATAAAGAGATTGTTATTGAATTGGATACCAATTTAGCGTATTGCTCGAACCTTTATGTCCAAAGTTTGCTTTTCTCCCAGCCGAATGAGATGGCTTGGATTTGAACATTAAAGATTAAAACATTTTTTTTTTGTAATTTCAGCTAAAACAAGTTTTGCCCGTTTATTGATCCCCGTCAAATTTGGAGAGTAGGGTCGGAGAACCATCCCATCCCTTCTGCCACTTACAAAAACTCTTCACATAAAATTTTATTTACTTTAACATGACTGGTATAAAAGTGTTATTTAGAATTTGTATTACGTTCATGGGGTTTCTGTTTTTATAACATAGAAGAGAAATAACAAACAAATTTATACAGAAATAATCCTAAAGCAAACATTTTCCAAAGACTTTCTTAAACATAAAGTAAAAATAAAAGTTTTATCAAACTACTTCCTTTTGAAAAAGATAACCATTTTTTTGTTTCAACTTATCCTCTTGAGAGTTGCTTCCCATTGACCTAATATTTTTTGGAACAAAAAATATTTTCAGCAAAATTAAAGTAGTATTCTTTTTTATTCAATGTCACAAAAATGTTTGAAACATAATTTATGTTAAAAGAAAGTTGTTACATCTACCCAAATATTTACCTACTGTTTTTTTTTCTTAAAATAGATAAAAAAAATCTCATAAAACAATTAACTGAGTCTTTACAAAAGACTGAGATGGTCTCAAATAAATCTTATCGTTCTGCTATCAGGTTCAATAGGAATGAAACATGTAATCTTTTTAGTTTTAACATGTTTTGTTTTCCTACTATTAAAAACAAATGAAAAGTGTGTATTTCAAAATTGGTGATGTCACATTGACCATTGATCTACTCAAGACAACTTAAATATTTAATTGTAAAGAGCAAAAATGTACTGTGTGATAGTCATTGAAACTAATCATTACTGTTTCTTAAACTGTATAAACCTAATACACAAAACAAAGCAACAATTTGCTTAAAACTACGATATTCTACTGAAGGGAGGAAGGATCATGGTGGGAGAGAGGGGGAATTGAGGGGGGAGGAAAGAGGGGGAAAATAGGGAAAATATCAAATAAAAGGTTATTGGTGTAAACTACTTTGGCTTTCGTCTCTGCTGTTTAGTAAAAAACATATCTTTAAACAGTGTTTTGGGTTGGTGGAAGGCTCCATACATTGCAATTTTACCAAATGTCCAGTCTGAGTACATATGAGATTGCTATGCAAAAGAAAATTAATGTTCTAAATTATATTGAAAGACTAAATTATCATACTTCTCCCATGTCTTTTCAAAAAACTCATACTTTGAAGTTTGTTTTGCAGTATATTTTTCAATCTTATAGTTGACTACTATTTCATTCTTAAAATTTTCTAGGTTAGGCCTTATTTTCTTAATCCTACTGTAATATATATGACTTTTTGCAATCAAAATTATTTTGTTTAACACAATATCAAGTTTTGTACTGCCAAATAAGATATCTATTGCCAGCCAATTATGGAAATCAATATTACATTTCTCTTTAACATAATTTTGAACTTGTAACCAGAATTGTTTTATTATTGGGCAATCACAAAACAGGTGGAACAAAGTTTCTGATTCATTTTGACAAAATGTACAGGTATCATCATCAATAATATTCATTTTTTTAAGTAAATAGTTTGTTTCAAGGATTTGATGGTTGATTCTAAATTGTAACCATATGATTTTTTTGATCTTTTGTATATCTATGAACCATATCATATATTGAATTATTATTTTTTTAAAAAAAAAGGTCCGAAAAAGCCGTCAAATTATCTTTCCATTTTTGAAGATTTAAAACATTATATATGTGTTTCAATGATACATTAAATTTTCAATTATTGTAACAGTAAGGTATGTCTTATCTCTTAAAAGGTAAACTTTAATTATATACGTAAAAAGAGTAACATGTAAATGTATTTCTTTAATGTTTACAGGAACGTATGTGGAGAAAAAATAGATTTCATTTCATTTATTGGCAAATCGGCATAATAATGCCTTTGACCATTTACACATACTAATACACATGGTCAAGACATACAGTATACATAAAAGATACACAAATAAATACACATTTAATCTTTACATAATAAATAATCACCAAATATCAAACATTAACACAATTTTTAACTCACAAAGGTAATAAGTCCTACGAAGCAGCATTATTTTCAAGGGTTAGACTTCTTAATTTATAAGCTTCTGTTAAAAACTTTGCATTTTTTTACAATACTAGTTCTACGTTTTGATGACATAATATTAATGAATTTTTGTACTGAAGGCCAAGCATTATTTGTAAAATATTTCTGTCGTAGGTCATAATATTTATTACAACATAACAAAAAATGGTACTCAGATTCAACAGATTGTGATTGACAAAGTTTACATATACGATTTTGTCTTTCAATGCCAGTATATCTACCTACTTCAATTTCGAGATTATGTGCTGAATATTCTAAATTTAGTATATAGCTCTCTTTGTTTACTATTAGTCAAAATATCTAGATATTTTTCATAACAAAAATCGACTTTAAATTGTTTATAGTATTCAAGTTTTAGCTACATTACGAATCTCCATTTTGCCAGTTTTGAATATATTGATCGCGTAGTCTTTGTTTCAAAATACAAAAATAGTTACAGGAAGAGTCAAAATTTGACCATATATCGCTGAAACCTAGACTATCAAGTAAATTTTTAATTTTATTTGACCAAGAATTTGCGTTCTGGGAATTACATTGCTCTCTAAAAAGTGTATACATAGGCATGTGTTGATTACTCATTATTTTTATCCAGTATTTCAATGCCCTCTCTTTCATTAAAACTGATAAAGGGAAACGACCCAATTCACCTAAAACTGCTAAATTTGAAGATTGTGTTCGAACCCCAAGAATATGTTTACAAAATTTTATGTGAAGTTTATCTATTTCCTTAAATTCATAAATGCCCCAAATCTCCGAGGCGTACAATAAAATAGGTAGAACCATAGAGTCAAAAAGTGAAAGTTTCGTTTTGATATCAAGATTTATTCTAGTAAATAATGACAAGAGGCAATTATATGCTTTGAGAGCTTGGTCAGAGAGCACCTTAACAGCATTTTTCATATTCCCAGTGTAAATAAAATTTACACCTAAATAACAAAAATTATCTACAGTTTCTAATTTTTCACCATTTATAAACCATTCAAAAGAATTAGATTGTTTTCTTTTTTCAAAAATACAAACTTTGGACTTTTTGGTGTTTATCTTAAGGCCCCATTTAATCGAGTAATGATAGATGCAATCAAGTTGGGCTTGCAAGCTGGCTGCATTCGTCGTAAATAAAACAATGTCATCAGCAAAAATTAACATATACATTGATAACTGGTTCAAATCACCCTCCGATAGATTATTTAAATCTAAACAAGTATTAATATCATTGAGGAACAAAATAAATAGTAAAGGCGAGAGTGGTTCCCCTTGTTTTAAACCAATACTGACATCAAAAAAATCTGACATATTTACGTTCGAAGACAATTTAACGCATGCTTTAACATTTGCATAAATAGATTTCAACATTGTAATGATTTTACAGCTAATATTAGATTGACATAATTTAATCCACAAAGCTTCACGAACAACAGTATCGAACGCCTTTTCATAATCTATAAAAACACAAAATAATTTAGATTTGTTAAATAAAATATTTTGAATCAATGTATGTAATAAAAATATACAATCACTTGTACTAGAAAGATCAATACTGGAAGCAGTTGTGTCGGCGTGGACCTTAATAGAAACTTTCCCTTTCAATGGGCACCAGGTAAATAGCCGCATTTATTCAAATAAATGTACATGCATATTGAAATAATAAATCTGTTACTATGTATTCTCTTCTTGATTATTTTAAATAAGCACTGCGTGTAAACTTATAAGACACTTATTATTGTCTTTTTATATATTAAATATTCTCTTAAATTCAAAACAGTGAAATTATCAAAGTGGTAATTTCACTGTTTCAAACAGTGAAATTACCATTTTTAAATCACTGATATATTTCTATAAACCACCGAAAAGCATGTAATAAATACTTTGAAAAATACTGCAACCAACCACCAGAAAATGTGGCAGGACAACACATTTACGAATTGTTTTTCCGTGATTTGGTTGTTTGTTATTTATACTGACTTGTGTTTGTCACAGCAAGTTTGTCATTACAAAGTCGCGTTTATGTTTGTGTTTACTATTAGATCATGCTCGTATTTGTCATTTGATTTTTCGTCAATCTTTTCAGCTATAGGTGGAAGCACTAATCCATGCTTTGATACGTTCAGCGGTGATAGCCCAGGGTCCGAAGCTGAGACAGCCAATATTGTTAATTTCCTCCGACAAAATGGACAGAATATCGATGCCTATCTAACCGTACATTCTTATGGTCAAATGTGGTTGTATCCATGGGGATTTACGTCTGCTTTGCCTGCCGATTACTTAGATCTGGTATGTTATATCGTAAATTATTTTTTTTTACAATTGTTATATATATGAAGCTTATTTCCTGTTTTAAAGATTGGTTCATGTTTATTTGTTAGGTTTATCAGCAACATGGAAACATTTTGAAATTTTTTACACATATTTTAAGGCACGAATATCTACGTCATATGTATTATTTTAAATGTATGAATTAATGTTGATGTACTTGGGGTTTCAAGGACAGTGCAGCATTGTCAGCTGTGACTGCTATAAGAAATACGCACAACAAGAGGTACGATATAGGGTCATCAACAAACGTGTTATGTAAGTTATGTTTTAGTTTATCCGGGTGATGGAAGCTTCGCATCTCCCCGCTTTCCCTGGTGGTACAGTCATCAATCACATGTGTAAAACATGGAACCAACAAACATACTCGAGAGTATGAAATTAAAATTATAGCAATTTTCTACTTTCAGTTTCAGTTTTACTTTCACTTTAGTTTTGTGAATTACATGCAGTCACAAGATGTAAAAGTTCACGCACAAGTTATATATATCGCGTTAAATAAACATGTTAAAATAATTGTTATTTGTGAAATGAAAGATTGCTTCTTCTTTACGTTCTTTTGTTTTGATGTAAAAGATATCGCATACGTTACATCGCTTTACCCTTTTCCCTGATATAGACGTGTTTTGACAGCTTTTTGTCCCCGACCCCCTTTTTGAGGCATCAAAACGTTAAAAAAGCCCTATTTAGGCCCCAAGCACTGTTTTTCGTTTGGGAAAATTAATGTTGTTACTTTTGACCACTTTTTCGGTGCAGCCCCCATCAAAATAATACAACAGGGAGTTGCCAGAAGGGGGATTGGAGGGGGCGGTAGTCCCCCTCATCGCCAAGAAAATTTTTGACATGCGACAGGCTTTGAATGGCCTCAGGTCGATCTTGAAGTGACGTGAAACCAACGCTGAAAAGTCTTAAACTCTAACTCTAACTCATTGCATTGAGAAGTTGCAGCACTTTGAAATCAGTTTTGATGTAAAAAAGACAGTGCAAAATAGTGTTTTTTCGCAATTTTGAAACGTCCCCTCGTTGCCATGGTGACAAGAAATTTAAGATTGAGCATGATGTTACAGAAGTTATGGTTCAGTCAACATATTTGTCAAGTTTCATTAGTATTGAAGGATTTTTTGATAGTTTTATAGCAGTTGGAACTGGTAAAAGGAGGCTTTTCAATGAAATCGGCCATTTTTCACAATATTCTCATGGGGTAAAAGGTTAAATAAACATACTAAAATTAAATTTTATTTGTGAACGCAAGTTTGTTCTTTCGATCCGTTCTACTGTTTTATTGGTCTCGGATCCAAGTCTGGGCAAGGGCTTGGCGAGGCAAATGCTATAAAGAAAACCATTGTTTTTTCATTATGCCAAACGTAACCATGGAGTTTTTCACAAAACATGAAGTCACCATTTTAATTTTACTTATTTTTTTGTTCATATCACATTTTTTTTCATACTTGTTTTATACAGTAGAATCCATCCTTAAGACCACCCCTGAATTAAGACCACTTCGCTATTAAGACCATTTTTTAAAAGAACGGAATGTTCCGTTCTTAATATCAATGGTACCATTATCCAGAATTAAGACCACCTCGCTTATTTACTTTTAAGACCACCAGATTCAGTCCCAATTTATTGTTTAATTTTTTATTTGACCACACTATTGAAACCACTGATATTAAAGTTAACACCTACCTAATTCTTAAAGTTGTTGTTATCGTCTGCTTTAATGCTCTTAGGCATGACACTTGATTTCACAAAGCGTGAAAAACTTGTTAATTGGGTTATTATATGATATAAGTTGAAAAAAGTAAATTTTAGAGTGGTCCCAGCACATTTATTTTGTGATGAATAAATGTTGTATTAAAAAGGTGAACTATGTTCATCATATGATAATTAATATTGAAATCAGACCAAAGAGAATTTAATGTGCATTAGAAATATATCTACCTCTCATCAGATTAAATATTATAACATTCTTTTATATTGTTAAAATACATATTGTTTGTTCATGCAACATGACTAAAATTTCCCGTTGTCATAAAGTATGTAAGCAATAAGAATATTCAAATTTAAGATCACCCCGCAATTAAGACCACTTTGGATCAGTCTCAAAGGTGGTCTTAATTAAGGGTTTTCACTGTATATAATATGTTGCAAAGATCTTGAGGCATACTGCTTTAAAGTTAAATGCACCACTGAATGTCTTACTATTTGTAAAAATATAGTTTGCTGTTTGAGATTTACGTGACACCGACACAGCTTAGGTCATATGGCGACATTCCAGCATTCCTGGTGGTGGAAGACCTCAAGTGCCCTTCCGTGCATTATTTCAGGCACGAACGGGCGTCTGAGTAGAACCACCGACGTTCCGTTAGCTATCTTCATCTACCTGACATTAAAGAATCCAAAGTTCCTGTCGGGATTCGAACCCTCGGCGGTGAGGGACAAGTAATTTAGTTATAACATTTTAACAATACAAAGGTGGTCAAGAACGATAATATATGTGATTTTTATTTCAATATAGCATAGAGTTGCCTCGCTCTCAACTCGGAAGATAAGAAAACTTCACGGAACACGTTATATTGTTGGATCAGCTACAAGAACTTTATGTAAATAAGATGTGTAATTAAACCGAAGTAAAAGAAATAAATAAAAGATTATATATAAAAACAAACTGCGGACCTTACCGTCTGAAAAAAAAAGAACTGGTCTTCAGTTACCTTTAAATGAAGCTCTTTTCTCCCATTTTATTTCATTTTCTCCCATATCTATCATTTCTCCCATTTTCTCCTTTTTTCATTAACTCTCCTTTTCCTTCTTTCTCATTTTCTTTCTTTTCTCGTATTTTCTATCCTATTATCTCCTTTCCACCCATTTTATCTCATTTTCTTTCCTTTTCTCCCATTTCCTCTTCCCCTTTCTCTCAGCTTCTCATCCTTTTCCTTTCTTCAATTTTGTTTCCCTGCTTTCATTTTCTCCTGTTTTCAATCATTTTCTTTAGTTTTCTTTTCTCTCTGTTCCCCTGTATTCTCTCTTTTCCTCCTTTTTATCTCCCTTTTCTCTTATGTTTTCACGTTCCTCACCCTTTAAAAGAAATATATACCTGAATGTATGTTTTTTTACTTAATTAAGACTAATGACTTGTAAAGTTTTATCTGATAAAATCACATATTGCGTTAATATTTATTATTCCTTTTACTCCGGTTTGAAGTATGTAGATGATGTCGTAAAACGCATGCGCGTATTGTTATATTATGATTTATATAGGATCAAATATTCTATTTAAATAACGTTGGTTTTTTTTTCATTTTTTCCCCATTAATTATGTGTTTATTCGTTTCATAAGTTTTATTATGTCAATACCATTATATCCTGCACGCTATTTGAACTTTTCCCTTGAGCTTTAACTTCTAAAGTTAGTCTGGAAAGTTTGATCTGGAGTTATGATGTCATTATGGTTGATAATAAAAATTATGTATACATGTGCATATTTCTAGGAAAATGTTGGGAGTTTATATGTTAAAAGTCAGATAATATATAGTACTCAATCTTATATTCTAAATTCGTTATTTGTAATTTGATAAATTTTTAGCTTAAGCGTATACATTGAGGGAAAACAAGTGATTTTTGCAACAAAGAAATATAATTAAAATGAATACCAACAACCAAATTAAGACCAAAGTAAATTTATTTACAAAATTGTAATTGCATTAATAGTAGAGTGCTTGTTTTTCTTCACAAAAACAAATTGATAAATATGATACCAAATGATTACATGTATTTTCATATCAAACATTTGTATTGATCAGAGACTTATATAACATTGTATTTAAATCAAGCTCTGTGTTTTCATGGAAAAACGCATATATCTATAACAAATTATGCGTTTTCATAACATTGTATTCACATGAATTACACTGTTATTGTATAGATACTAAGTACCACAAAATTCGTATTTATAACACAGCATTCGTATTTATAACACAACATTCGTATTCATATCGCATAATTCGTCTTCATAACACTGTATAAGTATTTATAACACAGCATTCGTATTCATTACATAGTCGTGATATTCATAACACATAATTCGTATTCATAACACAGCATTCTTATTCATAACACAACATTCGTATTAAAACACAACATTCCCATTCCTAATACAGCATTCGTATATAGCACTGAATTCCTATTCAAAAAGAACATAATCTTGTATTACAAGAAAGCAGGAATTTCGTATTTACAAGGCAGAATTTTAATTCATAAGGAAACATTCGTAATTTATTAAATATCTGACAGCGCGGTATTTTATAAGGCAACATTCAAATTTATAAAACAGAATTCGTTTCTATAAAAAAAACATTCATATTTATGACAAAATCATAAGTTTTATAAAAAGAATATTCTAATTTATAAGAAATCATTCGCTTTTATAAGAAAGAATTTCGTATTTATAACAAATAATTTGTATTTTTAAAGAATTTGTAGTTATAAGAAAAATCGTATTTATAAGAAAACATTCCTTCTTATAAGAAATCATTCGTAATTAAAAATATTTTGACATGTGAAAAAAGCAGATTTATATCATTAATTAATCGGATCAAAAACAAATTATTTTACATCATACAAAACAAACGTTTTCAATACAGTATCTTTAAATAGATGATTTTTTTTATTTTTACAGACGCCGCCGCTGGTGGTTCGGACGACTTTGCAAAGGGTGATACAGGAATTAAGTACGCATACACGATCGAACTCAGGGATGTTGGTAGATATGGATTCGCCTTACCCACCTCTGAGATCATACCGACAGCCGAAGAGTTCGTCGCGGGTTTAACGGCGCTTGCCGACAATATTTATACCCGGGAAACTGGAAAGAAATAAACTTGCAATGAAACATATACAGTTTGAAAAATATTGTTAATTAAAGACAACCAATGTGTTAGTTGTTGATATTTTTTAATATTAAGACAACTGCAAAATTATGTTTAGTTTCTTGTACTATCTTCTAAATATATTTCAGCGTGTGCTAACCAAGATACACGACATTGGATAGACATATGTCTATGAGCATTTTAAGAAATAAATATTTTGTTTTATATTGCCGATGATGGTTAAGTGATATAAATATCCCTAATTGGTATATCCTTTATTCACTATATGATATGAAAAAATGGTTTATCCCCTCCTTAAACGATTTGTTCTTTAAAATATGCTGTTTCATCCTCAAACCATTAGACTTGCTAGAATGTTAGTCAGAACGTCTAAAATAAAATAAAGTTAAAAATCAAATTACGCTTCGGGTATCAGAAGCTAAATAGATATGAGCCGTGTCACGACAAACACCAACATAATGTGTTTGCGACCAGCATGGATCCAGACAGGCCGGCGTATCCGCGCAGTCTGATCAGGATCCATGCAGTTCGCTTACCAACCCTATTATAAGAAGAGAAACTGCTAGCAAACGTACTATGTTGGTTTTGTCATATAATAAAGAACGATACAATGTGCGGGTATTTACTACATTAAAAGACATGTGTGCTAAATATCACGATTTATCAAACACAAATTTCTCATTAACACAACTTACTGGTGGAGGAAGACCCACCCCTTTATTCCGCATATAAACAGTTAAAAAAACTAAATGTCTTAAAGCTTCTTTTAATTTATTAAATGTTTTACCTATAGATACTTGGGATCAAATTCCTTTACATATTTTAATTTCACAAACGTTTCATCCGAACAAAGTTAGATAAGATACTATAGTTAACGGTTCAGCTTGGAAATCGAATTTACAAATGCATCAAGGCCTTCGTTAGGTTTTAGGCGTATTCCGAACATTGCCTATAGAAAAACTCTATGCTGAAGCAGGAGAAAATATGATAAACAAGATCAACAAGGAAAGGCGGCGTTCAATGAATGCAACCCCCATATGACCCAGCAATAAGAACCAATGGCAAGGAGCCCAGGCGGACCCCAAACAAAAACAGGACAAGGAAACCTTCCTTTTATCTACGTCGAATAAAAGCTTTCTCTTCAGTGTACAGCTAGACCATCGTCAAATAGTCAGCATCCTGCCAGGAACAGGTATTTTAAACATAAATTATAGCAACATGTTTTTAAACAACTCAAAGGAACTAAATCATTATGCCTGCGTGTAAAAGAAAAACCTTTAATTGACCAAAATAAATTCTTAGAAATGTTTAAAGATGTTCCTCCATGGAAGTTTATTTAAGACTTTCAACTTTTGAAAATTCGTGCAATTCTCCTGAACTTTTTTTAAAGAACATTTTTTTCAAAAATTAAAGAACATTAAAGGATGGATGCAATGTAGGTGCCACTGTCTTAACATATAAGCCTCGTCACGACAAAACCAACATAGTGGGTTTTTGCGACCAGCATGGATCCACACCAGCCTGCGCATACGCGTAATCTTATCAGGATCCATGCTGTTCGCTATCATTTTCTCTACTTGTAATATGGTTGGTAAGCGAACAGTATGGATCCTGATCGTACTGTGCGGATGCGCAGACTGGTCTGGATCCATGCTGGTCGCAAACGCATTATGCTGGTTTTGTCGTGACACGGCTCATACATAGATAAGTTGATAATAATCTATATTTACTGCTGAAGCAAAATCCATGTTTACGTTTTACAGCGTAAAAATTGTGTGACCATTTTTTTCAGATTCAATCATCAATAGATAATTTGATAATATTACGATAAACGAAATCCTGCTGGGATTTCCTGATATCTTAGAAATAAGTTTGTGAAATAATGTTGAACCCCAAACAAGAAGAGGAAAAGTAAATGCTTTGGTTAAAAAAAATGTTAACTACTTAAGTAGACTTTCATAATTATCACAAAAAGTATTTTCGACCTTCTATAAGTAAACTTATATCATCTACATAGAAATCAAATTTTGATTAAGCCATATTTAACAATCTTCATGATATTGACCCCTGCATTGATGTATCATCACTTTTTTTCTCCCCTGAACCGTCTTGATCACATTGTTTTGTTTTTAGTGCTTTCGGTTCTTTGATTTTTCTTAGATGTCTGATGGACACTTATTACACATATCAACTTTTAACAGGAGACGATGCTCGATTTTTGTAGAGCTTGCAATGGATATTTTCCTTCTTCTATACTTCATCATACACTGGTCTTTCAGGACCTTTTGATTCAGTTCCTTCAAAAAACATTGATCAACTATTTTAATTAATAAACTTGTGTTCTAAGATAATATAACATACTATGTAACATTTTCACTTACCATTTTTAGGTCTGATATGTTAATAATTATAGTTCTTGCGCTGTATGACAAGTAATGTGTCAAACGGAGAAACAACTTCTTTAAATTCCCTTTTTTATGTTCCTTTTTTGCAATGCAAGTATTTGTCAGAAAGGGGCGTCCGTGGTCGATTGGTAAAGGTCGTTGAGTTCAAATGGATTGATCGACACTGTTATGAGTTCGAATGCCCAGAGGGACTTTATTCATGTGTGAAAGCTATCCAGCTAGCTTACGGAACGTCGGTGGTCTGCCTCCACTAGTAAAGTCGCACTATAGTTGGGAAACGACCAAAAAAAAAAGGAATGTGACAATGTAATGTTGAGCTCAAGCAAGCAAGCAAGCAAGCAAACAAACAAACAAACAAACAAACAGACAAGCAGACAACCATACAGCTACACCAGGTAAAACCCTGGCATTGAGGAGCAGGATCAAGATAAGGACTTAAATATTCGCAATCGTTCATCTTTATATATTAAATATTCTATGTCAGCTTCATAAGTTAAAGTGGAATTACGTGAGCATATTTATAAAATAATAGAAAAGACATTTTTAGTTCATAAAACAACGAAAACATATATTCAAGATAATTTGATCCTTAGAATTTTCCTTAGTTAACACGAAAACTAAATTTGTAAAATAATCACTGAAGATATTGATACATTTTGACTAGACATCAATGATGTCATGAAGTGTGAATTATTAGGCCAAAATGCATTAAAGCAAAATGATATAAAGAGATTAGATTTGCCAGTATGCAACACTTCTAAAACTGATTGAAATAGATAAATCCTTTCCAACTTGTGATAAATGAACATTGTCTCATTTATATTATCACAAAAAGTAGAATTGTTTTACGACTCTCTATGCGGACAAGGTAAAGTGTTATCTAAAAAAGGGTGATGTCGATTTATACGAACACTTTGAACCCTTGATTTGTCAACTGTTTTATCATTATATGAGTATCGACAAACCAAATGGGGTAAATACATGAACCAAAAGCGCATGCATTATCGAAAACAACATCGTAATTTTCACCAAATTCAATTTGATTTTTTTTTGTTAGAAGATAACATCGGTAACAACTGCGGAATCCAAATCGTTTCCTCTAAAATGATAATGTACGTGAATGGGAGTTGGTAAACAAGACATAACAAATTTACATTGGAATGTTTTAGACCAAATACGCCGGCCTAAATGATTACACCACGCGAGACCAAGATGAAGCCCAATTGGCAATTCTTAAAGGTAAAATACTTCGCGTTCAAAGTATGCAGCACAATTTTAAATTAAAAGTTTAAAACCTATTTTTATGAGGAAAAACGAATTTTACAAGGAACATGCTAATTGAATGTTCACCATTGCCAAGACTGTCATTTTGAAATATTATTATTATTACTATTATTCTCATCATCATCATTATTATTATTATTATTATTATTATTGTAATTATTTTTATTATTATATTCATCATTATTATTATTATTATCATTATTATTATTATTATTATTATTATTATTATTATTATTATTATTATTATTATCACCATCACCATCATTATTATTTATATTGTTGTTATTTTGTTAAGCTGTTGCATTTCAAACAATTAATTGAACGCATTTCATTCTAATTTTCATTATTATTTTTTGACTATTTTAAGTTCAATTATTGGACTTTGCTACAGAAAAATACTCTAAATCGCACGGTTAACTCGGATACTTTTTGTACACAGTTTACCTAATATTATAGCCTCCTTCAGTATATTCTTAATCCACCTTGCACAGTTTAAGACAAAAATCGTGGGAAAGGTTAAAATGTTACCAGTTATCCTCGGTCTGTACCGGCAGCCAATTTATCTTGGTATTTAAAGGTATCATAACTGCACATATAATACAGATATCAATACATTGTGGTCATATGTTTAGGCCTTTTGCAAAAATGCTATTGCATGTAAAGTTTGTTTTTTTTACATTCAATCATAAAATTATTTTTTAGATACTAATGATTAAAAAGATTACTTTTCACCCAAATTTGAAGGTTTGGGGTCATGGGTAAGCCCTGTCTCGAATTGAGCAGAATGATACACAACGTAAACCTTTTCTAACATCGAAAGTAACTTGTATATCAAAACTGAACAAGTATATTAAAGAACTTAGGACATTAATCGTCAATTTTAGTTCGCCCAAGGTCGTTTTAGGTATATTCAAACAATGAAGAGGCTAGTACATATCAAAACTACTGAGTCATCGTATCACGTTTTGACTCGTTGTTTAAATTATGCACACTTTCAAACAATCAAGCTTATATAAGTGGAACTCTTTAACAGTTATATAAAAGAAAAAGAAGAAAATAGTTACATAAATGAAAACTCAAACGTAAAAAAACAAACCCGTGTTGAGTATCAAGGCACTATCACTCAAAAAATAATCAACATTTATTAAAGCCCCACATGATCTTATCAATTCAAGTATAGCAAATAGAATTTTGATACAGATGCTATAAATAAATAAATGCAATGTAAAACCTTTTAGTTTCAATAGATGAAATCGATAATGCATAGAAAGTTGATTTTTTTCCCATCAAAATGATAACAAAAATGGAAACAAACAACAAAGCAATAAAAAAGGGAAACAAAGGGTCATTTAAATTCTGTAATTAAGGTGCTTTTCAAGTTTTTCCTCTTCTTAAGTAATTACCGTTCGTATATGGATAACGGTGATCCCTTTGTTTCTACAATAGCATTTTATTTTCACAACAAACAAAAATCAACTTTATTTTGTTCATGTACCCTACATAATATAAGAAATTAAAGCAGCAGTAACTTATCACAACCACCGGTCTTTTAAATTTATCAGTACAATAATAAACGCGATGGTCAGACATTCCTACGTTGCGCAAATGCAGCGCTTATATCACAGTCCGTTATCTAATTTTGACCGTGTAAAGACTTAAAGATTCGGTACCAGTGTCCGAAAATGACCGTCAGTGAAACGTGAGAGATCGTTGATAAACGTGATTTTATAGATTGAAATAAAAGGACTCACATGTTTGCCATGTGTGGTTCTTCTATAAAAGAGCTCCCTCACATCTTTTGGACACTAGTATTCTTGTACTTACAAGACAATACACGAAACGCAAAATGAAGGTTGCAGTAATTCTTTGCGCTATCATCAGCCAGTGTCTGGCGGCTACGACGATTGAAACGCTGGTGGCAGACCCAAAAATGTCGACGTTGGTTAGCTTAGTGACAAAAGCCGGACTTGTTGATGCAATAAACGGGGGTAAGTCTTCTTTTTAAGTTGTTCATTTTGATTTAGCTCTTGAAAGCTACCAAGATGAATTGTGTTAATTTATAAATTCAATGAGTACTTCGCTTGCATGTTTTACTTTTTACTTTCATTTACTTGTTTTTGTTTAATATGAAGAAATAAATGTAACTTGTTTCGTTAGCTTTTATTTAACATTTTGTTGTTTTTTGTTTGTTTGTTTGTTTTTTAAAAAAAACGACTTAAATTTTCAATACCGGTAAATACTTTTACTATGTAAACATGTCCATGTTATATTTCAGGCGATTTTACGATCTTTGCTCCAAACAACGACGCTTTCTCAGCTCTGCCGTCTGCAACATTGACTGCACTCGGAAATGACGTCACAGCTCTTGCTAATGTACTGAAATACCACGTTGTACAAGGAAAAGTTCCGAGCTCTGCTGCATCCAATGAACTTCAGTTGACAACACTTAATGGCGACAAAGTCAGATTTAACATCTATGATCATAACAACGTAAGTCTTTTTTCATGTTTTAATTTTAATTTCCTAAAAAATTGCAGTTATCTAAATTTTTTGGACAATAATTCAAAATGAGTGTAGATTTCTGTAATGATATATGATATTTTCAACAACAAGCCAGGTTTCCTTTATTTACAGCTGAGTCAAGCTTTTATTTTTCTGTGTTGTTTCAAAATTAGGTATTTCAGTATTTTTATCTTTACAAAAATGCATCATATCACTATTATACCTTCCTCAAACCAGCGACATGAAGCTATTTATAACGAGTCGGTGACGTTCGTTTCTAACAATAGAAAATCAGTTGGTTTACTTATCTTAATATAGAAAGCGGACCCTATTGTTTATGTACTTATGGTCGGCAAATTTCATTTCCCCTTATTTTTTTTAATTTGACAATTATATTAAACGATTTATCTAAAACTAACATATTTTACCTTTAGAAAAGCTGAAGGCCGCTTTAAGAACTGAAACTAGATGTATACTAGTATATGGAAACAAAACACCGGACTTGATTTCTGTACTTTTCAATATACATGTATAAGACTTTTTGTAAACGATCCACATAGCAAATGTCGTAGTGAAAACAGATTTCATGGTCTTCAAAAGAGAAAACATTTTTTTATATGTTTGTTTGACTAATAAATACTGATTCAGCTAATATGTGAGTATAATAGATTGATATTTATATTCAAAAGACGCATATGATAATTTCATTTTTCAGGCTGTTACCGTTCAAGGATCTCAGGTCATTGCTCTTGATAAGGTTGCATCTAATGGAATCATTCATGTTCTAAATAAAGTAATGATGCCACCAGAGGGCGACATTGTCGATATCGTAGCTAAAACATCTGATGTAAGCACACTTTTGAGTTTGGTGCAGCAAGCTGGCATTGCTAATGCCCTGAAAGGTAAGACAAAAATCTGTTTCTCAATAAGACAATATACCTTTTTAGATAATAATTATATATGTTAAGCATTTAACATAAACTAATGTTAATCAAGGCTCATAAAACATGGAAAATAAGATGATTTCCAAGAGGAAATAATAATGAACATTTTCAAAACAATTATAATTATTTCTTAAATGCTTTTTCCTGATTGAACAAATATTCTTTCAAATTTTCAACTTGATTATTATTTGGATGCTTTTTCCTGATTGAACAAATATGCTTTCATATTTTCGACTTGATATCGTTATTTGAATTTTCGTGATATTTACAATGAAAATATGTCACCACGAAGGAACATTTAAGAGACAGACGTATTTAAGACCAATCTCAGTAAAATGATATCCTTGCATACGATCTACCATCCTTCGCTCTGGAGGGCAGCGAAGACTAATCGAGCGAAAACGATGATCTTATTTTTAATGAGATTGGTTTAAGCTGATCCTTATATCGTTTTCATGTGATTATTTCAGGTGATGCTTTAACCGTATTTGCTCCAACTAATGATGCTTTTGCACGCTTACCCAGCTCCGTCGTCTCTAAACTTACCCACGATAAAAATCTTCTTACAGGTGAGACTGACTTTAAAAAGATTAATATAAAATTGATTCATGAATTCCTTTAATGCCTGAAGATCAATATATTTGCACTATAAGAAGACCAAGTTGAACGCATACAGTTTATGCAACTTTCAACTGTCTATTTTGGCTTTGAGAGGCGTCACCCAGTTTCTTGATTTCAAAACATATCTTGCTTGGTCAATCTTGGTTACGTTTTGTGTATATGTTTTTAATACAATGCTGATTGCAGAACTTGATAATGTTCTGGATATATAAAACTGGCAGAATACAATGTCCACATCCTATTTGAAATGTGCGGCGTTTTGAATTAAAGGACCAAAAATTCTTTAAGATAGGAGATGGGTGTGCTTGTTTGTATGGTCTTACGGCGCACAGACACAGAAAAGGTCATATGACGCCGAGACAGGGAGGATTTTGGCTAACTTCCAGGTGTAACAAAATTTAAAGCAACACCAGGGGTCAAAACCACCTCACCATCAGTGATTCGAACCCATTTAGTCGCCTCATATGATCACATAGGGTCAAACGATGGCTGCAATCCCTATGCCTCGACCATTAAAGGCAACACGGGGAAACAGATGTGGTTTATTATCAAGATTCTGATGTATATAATATCATTGTGTAACATTAAATTTTGATTATTGATACAGAAGTGTTAGAGTATCACGTGGTACCACACACCGAATATTCAGCTGGACTGTTCAATAGAGAATACCTGAGAACAATTGATAGAAACAATGACAGATTGAGCATTCACTTTGATGGAGGTTAGTTTTTTGTACGTCTTACGCAAAGTCAAATAAAATGCTGCAAACCCTTATAAAATGTACGTAAAATACTTAATATTGTATCTGAACATATTTTTAAGCAAATGACATAATATTGTTACTTTACAAATTTAAAAATAAGTAAAATAAAGGATATAGAAAGCAAGTAAAATATACATATCTCGAAAGACTGACATTTCAATTTCAATATGTTATTTTACCAAGCAATATTGTCAAAGATTTCCGTCATGAAAACATACTAATAAAAACTTTTGAAAAATGAACAAGAAAAATATCTGATTATCATTAATTAACGTTCATTCTATGGTTTATTCTTGCAGCTGGAGTCCGAATCAACACCAACTCCCACGTGACCAAGGCTGATATCGGAACAACCAATGGCGTCATTCACCTCATCGATCATGTGCTCATTCCCGCCAGATACTACCTTACGCTGGCACTTGGCCGAAAATAAATGGAAATACTCAAAGACTCTTTTTTAAAAAATGTATTTATTTTTTATACTGTTTGGAAAAGATGGTGTAGATAGATGGATGTTTGTTTTATATGAAGTTTTGTTATATAAATAAATAATGAAATAATAATGAAGTCTTTATAATATGTTCAAATTGAATGCAATGCATTTGGTCAGTCTGCATATATTTGTATCATAAGGTTTGTTTACAAAAAAAGAGCAAATCAAACCTCTACGAATATGATAATAAGTTAACGCAATATCAGTCCTATGATCCTTTTTTTCAAAGTTTGTATTTAACATCAATGACTGAGTACTATCAACGCTTAAGAATCGTTTCTTCCCATTTATAATTTAAAAGCTCAACAGAAAAATGACAAATTGTCATGAATAGAATATACATGTACTAATATACGAGTGCATCTAATTTTACACCCAAACAATAGCATTCTGATTCTGATGCATGATATACAAGTGTAACAGAGACACAATTAAATGAATATCATTCGTTGGTGAATTAAGCTTGCTTTACTACACACCCTTTTAAATTTCAAACCAAGATTAAGATGTTAGTCGGTTCAAACATTTTTATTCAATCAAGGTTAACAGAATAGAAGCAAATATTTTGAACATGTACATAGTACATCATCACAACAATAACAACAATATAAATACACGAACTGTAAAGATTTCACGTTTATATTCAACAAATTATACAGAATTTGATATATGGCACTGAATTTCATTTATAGATGGAGAGTGAATTACAATGGTTAAAGGAAAATTAATGTCACTTCAAAACAATTTGGTAGAGTAAAAATATACTTGATACAATAAGGCATTACAATAATGAGTATAAATTTGTAACAAAATTCAATTGTTATAGCCCATTTCACCAGCCTTTCGTAATTTATCGGAAACATTTGTAGACGCGCATCACGTGGGAGGTTAAGTGCAAATATGTTTGACCAATGAAATACTGGTTCTCGAGTGTACATGTATTGTTTATATTTACGATAATGGCGGGTGATTCAACGGCTGACGAAAAAGTGTTTATTGAATTAATAAATGCTTATTCTTCTGGAAAACTCCCACAAACACTTTCATTTTGGTGTACGGACATTCTCAGTCAAAATCCCTACTTTCACTTTTTAAACTACTTTCTGATGTCAAATTTAAACATTTCTTTATCAGAATCCAATGGATTATCCTTCGCATCGGTCTCAAATGTAAGCTCAAATAATGACGGCCGATTTTCGTCGTTTTCCATGATTTTTTTTTTTAACTCAAATCAATGTTATAATAACCATTCAATTACGGTTTTTCTTTTCAAAATATAACCCGATTTCCGATTGGTTAATATTTAAATATTCTCGGGGAATACCTTGAAAACAACCAATGATTTACGACGCTACAACGTGGCGACCGGGAAGTAAAGCAAGTCTTATCTAGCCGCATGTATGTGGCATGCAGGTCAGGTGTAAAGTCGATATCGACACTCGTTATCTAACTGACGCATTGTCGTGGCGTGAAGGATCAATGAGTTAACTATGCAGTATAATGGCATATTTCTCGAGTGATAAGAATCCGCCATGTAAATTTCCTTTGTTTATTTTTATGTTACTATAGATTGTACATGCATCCACCAGCATTTGATTGGTCAGTTGATTATATGCTCGGAATCTGATCGTAGCACTTCGCTAATTTACGTGAGAAATCGTAGTGAAAAGGGCCATTACTAACAATAGTGTTCAAGATTTTAATCGATTCTTTCAAATATTTAGCTTGATTCAAACGTATAATTCAATGTGACAAGGACAAGTTAAATCTATAAAGTTTGATATTGATCCATGCAATAGCAAGCTTTTTCAATTGATGTCAACTCAAAGCGAAATAATTCTCTTTAATGTAGTGAAGTACTGAGAAAGTTATTGATCTGTTATACCAAAAATAATTTTCTTTCATATGTTAAATCCAACCAAAATAAAAAACAAATTAACTGGATTTCGCTGGTATGTGTTGCATAAGTACATATTATGACATTTAAATATAAAAATAAAGCGTTTAATTATTTTATTTTTTATAACAATGCAAAGATAAATATATATATATATATATAGTCAATATGTTTTCACCTATGGTAAAATTAAATATATAGTTGATATATATAACTTAGTACCCCTTAGTTCTGTTGTTTGGAAATGTCATTATATGCCTACATAGTGGCATATATAAAAACTGACTGCAAAAAATAATGCCACTCAACTCGGTCTTATAAATAGGCCCCGTAATTGAAGATATGTGTGAATGATATATATATATATATATATATATATATATATATATATATATATATATTATATATATATATATATATATATATATATATATATATATATATATATATATATATATATCCAAGTATCAAATATTTGTAGATTAAGTAACAATTATTGTCATTCAGTATTTATCACAAACTTCACATTTCCAGATTAATATATACACATGTACATACACAACATGATATACAAACAAAATCACAAGGGAAGAAAATGAAAAGAAAAGAAAGGAAAGGTAATTCATACATTGAACAGAGAAAGCATTACATAGTTGTTCCTTATACTCAAACTTTACTTTAAACAAAAAGCAATGGGTGTATATTCATAAATTATAAATTCACATTACTTTAAAAAGAATTAAATGATTTTTTGAACAGTTGTGCAAAATTATTATGTTATCTTTTGTATTTGTTGCACATGCATCAATTATTGAAGAGGCTAATTCAAAACTTCTAACTAATCCATCTATATTTGGTAAAATAATTTTCTCCTACATAAATAAACATATTTCTTTAGGATATTGTACTTTGACAGGCTTTTTTGTATTACCTAATATAAAAGTTTGACAATCAATATCAAATTAAGCTTCATGATTTCTAACAAATTTAATAATTTCTGTAATCAATATTTTGACAAATGAGCATTCCCAAAGTAGGTGAAACATTGTTTCATGTTCTGATTTACAAAAGTACATATACTTGTATCTGATAAATTCATTTTCAAAGAAGATTATTAGCAGCTAATATTCTGTGTTAGTCTTGTCTGAAACCATTGCAAGTAAGAATCAATGGTAATGTCAAAAACCCAACTATGTATTTTATTCCAGTCAGATTGACTTAATTGAAAGCAAGTTTTCCAAGTTGGAATATCATCATTATAATGCCCCCCCATGTAATGGCCGGGGAATATTGTGTAACCCTGTTCCGTACTTCCGTCATTCCGTCCTTCCGTCATTCCGTCATTCTGTCATTCCGTCATAATCAGTTTCCATTCATTATCTTTGTAACGGTTGCACACATTCAACTCAAATTTGACATATGGATATGTCATGTAAAAATACAGGTTAAGCCCCTTTTACTTTGAAAATAATATGAAATTTTCAGTTTCCGTTCAGTATCTCCCCAAAGGTACAACACATTCAACTCAAATTTGTCATATGGATATGTCTTGAGAAAATTCAGGTAAAGTTTGAATTTGGTCATGGTTCGATGATTTTTGGCAGAGTTATGCCCCTTTCACTTTGAAAATAATATGAAATTTTCATTTTCTGTTCATTATCTCCCCAACGGTACAACACATTAAACTCAAACTTCACATATGGATACATTAAAGGAATGCGCAGGTCAAGTTCAAATTTGGTTGTGGTTCAACGATTTTTGGCAGAGTTATGCCCCTTTCACTTTGACAATAATATGAAATTTTCAATTTCTGTTTATTATCTTCCCAACAGTACAACACATTCAACTCCAATTAGACATATGGATATGTTTTTTGAATGCCCAGGTCAATTTCGAATTTGGTCATGGTTCAATGATTTTTGGCAGAGTAATGCCCCTTTCACTTTGAAAATAATATGAAATTTACAGTTTCTGTTCAATATCTACCCAACAGTGTTACATATTCAACTCAAATTTGACATATGGATATGTCAAAGGAATGGGCAGGTCAAGCTGGAATTTGGTCATGGTTCGATGATTTTTTGGCAAAGTTATGTCCCTTTCACTTTGAAAATAATATAGATACATCTTAGGAATAAGCAGTTTAAGTTTGAATTTGGTCGTGGTTAAATGATTTTGGACAAACTTATCTTTCTTGAATGTTGGAAAAATTTTGAACTTTCAGTTTCAGCACTCCTTCTTTTGTGGAAAGTTTGAATTTGGTCGTTGTTCAATGATTTTGGACAAACTAATCTTTCTTGAATGTTGGAAAATAGTTTGAACTTTTAGTTTCAGCACTCATACTTACATTATGTTGGCTACAAATATGATATATGCTATTTTCAAAAGGTTAAGACTAAATAATTTCAGTGCTTTGAACATTGTATGAAAATGGTTTGTGTTAACATTGAAAAGTTTTAAGGGTTTTGAACTGCAAATGAAAAAAATAATTTGTGCAAACAAATTTGGAACAAAATATTATAACATCTAAAATTTTGGCTGCATGCGGGGGCATCCGTGGCATGATGACACATTTCTAATTTATTTATACATTGTAAATGTCGTATAGAAAGTTGTAAGTAGTATAGGCTTTAGATAGCAGCATATTATGAGAGAAAAGGGAGCAATTTCATAATTATCACATAACTTTAAACTTAATATACTTCTGTATTTCTTGACAGCACTGGTACTTAATTCATAGTAAATGAAGTTTACTTTAATACCTAATCTTGCTTCCAATTCATTCCTTTCAAGGAAAGTACCATTCACATTCATAATATCTTTGATAAATCTTATACCTTTATCATACCATGTTTTTATGAAACTATGTTTTCTATCAATCAAAATATATTGGTTATAGAACAGAGGCATTTCTAACAACATCTCCATAGAATTTTTTCTACAATTCTACATAAGCACCTAAACATCTTAAGTTTCCAAAATGAATTTTCAAAATATTATATATATGTGCTGTATATAATTTCCACAATTAAACAGCTTCTTAATATCTAAAAAGTTATCTAAAACAGTGTAACATTAATCAGATTAAGATGATACAATTCTTCTTAACCATGAAAGTTTTAAACTTTTCGTGTAAGCACATACATCAATTATTTTAGACCACCATTTACATATTCCTTCACCAATACAGAAGAGTTAATCTTTGGTGGACCTTGAAACATAAAATCATAAATCATATCATGTATTTCCTTTAACATCTGAGAATTAGGATTTGGAAGTGACATAGACAAGTTAGTTTACAAGTAAAATGGTTTCCTGCGGTGAACATTTTAATGATGTAAGGATATTTCATTTAACTATTTTCAACATTATTATTATTATTATTGGGGGGGGGGGGGTAAATAAACGTTTGTATCAGGAATACAGTTGACAATTAAATAAACGATCAATTTAGAAGAAGGTCTTTGGAAACTGGTGACCGTTGAAGACCGGAGAAGGTCGAACGTAAAACAATTATTTCTTTTTAAGAAAATGATTAAATAGGCCTACCATTTTATGAATAATTCCGAGCAAAAATATAAATAAAGTAAACACACAAGTTTACGCAGAAAATATCTCTATTTATTATGGCAGATGCCACTACGAATATTTTAATTTTGTAGATTTTCAGTATAAACAATTTATTGTTTGTAAAATTTGAGATAGATATTAAAGAAATATTGATAATTTTCAAACACATCATTTAAGTTAAAATAATTATAGAAAATAAGAAATATCACATAATAGTTTTTTGTTCTTAATAGGTGTAATTCGGACTAATTCCCTACAGGTAAATCCGTAACGTACCGACAACGGTATTTAGCTAGGTTTTCGAAAAGGTCAATAAACCAATCATGTACGGTTTACAGATCACATGCTCCTCCATGTACCGAGCACAGGTCACGTGCTCCTCCATGGCTCAAAAGTTAAACGCGTACCAATACCCTGCGGTCTGACTTTACAACGGTTATTCTAGCAATAGGTGTTAAAGCCCTTCTTTTCCAACACTGGATATATTTTTGATATAGTAATTCAATGTTATCACTTTTTCTAAATGTGAAAGTTAATACCAATTAATCTAAATGATGTACTACCCCAAGATATTAAAGCGTTTAAAAAAAATTTATATTCCTCATAAACATGTTCATACTTCATCAATATAGATCTCTATCAACATTCTGTTATCAAGAAATCTAACATAAGAATCAGAATACTTTAATCATGTTAGTTATAAGAAGCCTACATTGTTTCTTTGAGTAGGACAAAATAATTGCAAAATTAGAATAATGGCATGACTAATAGTGAATGACATTTTTGTCATCTATAATGATATATTTCTATTGTTTTATTATCAATATTTGAAATACTTTGAAAGATTTTAAAAGATATGCCATAATTGAAGTCCCAACGCTTTTAATCACAATTTTTATCAGTCATATGATAACACGAAATAATTTTATATGCATGTTGTTGGTTTTTGTAAGATATCTGACTCATACACTTTATTATCTGTTATGTAAACATACATTGGTTAACAGGATATATCAGCGCTCATAACTTTAACATCTATTTTCGTTATACATGCATCTTTCAATTTTAGAATACGAGTATTGAACATATACAATGTTCGAGGCAAATATTTGCTAATTCCGAAAGAACATATTTTTTCAATGTAGCTATTGTACTTTTTTATATATGCTTGCAGAAATTTGTGTACTGCAAACATGCATTTCTATCGAAATCTTACCATAGAGAAAATATTCTGCAAACATTGGAAACAATTATGTAGCATTAGAGTGACAACTAATTCTACATAAGTGTTTCTTTTTTAAGGTAAAAAAAAACAACTGATAAAATCTTAAACCATTATTTAAACGATATAAACATCATATCTGCCTTCTCAAAAGATGTAATAAAAATTTATTCAATTTTAAACAAAATGTGCCTTTAAAAATTGAACATGATACATCACCATGACAATAGATAAAAACAATTTAACACGTCATTTCACCATGATTTCGCAAAACATACAACAAAAATTTAAATTAAATTAAGAAAAATCTGAAAATGACATTTCTATCGCTTTCCTTTCCTCGCCTGTCACAATACGTAAACCCAAGCAAACCACTGTGCATGTATATGTATACGATTTAACACATTCTCAACAGAAAGGTCCCCAAACTATGATAAAATACAAATGTATTAGACTGCTTGTAATTTAATCTTGATGTGCCATGCTCATTTTATCAATAAAGATATTAAACTAGAACAAAAAAGGAAATTCTTAAAGAACGTCCAAAACGAAAATTTGAAAATGTTTACAGGCTCGGATTAATTGAGCACATTCATGCCTGGTTATTGATTTTGAAAGTTACCATCCATTCAAAATAACAATTTTGAACTCTATTCTTAAGGGTGTTCGTGAATAATGCACATGAATCTGGTAAAGTAAATATCCGATGACAGATAAGTTCTACACTTTCTGAAAAATATTTAAACAATACCAAAGGTATATTTGGCAGTTTTGAAACATTTTCATGAAAATATGAAAATCTTGACAGGATGAAACAATACCATCGTTTAATCAACTGCCAATACATATTTTTACACATTTTAGATTAAATACGGCCGCACAAATACATTCACTTATAATTTATAGACAGGTTATTTCTTTATATCTATTTTAGATACTACACAAGAGCCTAATGTTGTTCTTTGTGACTTTTAATTGTCAAGGTTTCAAGAGAATGTAAATAACTATTAATTATCAAGCATTACTAAAGAAACAACATGAAGATGAAACAGACTGACAGTTTATGAATAGTACTATGTAAGATTTTAGAATATTAAACATAATTCTTAAGCAATAATACATTATTCAATTTACAACATGAAAAAAGTTAATTGATAACAGGCTGAGTAGGTTTTTTATGATTATTTCAACAATGTGCAATATTTTGACGGTACTTTGTTACTTCGAGTATAATAAAGATTTGTTGTGAATGTTTTACCACACGCACACACACACACACGCACACGCACACGCACAAGCACACAACAACAACAACAATAACAATAACAAACAAAAAAAAAACAAAAAAAAAGTACAATGTGGAATTGATTTTTTTCTTTTATACTCAGGAAATATAAACGATACCAACTTAATAGTGAATAACATGTCCAGATAGATTAAGGTATGGGACGTGGTCAGGAAGATTGTTATACTCTGATTTCCATTCCGTTAGGAGCTTGTTAGATGATCCTTCCGTTTGTGAATAGTGTAAACCCTTTTCTCTCCAGTTTGTTGTCAGGCCTGCGTTCTCTGTAATTGTAATAAATAACATGCTTTAATTTATGATTTTTCAGTATATATAAAGAATATAAAACAAGAGTTCCGCATGAAATGTCAACACTCGTCTGTAACAGATAACTAATATCAAAAACCAATTATTGTAGATATGATTAAAATAATTATACATTAAAAAGGTGCATAGCTCGTAATAACTTACTTTCAGGAAATTGTCCAATAATAGCACTATGACTTGACATGATAGTTTTTAGTTGTAAGCTGATATAGTTTTAAAATCATCCTTCTTATAAGTATTTTTGTCAAAAGTAATAAAATGGGGTAACTTCAAAAGTAGAGCATTCTTAATAAAGCCCCATGCCTTTCAACTCGAAATAGCAAATCCATTTATTCTATTTTTTTTTCAATTATTTGAATTTATTCTTTCTGAATAAATGTTGAACTATATTTGACTTTTTTTGGAAAGGTAAATCAAATTTTGACATGAATCCATAACTATCAATTTGAATTTATACATGATTGTACATGTATTTTACAAACCGTTGAAAAAGTCATTGAAAAGTAGCATTACATTTCCCAGACTGACTGCATAATGATTTTCGTAAATGGGAAAATCGATGTGAGTGTCTGACTTTTGTGATCTGATATAATTGAATAAATAAACTTACCGGGAAAATTGCAATGCAAGGTATATTCATTATTTTTCCAGGCGTAGTAAATATGCCACATTGTCCACATTGTATTTGCCTTTCCTCCACTGGAAAGAATTTCATACCAATCCGATGCTATATTTCCAGGAACATAAGGCTTAAACGAAGATTTATCCTCAGAATAAAACCAGTCCAAAAATTGCTTCCAGTTTTTTGTACTTGGTGAAAATCCCCATGAACCAAGGACAGGAAAATGAAATACTGTATAATCTTCCGGTCCACGTAACGTTGTAATATTGTGTTCTAAACTAAATGTTCTCGAGTAACCTTGCAACGCAAATCCATTTATGTCTGAACGATTATCATATTTCCGATGGACCATTCTCAAATATTTCCAGAAATATTTTGAAACAGTAACGTCATCTTCGAGAAAAACAACAATTTCGTTGCTGGTTATATTCGGCTTCCAAGTGGTAAGCCATTGTCCTACGATACCCACATGGTGCTGATGGACAATGACCTCACAATCGCCATGCAGGTAATTAAAGTTAATTGCCGCTTGCAAAGTGATCTTATCAACGCTTCCATCTTCTGACCTGTCAATCCAAATCTCGAGTTTGATAATATCGGAGGCATATTCCGCTTCATTTAAAGAGTTCAGAAGTCGTTGAAGAGACTTAGCTCTGTCATATACTAGTACAATTATACGTAGATCAAAACTTGTCCTATCAACAGCATGTCTATTGTCTCGAGTAAATTTAAATAATTTCCATGCAGGATTTTTAAACAGTATCAATGCCAAGAAACTAAATAAACACAAACACATATATATTCTTAGACGTAATGTATTCATTATTTTAAAATTCACTATCAACACATAGTTTTCGTTTAGTATTTATCAGATATGAAAAAAAAATGAATTTTAACATTGAGACAAAATCATTTCTTATCTAACAGTGAGGTGCATAAACTGCATGCCGTGTTTAAATAATGCTACACTGCGGGTTGTTTTGTATAATTATGTAAACAATTTAATCAGGTATTTTAAAATCATGCATTAATATAAGCCTTTACATTCAGGACGATATCTCCATTAATCTAACCATTTGGATTGATAAAAGTATAACAATCGTCGCTATTCACAATATTCCTTTAACAATGTTTCCTCTCAAAGACTGTTTACATTTCGGAAATGTCCCAACGCAGTATGCTATATGCAGCAGGTTATAGGGTATACTGTCGCACCTTTAAAGGCTTACTGCCGCAGTATGGCATGCTGTGTTGGAAGGGGATACGCACTATGTCATATGATATTTTTTTTGTTGAAAATATCATTTAAAAGTGTTATTAAAATGTTATGAATTCTAAGTATTTTGCATAATAGAAAACATCAGAAACACTTTTTTGTTAATATTTAGCGGAATAAAACGCCAAGACAAACAGACCAAACACTTATTATGCTCCCCGAGAGCAAATAGTCGCCGCTATGTCCGTCCGTCCGAATTCGGAGCATAAGCCAACAACTATTGAAGCTACTATCTTAAAACCTCACAGATTGCTAGATCTCTTTTAAGAGAGGTGCAGTGCTAAAGAGCCTTAACTCTTAAGTTTTTGAGTTACTGCCCTTTGTTATTTATCACACTTTACTCTTAAACTACTAAAGATGTCAACTTTGAACTCAAGAGGTGGCGTCGGGAAACATCACTGGTTCTACAGGCTCTTGTTTCAAAAAGATGAAGTGTAAAACTTAAGCCAAAAACTATTCAAGCTACTATCTTAAAACTTCACAGATGGCCAGATCTCATTTTACAGAGGTGCAGTGCTAAAGAGCCGTATTTTTTGAGTTATTGCCCTTTTTAGTTTTTCATACTTTACTTTTAAACTACTAGAGATGTCAACTTTAAACTCAAGGGGTGGTCTCGGGAAAAATCATCGGTTCTACCGGCTCTTGTTTCAGAAAGGTTAAGTATAAAAAAATCTTAAATACATTGAAAACGTTTTAGTGTAATTCTTAAAAAATAAAAGAATCAATTTACATTTTTCATTCGATTGTCTTTTTTAAAGATTAAGGGTTTTCCTAAACAATGTTTTACGCACTTTGCCATATGATGTTTCTCAAGTCGATTTTCCTCATGTGGCATAGTGTGTTGTTGGTCCCGACGCAGTATTCTATTTGCGGCAATATTCTATAACCTCGTACCATACCTTGAATGTTTTTCTAATAGTTCTTACAATTTAATTGTCAAGTTTTTATTTTAGCTACAGTCAGGGTTCTCTTTGTAACCTCGATTACGAATTAAGCGTATTAGGGTGTCTAAAGACTTAAATAATGCTGGGGTCTAACCAGGAGATGAAATTTTGTCATGAACGGTTTTCTCTACAGGCCCGTTCTATACAACTGTCCATGTTAAAAACTATTCGTGAAAAATAGGCATGTGAAGTTGGCTTGTACATTGTACATCATCGTAGTTCAGCTTGTAATCCGCCAATTACAAGCTTGCAGTTTGGTATTCATCTTGTAGCTCGGTTTGTATTTTGTACATAATAATTCAACTTGTAGTCCGCTAATTGCAAGCATGTAGTTGGGTGTTTAGCTTGTAGATGGGACGAAATAAATCAGCATACGTTATATTTGAATTACAATGCAGTATTTGGGTATTCATCTTGTAGTTCGGACAAATACATAAGCATACATGATATATAAATTACAAATTAGTAGTTGAGTATTCATCTTATAGTTCGGACCAAAAAAATCAGCATACGTTGTATTTTAATTTCAAGCTAGTAGTTGGGTATTCATCTTGTAGTTCGGACCAAATACATAAGCAAACATGATATTTGAATTACAAGCTAGTAGTTGGGTATTTATCTTGTAGTTCTGACAAATACATCAGCAAACATTATGTTTGAATTACAAGGTAGTAATTGGGTATTTTAACTGTAGGTCTGACCAAATTCATTAGCTTTCATTATATTTGAATTACAAGCAAGAAGTTGGATATTCATCTTGTAGTTCAGACAAAATACAACAGTTTACACTATATTTGAATTACAAGATGTTAGTTGGGTATTCATATTGTAGTTCAGACAAATACATCAGTTAACATTATATTGAAATTACAAGCTTGTAGTTGAGTATTCATCTTGAAGTTTGGAACAAATACATCAGCATACGTTATTTTTAAATTACGAACTAATAGTTGTGTATTCAGTTTTAGTTCGGACAAATACATAGTCATACAGTATATTTGAATAACAAGCTAGTAGTTGGGTATTTATCTTGTAGTTCGGACCAAATACATCAGCATACATTATATGTGAGTCAATAGCAAGAAGTTGGGTATTCAGCTTGTACTTCGGACCAAATACATAGGCACACATGATATTTGAATTACAAGCTAGTAGTAGGGTATTCATATTGTAGTTCTGACCAAATACATCAGTATACATTATAATTAAATTACAAAAAGGAGTTGGGATTTCATCTTGTTGTTCGGAACAAATACCTCAGCATACATTATATTTTTATTAAAAGATAGTAGTTGGGTATTCATCTTGTAGTTCGGACAAATACCTCCACATACGTAATACTTGAATAACAAGCAAATAGTTGGGTATTCATCTTGTAATTCGGACATATACATCAGTGTACAGTATATTTTAATAACAAGGTAGTATTTGGGTATTTATCTTGTAGTTCGGACAAATACATCAGTTTTCATGATATTTGCAATACAAGCTAGTAGTTGGGTATTCATCTAGTAGTACGGACAAATACATCAGCATACATTATATTTGATTAACAAGCTAGTAGTTGGGTATTCATCTTGTACTTCGGATCAAATACATCAGTATACATAATATTCGAATTACAAGCTTGTAGTTAGATATTCATCTTGTAGTTCGGACAAATATATCAACATACATTATATTTGAGTCACTAGCTAGTAGTTTGGTATTCAGCTTGTAGTTCGGGCACACATGATATTTGAATTACTAGCTAGTAGTTGGGTATTCATCTTGAAGTTCGGACAAAATGCATCAGCATACGTTCTATTTGAATTACAAGCTAGTAGTTTGGTATTCATCTTGTAGTTCGGCCCAAATACATCAGCATACGTTCTATTTGAATTACAAACTAGTAGATCTAGTTGGGTATTCATATTGTAGTTCGGACCAAATGCATCAGCATACGTTGTTTTTGAATTACAAACTAATTGTTGGATATTCATTTGTACATCAGCACACGTTATAATAACACAATTAAAGCTGAATACCGCTTTAAGAATTATATGTATAAACGAAGGGGTCTAAAAAACTTCGTGGACTTTCCTTGTTGCGGAAAATATATTTTAGATATTGATTTGAAATTCTTTCTCTGAAGAATATTTAAGAAATAAGCATAGAAAAAAATAATGTTAGAAGCTTCCTATATTGCAAAAATGTATAGTTTTACATATCAAACTCATGCCATTACTAATTGACGCAGTTAGGTGTTTCTTTCCAAATGTGTTGCTAATATTATACAAGGTATGTTGATAAAGTGGCATCTGCAATACACCTTGTATATATAATAAAAATGTCCACGAACTTTTGGATAACCCATCGTATGGTAAGACAATACCGGACTTGTTTTCAATGCATTTCAATATACATGCCTAATACTTTTCTTAAACGATTTACATTACAAATGCCGTAGTTAGAATCAGATTTCATGGTCATTAATAGAGATCGAATCTCTTTTATGATCCTTGGACTTATAAATACTGATTCAGCCAATATATGAGTGTATTATAGATTGATATTTATATTCAAAAGACGCAAATGACCACATTATTCAGGCTGTAACTGTTTAAGGATCTCAGGTCATTGCTTTCGATAAGGTTACATCCAATGGAATCTTTCATGTTCTAAATAAAGTAATGATGCCATCAGAGGGCGACATTGTTGATATCGTAGCTAAAACATCTTATGTTAGCACACTTTTGAGTTTGGTACAGCAAGCTGGCATTGCTAATGCCCTGAAAGGTAAAACAAAAAAAACCTTTTCCTCAAGTTAGACAATTAAGGTTTTTAGATGATAATTATATATGCTTAGTATGAATTATACACTGATGTTAATCAAGGCTCATAAAATATGGAGATTAAGATTATTTTCAAGAAGAAATTAATAGGAATAAGAAACATTGTAAATGCTCATTCCTGATTGAACAAATATTCTTTCAAGTTTTCCACTTGATATCGTTATTTGGATTGTTGTGATATTTACAGTAAAAACATGTCACCGATGGTTCATTTTTAGAGACAGGCTCTCATGATTTCTTAGCTTACGTTGCTCCGAAGGGTTGCAAATACTAATCGATCGAAAACGATGATCTGATATTTAATGAGATTGATTTAAGATAGTCCTTCTATCGTTTTCATGTGATTATTTTAGGTGACGCTTTAAACGTATTTGCTCAAATTAATGATGCTTTAGCACGCTTACCCAGCTCCGACATCTCTAAACTTACCAACGATAAAAATCTTCTTACAGGTGAGACTTTAAAAATGATAAAGATATAATTGATTGATGAGTACCGTCATTGCCTGAAAATCAATATATTTGCACTATATCGAACACATACAGTATATGCCATTTTCATCTGTCTATTTTTGATTTCACTGGGATCACCAATTTTCCAAATTTAAAAACGTATCTTGCTTGGTCAATTTAGGTTAAATTTAGTCTATAGGTTTTTAATAAAACGCTCATTGCTGAACTTGATAATGTTCTGGATATATAAAACTGATAGAATGTAATGTCTTGAGCCTATTTTAAATGTGTGGCGTTTGGAATTAAAGAACCAAAAATCCTTTAAGACTGGAGGTGGTGTGCTTGTTTGTATGGCCTTAAGGTGCACAAAGACAGGATAGGTCGTATGACGCCAAAACAGGATAGATGATTTTGACTTACGTCGGATGTTACAAAAATTAGTTTGTTTGTTTGTTTGTTTGTTTCATTTTACGCCTTTTTCAACAGTATTTCAGTCATATAAGCGGGTAGTTTCCTAACCATCGTTCCTGGAGAGTTACACCAGTACTAGACTACCTTCCTCCCCGCTAGACTACCAAAGCATCTCCCGGGGATCGAACCCACGCCAGAGAGGTAACTGGATTAGAAGTCATCGACTCTAACCCCTCGACCACGGAGGCGGTCGTTACAAAAATCATCGCAAACCCAGGGATCAAAACCATTTCACCACCAGTAAACGAACCCATTTAATCGCATCATATGATCGTGTAGCTGCAATCTTTATGCCTCGACCATTAAAGGCAACACGTACGGGGAAATAGATGTGGTTTATTATCAAGATTCTGATGTCTATTATATCCGTGTGTAACATTAAGATTTGTTTATTGATACAGAAGTGTTAGAGTATCACGTGGTACCACACACCGAATATTCAGCTGAACTGTTCAACAGAGAATACCTAAGAACAATTGATAGAATCAATGACAGATTGAGAATTCACTTTGATGGAGGTTAGTTTTTGTATGTCTTAAACAAAGTCAAATATTGAATGCAGCAAATTACTATAAAATGTACGTAAACGTACCTAATAATATATCTTACGCAAAGTCAAATATTAAATGCTGCATATCTCTATAAGAAGCACTTAAACTTTCTGCAAATAATTCTGAAATTGTTTTATAGCAAGGGACATGATATTGTCCTTTTAGGAACTTGAAGAATAATTAAAATAAAAGATATAAAAAAGCAAACAATAAAACATGCTTTAAAATACTGACATTTCAATTTTAATGTGATGCCTAACCAAGCAATTTTGTCAATGACAACATATCTAATAATAACTACCTTTGATAAATGATAAAGAAAACAATCTGACTATCGTTCATTCTATGAATAATTCTTACAGCTGGGGTCTGAATCAATACCAACTCCCACGTGACCAAGGCTGATATCGGAACAACCGATGGCTGGCCGAAAATAATCGGAAATACTCAAAGACACATTAAAGAATAATATAATTATTTATTTTTTATACTGTTTGGAGAAGATGATTAAGATAGATGAATGGTTGTTTTATATGAAGTTTTGTTATATAAATAAATGAAAAAAATATATATAATGAAATATTAATCGTACGTTCAATGCAAAGGTTAAAGTCAGTCAACATATGCTTGTATCATAAAGTTGGTTACAAAAAAAGGGTCGAATCAAAAATATTTGAATGTGATAAGTTTAACGCACTAACACTTCTAAAATCCTATTTTAAAAAGTCTGCATTAATATCAATGACTGAGTATTTTCAACGCTTAAGAATCGTTTTTTCCTGTACATATGCCAAATAAAAGCTCAACAGAAAAATGACACATTGTCATGAAAGGAATATTTATGTACTAAAATACGAGTATATCCAATCTTACATCCCGACAGTCACATAACGCTGATTTGTGTACTGTCATTTTTTCTTTATTAAACTTTAAACTGTAATGGAAAAACCCGCCTTTTTTAGCACAACATGCAGATACTGGATTACAACACTACCTAACTTTCAGGATAAAAATGACAAGAAAATAACTGTTCAGTTAAATGGAACCGTAAATTGACCCATGTCCATTAACATGAAAAACACATATATACTTTGCCACGCTTTTAATACAGATAGTAATTTCAGTTATATCTTGGTCTTTAAGCACCATAAGCTAATTATGACACCCTTTTGTAGACCATATAATAAAACCAAGTCTCTTCACATGTAAGCAATAAAGAAATTCACGTTTGTCATAGTCTTTGTCCGTTTTGAGAAGATATTTTGCTATATTTTCCACATGTTGCCTTTTGTTCAAAGTATCTATTTTACTTTCTCTTTATCACAACTAAATGGTAATTATACAAGCGCATCTATGACACAATTAGATGAAGCGATTTAGTTTGCTTGACTACACACTCTATTAAATTTCAAACCAAGATAACGATGTTAGCCGGTTCAAACATTTTTATGAGATCAATGTAAACAGAATAGAAAAAAATATTTTGGACATGTACATATTACATTACCACAAAAATAGTGTTCCAGATTTTAATAGATTCTTTCAAATATTTAGCTAAATAAAACGTATAATTCAATGTGACAAGGACAAGTTCAAAGATGCAATAGCAAGCTATTTTGATTTATGTCAACTCCAAACTAAATAAATATCTATATTGTAGGGAAGTACCGAGAAAGTTATTTTCACTCTTACGGAGTAATAAAATATTTTTATTTATACACATGAAAATAGTCTGATTTCCAAAGAAGCTTGTTAGATGATCCTTCCGTTTGTGAATAGTGTCAACCCTTTTCTCTCCAATTTGTTGTCAGTCCTGCGTTCTCTGTAATTGTTAATGAATAACATGCTATAATTTATGACTTTTCCGTATATATATATACAATATAAAGCAAGAGGTCCGCATGCGATGTATACGCTCATCTGTAATTGGCAACTACGACTACGTACTATCAAAAACCAATTGTTACAAATAATATTAAGATAATTATACATTGAAAAGTTGCATAGCTCGCAAAAGTACATGCATTACATTCAGGATAATGTCCTTCGTTTAACACTGTGACATCGAATGGTGTTGAAGTGTTGTAAGCTGTTATAGTTTTTAAAATAATCCTTGTTGAAGGCAATTTTGGCAAAAGATGGGATAACTCAAAAAATATAGCTTTCAGAATAATGCCGCTTTTCAAATCGACATAGCAATCCATTTGTTCTTGGAATCGCCACGTTTCAATTTATTTTTCGGAATATATTATTTCTATCAAAATACTTACTCATTGTATTCTCGTTTTGACTTGTTGTTTAAATTCTGCACTATCAAACTCAGCCTTACATAAATGGTACTATTTTGACAGTTATATAAAAGAAAAAAAGTTACATAAATGAAAAATCGCACGAAATTTAATCTAATTCTTGTTGAATATCAAAGCACTATCACTCAAAACATAATCAACATTTATTAAAGCCCCGCATTGCCTTGTCAATTCTGGTACATGTATAGCAAAATAGAATGTTTTATACAGATGCTATCAATATGCAAAACAAGAACGTTTAATTTCAAGAGATGAAATCGATAATACATGGAAGGTAGATATTTTTATTTCCATCAAATTGATAACAAAAAAAGAAACAAACAAAAAAGCAATAAAAACAATAAAATCTGAAAAGGAGGAACAAAGGTCATTTCTAAATTTCCCTCTGTAATTTAGCTGCTTTTCAATGTGTTCCTCTTCGTGAGAAATAATCTTTCTTGTATGGATAACGATGATCCCTTTATTTCTACAATAACATTTTATAATCACAAAAAAATCAACTTTATTTTTTTCATGTACACTACATAATATTTTATGTAGCAGTTACTTATTCAAACTAAGACCCTTTAACCATTTTTTTTTTCAAATTTATCAGTACAATAATAAACGCGATGGCCAGACATTCCTACGTTGCGCAAATGCAGCGCTTATATCACAGTCCGTTATCTAATTTTGACCATGTAAAGACTTAAAGATTCGGTACCAGTGTCCGAAAATGACCGTCAGTGAAACGTGAGAGATCGTTGATAAACGTGATTTTATAGATTGAAATAAAAGGACTCACATGTTTGCCATGTGTGGTTCTTCTATAAAAGAGCTCCCTCTCATCATTTGGACACTAGCATTCTTATACTTTCAAGACAATACACGAAACGCAAAATGAAGGTTGCAGTAATTCTTTGCGCTATCATCAGCCAGTGTCTGGCGGCTACGACGATTGAAACGCTGGTGGCAGACCCAAAAATGTCGACGTTGGTTAGCTTAGTGACAAAAGCCGGACTTGTTGATGCAATAAACGGGGGTAAGTCTTCTTTTTAAGTTGTTCATTCTAAATTAGCTATTTAATGCTGCCGAGATGAATTATGTTTATTTATAGAATTTTGTTTGCAGGTTTTACTGCCATTTATTTTTCTTATTTCTTATGATGAAGTAATTTATATAACTTTCGTTTTGTTTCCTTTTTCCTTTGCTTTTTAGAAAAAGTTGCAATCACAGTATTTTTTTCCTTCTTAACACGTCGTAAATCTACGATAAAACATTTTAGTAAAAGGGATAACAGTAATCCTTAAGAAAGATATCACACATGTCCATGTTGTATTTCAGGTGATTTTACGATCTTTGCTCCAAACAACGACGCTTTCTCAGATCTGCCGTCTGCAACATTGACTGCACTCGGAAATGACGTCACAGCTCTTGCTAATGTACTGAAATACCACGTTGTACAAGGAAAAGTTCCGAGCTCTGCTGCATCCAATGAACTTCAGTTGACAACACTTAATGGCGACAAAGTCAGATTTAACATCTATGATCATAACAACGTAAGTCATGTTTTCATGCTTTAATTTTCCTGAACATTGAAATTTTCTAAATTATTTGGACAATATTTCAAAATAAGTATATCAAGATATATAACATTTTCAACAACTAGCCAGTGCTTCCTTCATTTCAAGCGGCCTCCAGCTTTTATTTTCTGTCTGTACTGTATAAGTAATTATCTTTTTAAAAAATGCATCATATCAATGTTAAGCCTACCTCAAATTTGCGATAGTGAGCTATATATAACGTGCCAGTGACGTTCGATTCTAAAAATATCAGGAAACGAATCGTCCGCTTTACTTACTTAAATATAGAGAGCCGATGTATATTATGGTCGGCAAATTTCATTTTTCACTTTATCTATTTAATTCGACAATTTTATGTAACAATTTATCCAAAACTTTCATATATAACCTTTAGAAAAGCTGAAGGTCGCTTTAAGAACTGAAACTATATGTATATATGGAAAGAAAACACAAGCCATACATTTCAATATACATGTATAATACTTTTCGTAACGATTCACATAGCAAAAGCCGTAGTAAAAACCAGATTTAATGGTCAACAAAAGACAGCAAATCTCTCTTTTATGATGTTGGGACAAATAAATACTGATTCAACAGATATGTGAGTATTATAGATTGATATTCATATTAAAGAAATGCATATGATTTCAATTTTCAGGCTGTCACCGTTCAAGGATCTCAAGTCATTGCTCTTGATAAGGTTGCATCAAATGGAATCATTCATGTTCTAAATAAAGTAATGATGCCACCAGAGGGTGACATTGTTGATATCGTAGCTAAAACAGCTGATGTTAGCACACTTTTGAGTCTGGTACAGCAAGCTGGCATTGCTAATGCCCTGAAAGGTAAGACAAAACTAAATATGTTTCTGAAATTAAGACAAACCCATCTAGAATAATTACGTTGCTAAAGATTTATTAATGTTTCAAGGCCCTAAAAATATGGATAATAAAATAATTTAGGAGAATAGATAATTTTAGAGGAAATAAATTGGAACATTTTCTAAGAATTAAAAATATTTGTAAATGCTTTTTCCTGTTTGAACAACTATTCTTTCATTTTTCCCCCATTACGAAAATTAACATGTAAAGGGGAATATTTTTTAGAGACAGGCTTATTTAAAGACAAATTCAAAAAAATGAATTCTACCCGATGTTTCACACCCTCCGCTCCTATGGTAGCAAAAACGATATTTGTATTTAATGAAATTGATTTAAGCTGATCCGGGATATCAGTTTTTGGTTTTTTTCAGGTGTGCTTTAACCCTATTTTCTCAACTAATTTTGCTTTTGCACGCTTACAAAACTCGTGTCTCTAAACTTACCCCCTGATAAAAAAATTTTAAGGGGAGACTTTAAAATGAAAATATAAAAATTGATTGACGAAAATTCCCTTATTCCGTAATCCATTTATTTGCATAATAAGAAGACCAAGTAGAACACAGACAGTATTTACACAGATTTTAAAACGTATCTTGCTTGATAAATCTCGGTTATGTTTAGTCAATATGTGTTTAATACAATGCTAATTGCTGAACTTGATTATGTTCTGGATATATAAAACTGGCAAAATACAATGTCTAAATCATATTGGAATGAATGGCGTTTTGAATTAAAGAACCAAGAATTCTTTAAGATAGGAGATGGGTGTGCTTGTTTATATGGTCTTACGGCGCACAGACACAGAAAAGGTCATATGGACGCCGAAACAGGAAAGATAACTTTGACTAACTTCGGGTGTTACCGATTTATACGGCAGTTATCATGGAACCTTCAATGTGACACTTACGTGCCATTCCATGAAAAGCGGCGTATGGTAAAAACTTTAAAACAATGCCAGGGGTCAAAACCACCTCACAACCAGCTCTTCGAATCCATTTAGTCGACTCATATGATCACGTAGGGGCAAACGATGGCTGCAATGCAATCCATAAAAGGCAACAAGGGAAAGTGGGTGTGGTTTATTATCAAGAATCTGATGCCTTTTATATCCGTGCGTAACATTAAGATTTGTTTATTGGTACAGAAGTGTTAGAGTATCACGTGGTACCACACACCGAATATTCAGCTGGACTGTTCAACAGAGAATACCTGAGAACAATTGATAGAAACAATGACAGATTGAGCATTCACTTTGATGGAGGTTAGTTTTTGTATGTCTTATGCAAAGTCAAATATTAAACGAGCATATCTCTATAAAACTTTTGAAAATATTTCTGAACATGTTACACAGCAGAGGACATGATATTGTGATTTAAGAATAAATGAGATAAAAGAATAAGTAAATTAAACATGCTTTGAAAGACTGACGTGTTGTCTTACAAAACAATATTGTCAAAATATTTCAGTCACGAAAACATATGTAATAATAACAACCTTTGATAAATGATGAAGAAAAAAATCTGACTATCATTAATTAACGTTCGTTCTATGAATTATTCTTGCAGCTGGAGTCCGAATCAACACTAACTCCCATGTGACCAAGGCTGATATCGGAACAACCAATGGCGTCATTCACCTCATCGATCATGTGCTTATTCCAGCCAGATACTACCTCACGCTGGCCATTGGCCGAAAATAAATGAAAATACTCAAAGACTCTTTTAAAAAAATATATATTTATTTTTTATACTGTTTGGAAAAGATGGTGTAGATAGATGAATGTTTGTTTTATATGAAGTTTTGTTACATAAATAAATGACAAAAATAATAATGAAGTGTTTATCGTATGTTCAATGCAAATCATTAAGTCAGTATACATATATTTGTATCATAAAATTTGGATACAAAAAGGGGGCGAGTCAAAGCTATATGAATATGATATATATAATAAGTTCAACGCACTATCAGTTCTAAAATTTTATTTTACTGTATTTAACATCAATGACTGAGTTTTATCAACAATCAAGGAAACTTTCTTCATGAACATTTACCATTTAAAAGCTCAACAGAAAAAATGACAAATTGTCATGAAAGGCATATACATGTTGTAATATACGAGTACATCTAATCTTACATCCCAACAATAACATGCTGATTTATATACTACCATTTTTCTTTATAACAACTTTAAACTTTAATAAAAAAACCCGCCTTTTGGCACAACATGCAGATACTGCAATACAGCACTACCTAACTTTAAGGATAAACTGACGAGAAAAGAGCTTTCTGTTATTTGAGCTGGAATTCGACCAAGATGACCATCAAAACGAAAAACGCCAATATAACTGTGCTGCGCTTTTAATACAGTTAGTAAATTCAGTTTTATATTTATCTTTAAGCACCATAAGCTAATTAATTACATCTCTTTGATAGACAATTTGATAAATCCAAGTTTCTTCACATGTCAGCAGTATAGAAATATGGCGTTTGTCATAGTCTTTGTCCTTTTTGTAGAATACATTTGGTTATATTTTCCACAGGTTGCCTTTTATTCAAAAGTATACAAGTATCTATTTTACTTCCTCTTTACTAAAATTACATGATATACAAGTGTATCAGAGACACAATTAAATGAATATCATTCATTGGCGATATTAGCTTGCTTCGCTACACATCCTATTAAATTTCAAATCAAGGTTAAGATGTTAGACGGTTCAAACATTTTTATTAAAATCAATGTGACAAAATAGAAAAAAAGACAACATAATTTCATTTTAGATTTGTACATAGTACATCATCACTACAATATAAAATCACAAACTGTAAAAATGTCAAGTTGATATTCAACAAATAATATAGAAGTTGATTTGAAGTACTGAATTTCATTTATAGATGGAGAGTGAGCAACAATAGTTAAAGAAAAATTTAATGTCACTTCTAAAAACAATTTGGTGGAGTTAAAACATATTTGATACAAGAAATCATTTAAATTTTGAGTATAAAGTTGTAACAAAATTGAACTGATAGTACCAACAATAGTGTACTGATTTGAGTAGATTATTTTTAAATATTTAGCTAGATTCAGAAGTATATTATAATGTGACAAGGACAAGTTATAACTTCAAACATGCAATGGCAAGCTAATTTTGTTAATTTCAACTTCAATCGTAATTATTACCTTTAATGTAATTGGTTTATACAGATTTTATTCTAGTTTGACTGTGTTGGAAGCCACACTTTCGAATCAACCAGTACGGAGCAATGAGTGTAAAGTTTCTTGCTCAAGGAAACAATGACTTGCCACTGACGGGGTTTGAATCATTAGATAACTAGTCCGACGGTTTAACCACTCTGCCATGCCGTCACTATAATGTAATTCAGTACCGAGAAAGTTTTTTTCACTCATAGACACTAATATATTATACATATGTTCATGGAAATATGTCATCTTATTCGAATGGTAATTATCTCTTTGAAGTACACTGGTCTACAATAGAAGATCTGTACTACCATACAAAATAATGTTGATATTATTTAGTATTCTATGTGAAAACCAACCAAAACAAATATTATGTATGGATGTTGTTGGTATTTTTTGGATACATAATACGACAGATAAATATATAAATATATAGGAGATAATAAAGTGTTTTAAAAAATATTAATACTTCTCATAAACATATTGATACTTCATCAATTCAGATCTCCATTAATATTCTGTTTTCCAAATATCTTACATAAGAGACTAAATGCTTTAATCATGTTAGTTATGAGAACCCTACTCTTATTTTAGTAGGACAAAATTATTGCAAAATTAGAAGAATGACATGACTAACAGTGAATGACATTTTTGTCATCTATAATGATATATTTCTATTGTTTTAATCAATATTTGAAATATTTTGAAATATTTTAAAAGATATGCCATAATTGAAGATCAATCCGCTTTTAATCACAATTTTTATCAGTCATATGATAGACATAAGAAATGCATATTATATCTCAAAAATGAATAATATTTTCTCCTTTAGGTAGCACTCAACACTAAATTTCAAGTTTCTGCCGTCAATGTCCTACAAGCAATATGTCTGATAAATCTGATCCCAAACTACACAACCTGGAAAAAGAAAACACATTTTGTTAAGAACATATATGTCATAACATTGCAAATCTGTAATGAAATCATCCCATGTGAAACTGTCAGGCAGTTAAAAAAATCCAATTCATTCCGTAAAAGCGAAAAATCAATAGTGGTCCGAGACCCAAAACAACATATTTCGTCCCTCTCGCGAAAAATACCTGCAAATATACGGGCTACAGAAACTATGTCACTGCTTTAGCAACTCCCTATACATGGAAAATATCACAAAGAAATAGGTGCTTGGCCTTGTAGATTTTTTGCTATTGCTGAAAGTTTGTACCCCCCTGTAAAATTACTTGTTTTCACCGAGCATGCTGTTTAAAAGCAATGTTTACAAACAATGACGGCCTTGACATCTATAATTATCAGCATGTGATTTCTAACCATGTTTTCGAATTTGCCAATAATCATATTACATGTCACAAAAACAAATTTCACGCTGAAAATGCATTTTGAAGACAACCAGTCATTTAAATCCACAATAGTCACTATATCCATGAAATCCTCCCTGGCCATTCGAATTTAGTGTGGTGTGCTGCCTTTAGAAGGAGTTCTGTGTTATCATGGATAGATAAGATTTTGATAGTACTTTGTTTCATTTGTAAAAAAGAAAAAAAAACACACACACACAATAATTTTATATGCATGTTGTTGGTTTTTGTCAGATATCTGATTCATACACTGTATTATCTGCTATGTAAACATACATTGGGTCACCGCATATATGACTTTAAGCGCTCATGACTTTAAAGTTATTTTTCGTTATATCTTTCAATTTTATAATACGAGTAATAAACATATACAATGTTCCAGGCAGATATTTGCTAATTCGGAAGATACATATTTTTTCAATGTAGCTATTGTACATTTTAAGATATGCTTGCAGAATTTTTTGACACAGTGGTACCGCAAACGTGTATTTTTAACGAAATCTTACCATACAGAAAAATTCTACAAACATAAAGGAAAAAGTACAACACTTGTATTGGAAAAATTATGTAGCATTAGAGTGACAACTAATTTTACATAAGCGCTTCTTTCTTCAGGTAAAAACAACTAATATAATCTTAAACCATTATTTAAATTATATAAACTTCATGTCTGCCTTCTCAAAAGAAGTAAAAAAATATTCAATTTTAGGCAAAATGTGCCTTTAAACATTGAACATAATACATCGCTATGACAATAGATAAAAACAATTTCACACGTCATTTGGCCATGATTTCGCAAAACATACAACAAAATTATAAATCAGATAAAGAAAAAATACTTTTAAAGTGTATTCAAGTAGGCTATGTAATAGAAAGAGCATCGAAACACGAGGCTATCTGATTTGTACGAGGGGGGCATAGCCCCCGAGTATTAATCAGATTGCAGAGTGTTTTGATGTTCTTTCTCTTTGTATCATAGTCAAACATAAAATCACGCTCCCTGTTATCGCTAGATAACTTGGAGAGCGGGTAACTAATACCTGCACCCCAGTTAACGCACTGTACATGTATATCTATACGATTTAACTCAGACACATTTTCAACAGAAAAGTCCCCAAACTATGATACAATACAAATTTATTAGACTGTTTGTAATTTAAACTTGATGTGCCTTGCTAATTTTACCAATAAAGATATTAAAATAGAACAAAAAAAGGGAATCCCTAAAGAACGTCCAGAACGAAAATTTATGATTATTCCGTATATAAGGAATATAAAACAAGAGTTCCGCATGCGATGTCAGCGCAACTACTATCAAGAACCAATTATTATAGATATGATTATAATAATTATAAGTAAAAAAGGTGCATAGCTTGTAAAAGTACATGTATTACTTTCAGTAAAATGTCCTTCGATTAACACTGTGACATGACACATTGTTGAAGTGTTGTAAGCTGTAATAGTTTTAAAAATTATCCTAGTAATAAGCAATTTTGGCAAAGGTTAAAAGATGGGATAACTCCAAAAATATAGCTTTCAGAATAATGTCCCTTTTTCAAATCGAAATAGCCATCTATTTGTTCTTGGTATCGACACGTTTTAATTCATTCTTCTGACTATATTATTACTATCATAAATACTAACTCATCGTATTCTCGTTTCGACTCGTTGTTTAAATTATGCACACTTTCAAACATTCAGGCTTACATAAGTGGAACTCTTTAAAAGTTATATAAAAGAGAAAAGAAAATAGTGACATAAATGAAACCTCGTTCGAAAAATAAAATAACCCATGTTGAATATCAACGCGCTATCACTCAAAACATAATCAACATTTATTAAAGCCCCACATTGTCTTATCAATTCTAGTATAGCAAAATAGAATGTTTATACAGATGCTATCAATAAATAAATGCAAAACAAGAATGTTTAATTTTAAAAGTCGAAATCGATAACACATGGAAAGTAGATATTTTTATTTCCATCAAATTGATTACAAAAAAGAAACAAACAAAAAAAAGCAATAAAACAGCAATAAAAATCGGAAAAAAGAGAAACAAAAGTTCATTTTTAAATTTAAAATGATGTGTGTTCCCTCTGTAATTAAGTTGCTTTTCAAGTTTTTCCTCTTCGTGAGTAATTATCGTTCGTTTTTGGATAACTGTGGTCCCTTTGTTTCTACAATGACATTTTATTATCACAAACAAACAAAATTCAACTTTATATTCTTCATGTACACAACATAATATAAGAAATTTAAGCAGCAGTAGCTTATTCAAACTAAGGGCCTTTAACCACCGGTCTTTTAAATTTATCAGTACAATAATAAATGCGATGGTCAGACATTCCTACGTTGTGCAAATACAGCGCTTATATCACAGTCCGTTATCTAATTTTGACCATGTAAAGACTTAAAGATTCGGTACCAGTGTCCGAATAATAGATTCAAAAAACTTATACTTTGCTTGCACGTTTTACTTGCCTTTACTTTTTATTTTGATGATGAAGTAATTTATATCACTTTCGTTTTGTTTCTTTTTCCTTTTCTTTTTTTGAAATTTTGCAATCACAGTGTTTTTTTTTCCTTCTTAATATGTCGTAAATCTACGATAAAACATTTTATTAAAGGGATAACAATCATCATTAAGAAAGATATCACACATGTCCATGTTATATTTCAGGTGAATTTACAATCTTTGCTCCAAACAACGACGCTTTCTCAGCTCTGCCTTCTGCAACATTGACTGCACTCGGAAATGACGTCACAGCTCTTGCTAATGTACTGAAATACCACGTTGTCCAAGGAAAAGTTCCTAGCTCTGCTGCATCCAATGAACAACAATTGACAACACTTAACGGCGACAAAGTCAGATTCAACATCTATGATCATAACAACGTAAGTCATTTTTCATGCTTTAATTTTAATTTTCCTGAACATTGACATTTTCTAAATTATTTGGACAATATTTCAAAATGAGTATATAAAGATATATGACATTTTCAACAACTAGCCAGTGCTTCCTTTATTTAAAGCGGCCTCCAGCTTTTATTTTCTGTTTGGAAAACAATTTTGTGTTGTTTAAGTAATTTCATCTTTAAAAAATGCATCATATCAATGTTAAGCCTACCTCAAATTTGCGACAGAGAGCTATTTATAACGTGCCAGTGACGTTCGATTCTAAAAATATCAGGAAACGAATCGTCCGCTTTACTTACTTAAATATAGAGAGCCGATGTATATTATGGTCGGCAAATTTCATTTTTCACCTTATCTATTTAATTTGACAATTATATGTAACGATTTATCCAAAACTTACATATATAGCCTTTAGAAAAGCGGAAGACCGCTTTAAGAACTGAAACTAGTCAAAACACCGGACTTGTTATCAATACATTTCAATATACATGTTTAATACTTTTCGTAGACGATTCATATAACAAATGCCGTAATAAGAACCAGATTTCATGATCATCAAAAGAGAACAAATCTCTTTTATGTTTGTTGGACAAATAAATACTGATTCAACCAATATGTGAGTATTATAGATTGATATTTATATTCAAAAGACGTATATGATTTAAATTTTAGGCTGTAACCGTTCAAGGATCTCAGGTCATTGCTCTTGATAAGATTGCATCCAATGGAATCATTCATGTTCTAAATAAAGTAATGATGCCACCAGAGGGTGACATTGTTGATATCGTAGCTAAAACATCTGATGTTAGCACACTTTTGAGTTTGGTACAGCAAGCTGGCATTGCTAATGCCCTGAAAGGTAAGACAAAAAAAAAACTATCTGTAGACAAACTTGACTAAAATTGACGTGTATAGATGCTTATAATGTTTGCTAAGCATTAATGATACACTGATGTAAAAAATATGGAGAATAAGATAATTTCAAAGAGGAAAATAAATTGGAACATTTTCTAAAGAATTAGAAATATTTGTAAATGCTCTTTCCTGATTGAACAAGTATTCTTTCATATTTTCCACCATTACGATAAATAAAATGTCACCAAAGTAATATTTTTAGAGACAGGCTTATTTAAGACCAATCTCATAAAAATGATATTCTAGCTGATGCTACACTACCCTTCGCTCCGTAGGGTAGCGAAAACGATGATCTGATATTTAATGAAATTGATTTAAGCTGATCCTGATATCGTTTTCGTGTGATTATTTCAGGTGATGCTTTAACCGTATTTGCTCCAACTAATGATGCTTTTGCACGCTTACCCAGCTCCGTCGTCTCTAAACTTACCAACGATAAAAATCTTCTTACAGGTGAGACTTTAAAAATGATTAATATAAAATTGATTGATGAATTCCGTTATTGCCTGAAAATCAATATATTTACACTATAAGACTATGGTCTTACAGCACACAAACACAGAATAGGTCATATGACGCCGAAACAGGAAAGATAACTTTGGCTAACTTCGGGTGTTACCAACTTTAAAGCAACACCAGGGGTCAAAACCACCTCACAACCAGTTATTCGAACCCATTTAGTTGCCTCATATGATCACGTAGGGGCAAACCATGGCTGCAATATCCTTATGCTTAAACCATTAAAGGAAACAAGGGGAAGCAGGTGTGGTTTATCATGAAGAATCTCATGTCTTTTGTATCCTTGTGTAACATTAAGATTTGTTTATTGATACAGAGGTGTTAGAGTATCACGTGGTACCACACACCGAATATTCAGCTGGACTGTTCAACAGAGAATACCTGAGAACAATTGATAGAAACAATGACAGATTGAGCATTCACTTTGATGGAGGTTAGTTTTTGTATGTCTTACACAAAGTCAAATAATAAATGCTGCAAATCCCTATAAGTGTACGTAAAAGTACTTAATATTATTTTTTTGAACATATTTTAAAGCAAATGACATTATATTGTTATCTTACAAGTTTAAGAATAAGTAAAATAAAGGATATAGAAAGCAAGTAAATTATACATATCTCGAAAGACTGACATTTCAATTTAATATGTTGCTTTACCAAGCAATATTGTCAAAAGATTTCTGTTATGACAACATATCTACTAATCAGTACCTTTGATAAATTATCCAAAAAAAAATCTGACTATCATTAATTAACGTTCATTCTATGAATTATTCTTGCAGCTGGAGTCCGAATCAACACCAACTCCCACGTGACCAAGGCTGATATTGGAACAACCAATGGCGTCATTCACCTCATCGATCATGTGCTTATTCCAGCAAGATACTACCTCACGCTGGCCATTGGCCGAAAATAAATGGAAAATACTCAAAGACTTTTTTTTAAAAATGTTTTTTATTTTTTATACTGTTTGGAAAAGATGGTGTAGATAGATGAATGTTTGTTTTATATGAAGTTTTGTTACATACATAAATTACAAAAATAATAATGAAGTGTTTATCGTATGTTCAATGCAAATCAGTAAGTCAGTATACATATGTTTTGTATCATTAAAGTTTTGGATACAAAAAGGGGGCGAATCAAAGCTATATAAATATGATAATAAGTTCAACGCACTATCAGTTCTAAAATTTTATTTTACTGTATTTAACATCAATGACTGAGTTTTATCAACAATCAAGGAAACTTTCTTCATGAACATTTACCATTTAAAAGCTCAACAGAAAAAATGACAAATTGTCATGAAAGGCATATACATGTTGTAATATACGAGTACATCTATTATGACATCCCGACAGTAACATAACGCTGATTTTGTGTACTACTATTCTTCTTTATAACAACTTTAAACTGTAATGATAACCCCGCCTTTTTGGCATAACATACAGATACTGGAATACAGTACTACCTAACTTTAAGGATAAAAAATGACGAGAAAAAAGCTGTCTGTTATTTGAACTTGAATTTGACAAAGATGTCCATCAACATGAAAAACGCATATATATATATAACTTTGCTGCGCTTTTCATACAGTTAGTAATGTAAGCTAATTAATGACACCTCATTTGTAGAGGTCCCAGTCCATTAATTAATTAATCCAAGTCTCTTCACATGTAAGCAGTTTAGAAATTCGGCGTTTGAAATAGTCTTTGTTCATTTTTAAAATACATTTGGCTATATCTTCCTGTGATTGCCTTTTATTCAAAAGTATACATGACCGTATCTATTTTACTTCCTCTTTACTACAACTACATGATATACAAGTGTACAGAGACACACTTAAATGAATATCATTCGTTGGTGAATTAAGCTTACTTTACTACACACCCTATTAAATTTCAAACCAAGATTAAGATGTTAGCCGGTCAGCCGGAAACTGACATACACGAACTTGTGGCCTGATTCATTCCTTATTTAGCCAGTGCTTTCAGTGATTTGATCCAGGTTAAAGAGAAAACGAAATCGTTTTCTGTGTATTGTGTATGTGTGTGGTTTTTGATGCTTACAATACTCAAGGTCTTGTTTGTTGTATCAAAGGTATTACGGTGTGTTTTTTCTGAACGGGTGTCAGATAAACCAAAGTGACCTTTGAAATAGGAATCATCACACTAAAGTGACCTTTGAAATAGGAATCATCACACTGTCTTGATAAAAGAAGTTTTCTTAGCCTAGATATCTTGATATTTTAACCATAACAAAGTTAATACATAATATTTATTAATTACACGATCGCACTCTATTTGTAAAGTTCGTGTTTGTCAGTTTCCAACTCTGTACGTTTAGCCAAATTCATCATTGTAACGGAGTAAAAAAACATGATAACTACAATATAATGCTTTAAATGTATTTAAATTGCCTTTGAATCATTTTTTCTCACAAGAACACATGTGCACAACAAGAAATTTAACAAACAAACCCATAATTTGTTCTTAAATTTATGCCATGTTGGTATATTCCACTTTCTCACTCCGTTGCTGCCGATACACAAAACAAATCTCCGTTTCGCTTTTAGTCATCCCGAGACTCATCACGTGACCGTTGTTTATATTCAGATTTGCAAACTGAAAGGCGTTTAAACGCTTTTCCCACGAAATTGAAGAAAATATATATTTCAAACGAATTGTCAAGCCAAAGAACACATAACATTGTATCACTGATTTTGTTTAAATGTTCCTAAAACGCAGGTAACAACAAATTATCGATTCGTGAAAATTTACTTTTTTGTAACATTCGACCATGCCTCAGCGGAGCACCTTTAAGTACAATGTCGAATTGATAGTTTTCTTTTATACTCAGGAAAAATATAAACGATACAATCTTAATAGTGAATAACATGTCCAGATAGATTAAGGTATGGGACGTGGTCAGGAAGGTTTTCATACTCTGATTTCCATTCCGTTAGGAGCTTGTTAGATGATCCTTCCGTTTGTGAATAGTGTAAACCTTTTTCTCTCCAATTTGTTGTGAGTCCTGCGTTCTCTGTAATTGTTAATAAATAACATGCTATAATTTATGATTATTCTGTATATGTATTTAATATAAAACAAGAGTTCCGCATGCAATGTCAACGCTCGTCTGTAAAGGGCAACTACTATCAAAAACCAATTATTATAGATATGATTATAATAATTATACGTTAAAAAGATGCGTAGCTCGTAAAAGTAGATGTATTACTTTCAGGGTATTGTCCAATAATAACACTGTGACTTGACATGATAGTTTTAAGTTGTAAGCTGATATAGTTTTAAGATCATCCTTCTAATAAGTATTTTTGTCAAAAGTAAAAAGATGGGGTAACTCCAACAATATAGCTTTCAGAATAATGCCCCTTGTCTTTCAACTCGAAATAGAAAATCCATTCATTCTATTTATTTCAATCATTTCAATTTATTCTTCTCAATAAATGATGAATTATATTTGACTTTTTTATCAATTTGAACTTATACATAAATTTACATGTATTTTTCAAACCGTGGCAAAAAATCATTGAAAAGTAGCAAACTTCTGTTACATTTCCCCAGACTGCGTATAATTTTCTAGTATTAAAAAATAACACCTTTTTTGAAAACACAACCTTTCGGTAAATCAGGAAAGACGGGAGCCAAACAAACTGTTTTGCAAATGGCATGATATTTTCTTGTTTCTATATATGTTACCTACTCAATGGGTAATGATAACGAAAGCACTGGGTTGGTTCGACAGATTCTATTATATTTACATGGTAAATACGCTCTTGTAATGACATACATAAACAATAATACAGATCAATTGAAGTACAATACACAAATACATATAAGGCATTAAAGACAAACGTTTACCTGTAGATATATCAATAAATAACTACAAAAAGGATGATAATAGTTATTAAAGCATAAAGGGCTGTTTACATTTGTTTTCAAAAATATGGCGGATATCGATTACTCAATAGTGATTGGTTATTGATTTGTTATTGACAGAGAGGAGGTTAATCGAAATAAATACAGTAAAGAACGAAAGTATAAGGAGGTCTGACTACACTTACTATAAGCTACCACTACATTATAAACTATCTACTTTAGTTTGGTGTTCAAATTATACTATATTATAATGTAATTATGAATGTTTAATATTATTGTTATTAGTGTATGATTGATATTAATGTAGATACGTGTATATAATCATGTAGATTAGGTACTTTTATAAATAGTGTATGTTTAGTTACTGTGTGTATATGTCATTTAATTACGTGTATAATGCGTTTATCAAATAATTCAACCCTATGACAGATGCTTTTTTAATTATTTTTTTGTTGTTGAGATTTTCTCCCTGCAATCTCGCCATACTAAAAAGACATTGAGATTATAAGATTATATTTGTAAAAATCCCGGCAGTTTTTCCCTTGTGGTCATACTTTCGCATTGTAACATGGCCAGCGATTGGCTGAAAAAGTGCAGGGAAAACCGTATGATTCAATTGGACATGAGGTGATTGGGTATTTTTAAGTATAAAAACTAACTACATTGTTCTCTGTTTCATAAGTCTCTATGATAATTTTTGACTTGGATATTTGCATTTATGAAAAGTGCATGTAAGTCCTGTGATCAGCAGAAAATTTCAATGAAATGGAGGGTAATCCTCTTTGAAGTCATTTTGCAAAAAATTTGGTTGGTATCCCCTATATAACAGGGACATTTTTATGTGTCAGGCATTTCATTCTGCTAGAAAAATCACATCTTTAGCATAAAAACTAAATTTTAAGGTAGGATTAGGGACCATTTCTTATAATGTAAGTCTATGGGAAAATCAATGTGAGTGTCTGACCTTTGTGATCCGATATAATTGAATCAATAAACTTACCGGGAAAATTGCAATGCAAGGTATATTCATTATTTTTCCAGGCGTAGTAAATATGCCACATTGTCCACATTGTGTTAGCCTCTCCTTGACTGGAAAGAGTTTCATACCAATCCGATGCTATATTTCCAGGAACATAAGGCTTCAACGAAGATTTGTCCTGAGAATAAAACCAGTCCAAAAATTGCTTCCAGTTTTTTGTACTTGGTGAAAATCCCCATGAACCAAGGACAGGAAAAAGAAATACTGTATAATCTTTTGGTCCCCGTAACGTTGTAATATTGTGTTCTAAACTAAATGTTCTAGAGTAACCTTGCAACGAAAATCCATTTATATCCGAACGATTATCATATTTCCGATGAACCATTTTCAAATATTTCCAGAAATATTTTGAAACAGTTATGTCATCTTCAAGAAAAACAACAATTTCGTTGCTGTTTATATTCGGCTTCCAAGTGGTAAGCCATTGTCCTACGATACCTACATGATACTGATGTACATTGACCTCACAATCGCCATGTAGGTAATTTAAGTTAATTGCCGCTTGCAAAGTGATCTTATCAACGCTTCCATCTTCTGACCTGTCAATCCAAATCTCGAGTTTGATAATATCGGAGGCATATTCCGCTTCATTTAAAGAGTTTAGAAGTCGTTGAATAGACTTAGCTCTGTCATATACTAGTACAATGATACGTAGATCAAAACTTGTCCTATCAACATCATGTCTTTTGTCTCGAGTAAATTTAAATAATTTCCGTGCAGGATTTTTTAACAGTGTCAATTCCAAGAAAATAAATAAACACACACACAAAAATATTCTTAAACGCAATTTATTCATTATTTTAAAATTCACTATCAACACAGAGTTTTCGTTTAGTATTTATCAGGTATGCATTGAGACAAACTCATTTCTTATCTAACAATGAGGTGCATAAACTGCGTGCCGTGTTTAAATAATTCTACACTGAGGGCTATTTTGTATATGTAAACAATTTAAACAAATATTTTAAAA